GGAATCAGCGTGCTCGAATTAGTAAGGAAAAATTATTTTTTCAAATTTTTTTTTCATGTTTTTCAGAAAAAATGTCATAAGGGGGGACCCTTTTGAAAAAAATATCGCGATTTTCAAATGTAACTTCCAAACGCGAAGAGATACGAAAGTGCGGTTTGATTTTTTGGAATCAGCGTGCTCGAATTAGTAAGGAAAAATTATTTTTTCAAATTTTTTTTCATGTTTTTCAGAAAAAATGTCATAAGGGGGACCCTTTTGTAAAAAATATCGCGATTTTCGAGTGTAACTTCCAAACGCGAAGAGATACGAAAGTGCGGTTTGATTTTTTGGAATCAGCGTGCTCGAATTAGTAAGAAAAAAATATTTTTGCAATTTTTTTTTTCATGTTTTTCAGAAAAAATGTCATAAGGGGGGACCCTTTTGTAAAAAATATCGCGATTTTCGAGTGTAACTTCCAAACGCGAAGAGATACGAAAGTGCGGTTTGATTTTTTGGAATCAGCGTGCTCGAATTAGTGAGGAAAAATTTTTTTTGCAAATTTTTTTTTCATGTTTTTCAGAAAAAATGTCATAAGGGGGGACCCTTTTGAAAAAAATATCGCGATTTTCAAATGTATCTTCCAAACGCGAAGAGATACGAAAGTGCGGTTTGATTTTTTGGAATCAGCGTGCTCGAATTAGTGAGGAAAAATTTTTTTTGCAAATTTTTTTTTCATGTTTTTCAGAAAAAATGTCATAAGGGGGGACCCTTTTGAAAAAAATATCGCGATTTTCAAATGTAACTTCCAAACGCGAAGAGATACGAAAGTGCGGTTTGATTTTTTGGAATCAGCGTGCTCAAATTAGTAAGAAAAAATTATTTTTGCAAATTTTTTTTTCATGTTTTTCAGAAAAAATGTCATAAGGGGGGACCCTTTTGAAAAAAATATCGCGATTTTCGAGTGTAACTTCCAAACGCGAAGAGATACGAAAGTGCGGTTTGATTTTTTGGAATCAGCGTGCTCGAATTAGTAAGAAAAAATTATTTTTGCAAATTTTTTTTTCATGTTTTTCAGAAAAAATGTCATAAGGGGGGACCCTTTTGAAAAAAATATCGCGATTTTCGAGTGTAACTTCCAAACGCGAAGAGATACGAAAGTGCGGTTAGATTTTTTGGAATCAGCGTGCTCGAATTAGTAAGGAAAAATTATTTTTTCAAATTTTTTTTTCATGTTTTTCAGAAAAAAATGTCATAAGGGGGGACCCTTTTGTAAAAAATATCGCGATTTTCGAGTGTAACTTCCAAACGCGAAGAGATACGAAAGTGAGGTTAGATTTTTTGGAATCAGCGTGCTCGAATTAGTAAGGAAAAATTATTTTTTCAAATTTTTTTTCATGTTTTTCGGAAAAAATGTCATAAGGGGGGACCCTTTTGTAAAAAATATCGCGATTTTCGAGTGTAACTTCCAAACGCGAAGAGATACGAAAGTGCGGTTTGATTTTTTGGAATTAGCGTGCTCGAATTAGTAAAAAAAATATTTTTGCAATTTTTTTTTCATGTTTTTCAGAAAAAATGTCATAAGGGGGGACCCTTTTGAAAAAAATATCGCGATTTTCAAATGTAACTTCCAAACGCGAAGAGATACGAAAGTGCGGTTTGATTTTTTGGAATCAGCGTGCTCGAATTAGTAAGAAAAAATTATTTTTTCAAATTTTTTTTCATGTTTTTTTCATGTTTCTCAGAAAAAATGTCATAAGGGGGGACCCTTTTGAAAAAAATATCGCGATTTTCAAGTGTAACTTCCAAACGCGAAGAGATACGAAAGCGCGGTTTAATTTTTTGGAATCAACGTGCTCGAATTAGTAAGGAAAAATTATTTTTGCAAATTTTTGTTTCATGTTTTTCAGAAAAAATGTCATAAGGGGGGACCCTTTTGAAAAAAATATCGCGATTTTCGAGTGTAACTTCCAAACGCGAAGAGATACGAAAGTGCGGTTAGATTTTTTGGAATCAGCGTGCTCGAATTAGTAAGGAAAAATTATTTTTTCAAATTTTTTTTTCATGTTTTTCAGAAAAAATGTCATAAGGGGGGACCCTTTTGAAAAAAATATCGCGATTTTCAAATGTAACTTCCAAACGCGAAGAGATACGAAAGTGCGGTTTGATTTTTTGGAATCAGCGTGCTCGAATTAGTAAGGAAAAATTTTTTTTTCAAATTTTTTTTCATGTTTTTCAGAAAAAATGTCATAAGGGGGGACCCTTTTGTAAAAAATATCGCGATTTTCGAGTGTAACTTCCAAACGCGAAGAGATACGAAAGTGCGGTTTGATTTTTTGGAATCAGCGTGCTCGAATTAGTAAGAAAAAAATATTTTTGCAATTTTTTTTTTCATGTTTTTCAGAAAAAATGTCATAAGGGGGGACCCTTTTGTAAAAAATATCGCGATTTTCGAGTGTAACTTCCAAACGCGAAGAGATACGAAAGTGCGGTTAGATTTTTTGGAATCAGCGTGCTCGAATTAGTAAGGAAAAATTATTTTTTCAAATTTTTTTTCATGTTTTTCAGAAAAAATGTCATAAGGGGGGACCCTTTTGTAAAAAATATTGCGATTTTCGAGTGTAACTTCCAAACGCGAAGAGATACGAAAGTGCGGTTTGATTTTTTGGAATCAGCGTGCTCGAATTAGTAAGAAAAAAATATTTTTGCAATTTTTTTTTCATGTTTTTCAGAAAAAATGTCATAAGGGGGGACCCTTTTGTAAAAAATATTGCGATTTTCGAGTGTAACTTCCAAACGCGAAGAGATACGAAAGTGCGGTTTGATTTTTTGGAATCAGCGTGCTCGAATTAGTAAGAAAAAAATATTTTTGCAATTTTTTTCATGTTTTTCAGAAAAAATGTCATAAGGGGGGACCCTTTTGAAAAAAATATCGCGATTTTCAAATGTAACTTCCAAACGCGAAGAGATACGAAAGTGCGGTTTGATTTTTTTTAATCAGCGTGCTCGAATTAGTAAGAAAAAAATATTTTTGCAATTTTTTTTTATGTTTTTTAGAAAAAATGTCATAAGGGGGGACCCTTTTGTAAAAAATATCGCGATTTTCGAGTGTAACTTCCAAACGCGAAGAGATACGAAAGTGCGGTTTGATTTTTTGGAATCAGCGTGCTCGAATTAGTGAGGAAAAATTTTTTTTGCACATTTTTTTTTCATGTTTTTCAGAAAAAATGTCATAAGGGGGGACCCTTTTGAAAAAAATATCGCGATTTTCAAATGTAACTTCCAAACGCGAAGAGATACGAAAGTGCGGTTTGATTTTTTGGAATCAGCGTGCTCGAATTAGTAAGAAAAAATTATTTTTTCAAATTTTTTTTCATGTTTTTTTCATGTTTCTCAGAAAAAATGTCATAAGGGGGGACCCTTTTGAAAAAAATATCGCGATTTTCAAGTGTAACTTCCAAACGCGAAGAGATACGAAAGCGCGGTTTAATTTTTTGGAATCAACGTGCTCAAATTAGTAAGGAAAAATTATTTTTGCAAATTTTTTTTTCATGTTTTTCAGAAAAAATGTCATAAGGGGGGACCCTTTTGAAAAAAATATCGCGATTTTCGAGTGTAACTTCCAAACGCGAAGAGATACGAAAGTGCGGTTTGATTTTTTGGAATCAGCGTGCTCGAATTAGTAAGGAAAAAATTATTTTTGCAAATTTTTTTTTCATGTTTTTCAGAAAAAATGTCATAAGGGGGGACCCTTTTGAAAAAAATATCGCGATTTTCGGGTGTAACTTCCAAACGCGAAGAGATACGAAAGTGCGGTTTGATTTTTTGGAATCAGCGTGCTCGAATTAGTAAGGAAAAAATATTTTTGCAAATTTTCTAGTAAAAATGCTCTTTACTTGGAATGGATTCCTCGACTATATTGCCAGAACAATTTTAAAAAATTTAAATTGTTTTACTTATTTTTTTCTTACTATAGGGTGTTCAAAAATCTACCAACTTTAAATGCGTATAATAAATAACTGAGACGTGATCTAAAAAAACCCTAATAGGGTTTTGTTGTAGAAGCTATCACCTTTCGTTTCCTTTTGGTTTCATCCCATTCCCTTTTGCACTGTTGCACTGTGCTATTAACCAATTAAGTTTAATAACCATAGTATTTCATAATATTTACGCGAAAATTCCACACCTGTAATTTTTAACCAATCAAAACGTGTATTTTTGATAGATCACCATGGCAACGGTTGAATTTTAGTGGAAATTTTTTCCTCGTGGGTACCCAACAGCGAAATATACTGGAAATTTTTTTGACGTTTATAATGACAAAATATTTTTTTGACAATCTGGTTTTTATTTGTTTACATGATAATTTTGATACATTTCCATTACAAAGTTTAGATGTTTTCTATATTCGTTGGACACCTTCTTTCTTCTTAATGGCGAAAATGCAGGACTTGAAATAAATTAAATGTCTATGTCTAATGAAATATATATAATATTTAGACACTATTCTATTCACCTTTTTTTCCATTTGGCACTTTGAGTTTTGAATAGTTAAGATGCAAATATTCGTGAACAATTCAAAACAAATTTTCTTTCTTCAAGTAGGAGCCACAATCCTCTAATAATGCGGGTAAATAAGTCATTGCACGATGATTGATCATTACAGCAGACAATTTCACATTTTTTTACGTCGTGCCGCTTGACAGCTTCAAAACTGAAATAACTTTTAGGTTGGGGTTGACTTAGTTGCCATGGTAACTAAATAATCAAGTCGAGGTCAAGTTAAATCAAAAAATAAATTTTAATTATTTAAACACAATTTGGTGTGGAATTTTCTTACCGAATACCACACGAGGTCAAATTAAATCCGGAAATTTTTTCTCCCTCATGAATATTTTTAGAAAATTATCCCTCGTCTTCGACTCGGGATAATTTTCAAAATATTCATGAGCTCGAAAAAGTTTCCGGAAATAATTTGACCTCTAGTGGTATTACTAGTGAAAAAATGCCTTATATCTTCTTACCCTGATTGTTCTCCTCGTAATCCGAATCGGAAACGTGCGTCAAGGACTCGATGTCCGTGTCGGGACCGTGCGAAGTCTGGTGCTCGTCCGACTGCTCCGCAATGGGATAGACGATTTCCGAGCCGTAGTACGAGCAGAGCTCGAGGTGCCGGTTGCGCGTCAGGGTGGTGCTGGGCGGCGGCAGCGGGTTGCGCGCCCCCTTGCACCCGATCACCTCCAAACTGTTGGGATGGACGGCGAGCGGCGGAGGCGGGCAGCAGGTCTCCAGGGCGGTGGAGCGGATTCGACGGACTCCTCCCCTAAAGGTAAGATATGCATTAGGGTGTTCCAAAAAAATTCGATAATTTTTTTTTTGATTACACGTGAAATTCTTGTTATATCTGCTATGAAATAAATTCTGTAAAAATTTGAGCCCTTAATATCAACTTGAAGAACTCCATCATCGAATTTTAAGATTTTCCATCGATTTAACATGGAAAAATGATTTTTTTAACCTTCATTTCTCCTGCAAACTATGTAGAACATTATTTTTCGGAAAAACCATCACTAATCCTTCTTCAGCATTAAATTCTGTAAAAAGTTCTTAGGGTCCAGTCTCTAACGTCAACCCTCTCGTTTTTAACTGTTGTTATTGGAAAAATTCTTAAAAAAATTAAAAATTGTGTGTAAATTATATGTTACAGCCAAAAACTGTTATATTAAATGGAAAAAATAATAAAATTGAAAGAATTGAAGCGTAAATTCAGCGTTTTGTTAACTGTTATAAAGAAATTTTGATATTTTGTAAAATTTATTATGATAGCGAATAATCATTTAAAAAGATAATACAAGACTCACAATTTTGGAGACAAAAGTGATACAAAAAATTTTCTTGGCACAGATTTGTGAAACATTGAACGATCTACTAAAATTTTCTCAAACTTTATGGTCTGAGATCAAAATTTTACACATTAAATGGAAAAAATCGAAACTTCAAAAAATCTATATTTTTCAACGCAAATAAAAACGAGAGGGTTGACGTTAGAGACTGGACCCTAAGAACTTTTTTTATAGAATTTAATGCTGAAGAAGGATTAGTGATGGTTTTTTAGAAAAATAATGTTCTACATAATTTGCAGGAGAAATGAAGGTTAAAAAATCATTTTTCCATGTTAAATCAATGGAAAATCTTAAAATTCGATGATGGAGTTCTTCAAGTTGATATTAAGGGCTCAAATTTTTAAATAATTTTTTGTATAGCATATATAACAAGAATTTCACGTGCAATCGAAAAAAAAAATTATCGACTTTTTTTGGAACACCCTAATATGCATGCAAATGATTTACCTACTAAAACCAAACTTTTTGTATCAAGGCCTTTTCCATTATATCGCTCATATTTTACTTTTGAAATCATTTAATTTTTATTAAAGATTATTTTATCATTCTTTTATTTTTATTACTTAATAGATTATCACCACATCAACATGGATTTATGTCCAAAAGATCAACTGTAACAAATTTGGCCAGTTTTTCAAATTATGTTTCAAACTCAATTAACGAAAAAAGCCAAGTTGATACAATTTATACAGATTTTTCGAAAGCCTTCGATTCCATTGATCACGGCATAATAATTTCCAAACTACATTCATTTGGACTGTCTGACTCACTTTTATTATGGTTCATTTCATATCTTGATGTTCGTCAGCAATATGTCAGCTATAATGGAATTTGTTCGGAAAAGTTTGTTCCCACTTATGGAGTGCCCCAAGGTTCTAACCTGAGCCCACTCTTATTTTTACTTTTTATCAATGACTTTGCTGACGAAATGAGGTGTGAAAAGCTACTATTTGCTGATGATTTGAAAGTATTTTCCAGGATCAATGGTATCGATGACTGTATACTACTTCAATCTGACCTAAGTCATATCGAGAATTGGTGTAAAATCAATAAGCTTAATCTCAATATTTCCAAATGCAAGGTTGTATCATACACATTAAAATTAATTTAATTACTTTAGAGAAATGCTCTACTATCAGAGATTTGGGTGTAATATTTGATAACAAGTTTACTTTTTCGATTCACATTGGAAATATTACCTCAAAGTCTATGAAAACTTTAGGGTTTATAGTTCGCAATACAAAGGGTTTTAAAAATTTTGAAACATTTCTATCTATTTAGTTTGCATTTATTATATCTAAACTTGAATACTGCTGTATTATTTGGATTTATATCTACAAAAACAAGGAATACAAAAAAAAAATTGAAATTTGTTTCTTTTAGACTTGATGGTATTTATCCTTTTAGAGGTATTGATCACCTACAGCTTCTTAATCGGTTTTCTTTGCAATCTTTGGAGCTAAAAAGAATAATAATGCACTTGAAGTTTTTGTATGGATTGTTGCATAACCAAATAGATTCTATGATTTTACTTGAATCGGTGAATTTGCGTGTTCCATTTGTTAGAAGCCGTTGTAAACTTACTTTTACCTATTCAACAACTAGAATTAATGCCATGTACAATTCGCCTATTCAAGGAATGTGTAGATACTTTGATACCTATTGTAACTCTTGTGACATAATCTATCAGAATTATAATACTGTAGTTAGCGATGCTATAAAACACTATAATTCACTTAATTTATAATATCATAATTTAACTTGTTCTGTTGGGCTATAAAGAATTATTATTATTATTATTTTTATATCCTTTTATTTGAATCTTTTTTTTTTTGGTAAAGCATTTTGTATAGAAAAATAAAGGTAGTTTGTGTGGTCGAATTTTGCTTCCCCTTTGAGGTTTTAATAAAATTAATTATTTTAAATCATTTGATATAAATCACTACTAAAAACTGAGCAACTTTTTTATATTAAATAGCAGCCATTATTCTATTTAAAAAATGTATATTTCAATTTCAAATTGAAATACAAAGGCGTATGTACAGTCCGTTATTTACATAAAAATTGTGGGGGCGCTGTTGAAAAAAAATCAACTTGGTAAACACCCTCCATAATAAAACAAATCAATATTTGTAAATAATTTTGATGTTTCTGGTAAGTTTTTGAATTTTTATAAAATGCATTTAAAATTATGAATTTTAAATAATAATTCCAAAATCTATAAACTTTCATACAAAACAAATTACAATTACAGTTTCAGCTTACAGTACTTGAAAATATAAATATTTTTTAAACCATAAATACCTGTAATTTGGTTTAAAGTAGAACCCTTCCGAGACGAGCGCCTGATTAGGATTCTTGTCGATGTATCCGAGCTCCAAAGACCCTGTAGGTTTGATGTCGTTTTGCATTGACGACGGCAAGAAACCCAGGCTGCTGTTCGTGAAGTTCGAATGTCGACGAGGACCCGATTCGGCCAGATTCGACGTGCTCTGATCCGAAGAATCTACGCTTTGCAACGAAGGTCTGTGCTGGTTCATTAGACCATTCTAAAAGAGGAATATTACAATACCATATAATAATAATTTATTAGTGCCCAACAAAAACACATTACAAATAAGGACACAATAAAGACCCCACATTTATATTTTACTATATGATTCCCAACAGTACTACGTATTTATACAAATATTTTGAGAATTTTAAATTATGTACTTTGGAAAAAAAAATTAAATCAAAATATATGGATTTTAAACAAAAACTTTTCATTAATACCTTGTCAGTCGTATGTTTGAAAGAGCATTTAAAATGCTGCAAAATGACATATCTCCAGGAGAGCTTCCAGAGCAATTTAAAAAATAAACGTCCACATTTTTTTCGCAAGTTTTTGAAAACTTTACATAGCCATATCGTCACCCTAATATAACAAGGTTGTATGTTAAAAAACCGAAAAATTTGAGTTTATGCTTCTACAAGGTTTTATGTAATCCACCCTTGACATACAACTTAAAAATAACTCTAAATATATGTATACATAGAATATACATTCTATAGAATTATTTTTAAGTGGTATGTGAAGCGTATGCCACTTATAATCCTGTAGAAACATAGACTTAAATTTTTCGTTTTTTTTAACATACAACCTTGTTATATTAGGGTGACGATATATCGAAAACAGTGTGAGATAAAAATTTAAAAACTGGCATTTTTCTTAGTCTTAGTACATAGTATAAGTATACTAAATTTTAAGAAAATCTGAGGTGGGGTGGTAAAATGGGTGTGTTGAGTTGACATGGACTGACCCTCCTCTTTTGTAAAAAAATAAACCTTATTCTATCAGAACTGTCATCAAACTGTCAAATTTAAATTTGTGGGTTAAGGTAAATTAACTTTAAATTTGAAATTTGATATTTTGATGACACCAATGATAGAACCAAAAGAAGAGTAAAATGGTTGTTCTTAGCACTTTAAGGTTTCATTTGAGGCTTACAAGTGCCTCTGTAAGAAACACGTTTAAAACGATTATTAATCTGTATAAACAGCATAAACCCAAAGCACAGGAATTTACAGAAACATCATAGATAAAAAAGGAATAGATGAACAACTGCAATGAAATAAATTAAATGCAAAAAAATTCTTCACAGGCCGAGTAGATGGCGCTGACCCAAAAACATGCGCCCTAGATAAAAGAGGAAATGCTCTGAAAGATGTCTCTGGCGCTAAAAATCAAATCATCAATCTGCCAATTAATATTACGTTTAGTGCGTTTGGTTTTTATCCAAGCTTTATCGTCAACTAGTGTTTTCCAGTGTTTATATTATTTTATCGTATATAATACCACTAGTGGTAAAATTTTACCGATAATTTTTTTTATTTTTATACGAATGTTTTTTTCTTGTAAATTTCGCCTAGCGGCTCGTGGTCTTAAAAATTAATGCCACGAGCGAAATTTCCAAGGAAAAATCTTGAGTAAATTAAAATCAAAAATCTATAGACTTATAGACTATTTCACGATAATTTTTAACTGCCGATTCAATTTCTGTATGATTTTTTTTACCAAAACGCATATTTTTTAACATTTTTATTTTAAAATTAGAAACAATGACAATTATTTTTTGCATAGCAACCAAAGAGTGTTTTTATCACCTAAATAGTAGTTTTATCTCTGCAAAACTGAAAAAACCGCTCGTTTTAAATCTGATTGGCCCATAAAGTAATGAGTGGAATAGTCTTTGATAAAAATGGCCGCCGTTAGATTCTGTCATAGATTCTTTGGATTCTGTGCAGAGTTGCAGTGATTTTTAGTATGGGCAAAACGAGATACATTGTGGTAAAATCTAAAAATGTTATATTTAGACTTAATTCAGTCCACGTACAATATTGCAATATTTTTATGCATAATTATTTAAAACCAAAAAAATAATAATAATTTTAACCATCAGAGATAGAGAAGGTAACCATGGTGAAATTAAAAGTGTCAACTAAATGCATACTACGAAAAGTCTTAGTTTTCAATATGATTGTCGAAAAAATATTTTTATCCGAAATCGGCAGTAAAGTAGTCAACAATCGGCAGTAAAGCAAAAGTCGGCAGTAAAGTAGAACTTTACTGCCGATTTAATACGAGTATTGTATGCAACCCATTATACATTTTAAGTGTCTACTGCTCCTCAGCAGCAACTAAATATTATTTTAAAAAAATCATTGTCGAGGAGGTCGATTGAGCCCTTTCATAAAATGTTGTTTAATAAAAATAATAAGTTAATTTTATTAGTCAGGTTAAAAAATCGCCGCGGTGGGCAAATATATAATAACCGTCGCAACAAACAGTATACGTAGTTACTTCAAATGACATTTGATTTAATCATATATTATATCACGAATGTAATAAGTAATAATTGATATTTCGTAAACTAGATAACTTATTTTTTATTGTTTTTTAAAAAATGTTTGTTAAAACTTGTAAATAACACCATAAAATCGTAAACAAAAATCCAATATGGAGGCTAAAATTTAATCATATATCACGAGAACTATGAATTTAATCGGTTAAACTAGGCTTAGTAGTTTTTTGTTTGGTTTTTGTTGGAAAATGTTGAATGCAAAATAATTTAATAAAATCACGAGACCGCGTAGCGGTCGAGGGGTTCTATTTTTAATTATTTTGCATGAAACTATTTTCCAAAAAAAAAAATCAAATAAAAAACTTACTGAGCTTAGTTTGACAGATTAAATTTATAGGTTGAGTGATATACGTCTAGATTATTTCTCGAATTAAAGGAAACTACCATTCATAAAATCTGACGTATGTGTCAAAGTTTATAAATATTTTTTTCCATTAATTTAAGGTATGTAATAAGTAATAATTGATATTTCGTAAACTAGATAACTTATTTTTTATTGTTTGTTAAAACTTGTAAATAACACCAAAAACAAAAACAAATATGGAGGCTAAAATTTAATTGCTGTTAAAAAGGTCTAGTGATTTAATCACTTATTTAAACGAAATTTATTCGAAAATTCAAGGCTTTTAATTGGTTCATATTATATTGAGGGAAATAATCATCAATATTAATTATTAGTAATATTAAATGTGATTTCGGATAAAATTTAATATGCTCCTCGGCATTAAAGTCATTTTTTATCACTCACGTGGTAACTATTTTTTAATTCACCAACTGCTAAAAGGAAGTAAAAGGGTTTTACATAAAAAATAAATAATTAGTTTATGTTGTACAACAGTACTGCTAAGAAAGGGCTTGTTAATGATTATAATTATAATTATTAAGGACTACAAAATGTGTCTTACCTGCGAGTCTATGCTTCCTCCCTGCTGGTAGAGCTTCCTGAAGCTCGATCTAGAAGGTTTCTCGTCCTTCACGGTGATCGTGACGAAACCGTCGGTTTTCGATCGTTGATGTTTCGAGCGACGCGCTCCCCTCTTCGATTTGCGATCGCGTTCTCCCTGCTGCTGCGGCTCGTTCGAGATCGTCGCGATTTCGACGATGTTCACCCCGTTTTCGCTGCTGTCCGACGAGTTTTTTCGATGCACTTCAGCCTTTAGATCTGAAAATAGCAAAGGCCGACAAAATCAAAATTACCGTTTGCTGCAGGGTAGCCAATATCACATACAGGATACATATAAGTATTTGTTTATTTGAGCTACAAGGTCGTTTCTATCGGAGAAAAGTTGCTTCATTACAATCCTATTAATATTAAATTTGAAAATGGTAAAAACAGCGGTTCTCAAAATATTTGAAAAAAAAAATAAAAACTTGTCAAAACCAAAAATCGTTTTAACTTCGTTTATGCACGATGACATTATAATATGACAATTATAACAAAAATTCTTTGACGTAAACGTCTTTTTATAGCCCGCGGGCGTTATTATGACCCAGCGGGCTATAATGAAATGTCAAAAATTAAAAACAACAATGTTACACCATTTGATATATTCGAAGTAAGTTTTTTCGTATAAATAGTAGAGGATCCCAAGTAAGGTCGACCTTCACCCATCTGCTTACCAGATGAAAATTATATTTTATCAAATAAAATATGTTTCTGAACATAAACCAATAGGGTTGCCATAAAAAATATGATCAAGGCTAGCTATAATAAATAAAAAATTAAAAAAAAATAATTAATTTTTTAAATTTCACCGACTTGCTTGCCAAATGAACGAAATTCCAATGGAAAGCATACAACATACAGAATATGTAACAGCTAGGTTGCCTACCTTTTTCTGGCCCCTATTACCTGGTTGCTTTGTACAGGGTGATCCCCTATAATGTCGCCCCCCTTTAACTTTTTTCATTTAAGTGTCCCAAAAAATTTAAAAGTGTGGTTATGTAGGAACTAAAAAATACTTTTTTTCTACGTATAAAGAAAATTGGAAAATTGATAAGTATACAGGGAAAACAAAAAGTTTATTTTTTTCAATGGATCACCCTATATATGAATTTATTTTTCGATTACTTGTAAAATTCTAAGCATATTTCATATATCATACCATATACCTAAATTCAACCGTTTCCGAAATATTTAAATTATTTTTAAGATAATAAGTTGAAATAGTTTGTTTTTCTCTGTCTGAGTACGCCATTTTTACTTATTTAACAACACTTATTGACATAATGTCACTATAGTAATTTATTTTCAATAAAAATTTTGGTATACTGAGGCTTCTTGATTTCTAACAGTTTAAAAAAACATTTAATGATGACATTTCGAATGCGAATATTTCAGAAACGGTTGAATTTAGGTATATGGTTTGTTATATAAATTATGCTCAGAATTTTACAAGGAATCGAAAAATAAATTAATATATACGGTGATCCATTGAAAAAAAATAAACTTTTTGTTTTCCCTGTATACTTATCAATTTTCCAATTTTCTTTATACGTAGAAAAAAAGTATTTTTTAGTTCCTACATAACCACACTTTTAAATTTTTTGGGACACTTAAAATAAAAAAGTTAAAGGGGGGCGACATTATAGGGGATCACCCTGTACAAAGCAACCAGGTAATAGGGACCAGAAAAAGGTAGGCTGTTACATATTCTGTATGTTGTATGCTTTCCATTGGAATTTCGTTCATTTGGCAAGCAAGTCGGTGAAATTTAAAAAATTAATTATTTTTTTTTAATTTTTTATTTATTATAGCTAGCCTTGATCATATTTTTTATGGCAACCCTATTGGTTTATGTTCAGAAACATATTTTATTTGATAAAATATAATTTTCATCTGGTAAGCAGATGGGTGAAGGTCGACCTTACTTGGGATCTTAGACTAAAAGATTTTGATTTTTCCGGCAGCAGGCCGCAATTTTTCGCCTTTTCAGCTGCTTCCTCAATTTCATTCATCTTTAAACTTTAAAACTGACTGATGTCAGTTGACATTATAATATGACAATTATAACAAAAATTCTTTGACGTAAACGTCTTTAAAAACAATAATATATTAAAAATAATAATATATTAATCGTGCATAAAGTTTTGTATGCATTGCTGGCATAACTGGTTTTTATGGTCCTACGACGCTTTTCTAGCCCTCGCGCTAACGCGCTCGGGCTCGAAATAGCGCCTCGGACCATAAAAACCTTATTATGCCCTTAATACATAAATAACTATTATAGCAGGGTTGGAAAAAACCCGGGTTTTTGAAATAAAACCCAACCCATTGGGCATTTTTGGGTTTTATAAGTGGGTTTTATTGGGTTCTATACTGATTTTAGTAAAAACATTTAAAAAGAAATACTGTCGATAAGAAAAATTCACTACCTTCTTCTTTACGAATTATTTTCGCATACGTTCGTCAGCTACATATATAACTTAAGTGTATAGATCGGAAGGGGAACATTAAAATTACGTTTTGTTTGGTCAATGGTTTGATCGTTTCCCAGTTTTAAAGCGAAGAAAATAACGGGAATTGTTAAATTTTAGCTGTTTTTATTGTTTGTGGGAGCCGCTAAGGTTAGACGTGTTTTATGAGCTCGGCAAAGAATTTGTATCCAATTTTGTTTAAAAAATTAAATAAATTCTGTGAAATGTTAACAAAGGCCTATAGTGAGGCTGCTATAAGTAAAGCAAGAGTTTACAAGTGGTATAAGAGTTTCCAAGAAGGCCGTGAAGACGTTGAAGATGACGAACGCCCCGAACGAACAAGCACATTAACAACCGATAAAAACATGGAAAAAGTGAAAGAAATGGTTATAAACCATCAGAGAAGTCGCTGATGATGTTGGTATATCGATTGTCTCATCCCATGAATTTTTTTCGAATGTTTTGGGTATGAAACGCGTGGCAGCAAAATTTGTTCTAAAATTGTTAAATTTTGAACAATATTTTTGGACAAAAACAATACTATAATGATGCCCCAGCCTCCATATTCGCCAGACATACCTCTGTCTGACTTTTTCCTATTCCCAAAAATAAAGAGAACCTTAAAGGGCCGTCGTTTTGCAACCATAGATGACATTAAAAGCGCATCGCTGAAAGAACTAAAGGCTATCCCAAAGATCGAGTTTTAGAAGTGTTTCGAGTATTGAAAGAAGAGCTGGCACATGTGCATAATATCCAATGGGGACTATTTTGAAGGCGACAACATTAATGTAGACGAATAAATAAAGATTTGTTTCAAAAAACGAAAATTCCCGATATTTTCTGAACACACCTCGTATGCGAAATGCGAAATAAGAAAAATGTTTTCACTGGTCCATTTGATTTGGCGGGAATCTTGAGATTGATCCAATATTTTGCGAAAATCATACGAATTTGTCGTGATGCGCATGCGCATTAATTAATTCTGTCTTCGTTTCAAAAATAAATAAGCCCAATTACACCCCTTCGTCGCCAATGGTATAATTGTTCATCCATAATAAAAACGCAAAATCTCAATTCACATAAAACAACAAATAGAAAATGTTAACCAAGTATGGCAAATATCGCCGGGGGAGAAAATTATGTACCTAAAATAGCATGGCAAATATCGCCTAGTGAGAAAACAATGTCCCTAAAATAGTTTCGACAGTTCTCTATAATTAGCCTTAAACTGACAGTTAAATATCCCCAATTATCCCACTTTGACATTTGAATATATGTATACAATAATTAAGATTATACATCTGTCATTATAAAAGCTAATTCTTATTTTCTGAAAATATTTTGTTTTAACAGACAAATAAATATCCACAATTATTTGTATTGCATAGCACTCTTGAGAAAAAATTTGCAAGTTAAAAATGGAAACTGATAAAAAAAATTGCAAGATTTCCTTGCTTGTAGAAAAAAATTATTCCTAACAAATGCGCAAAGTAATTTATCGGCACTTTCTGCACTGCTTGCAATGGGGTTGGGACATTGGGCAATTTTTTTATTTCATATTTGGAAACCACAAGTTTTTATTAATTTTTAAAACGCTTTGATGACCTTGAAGAAAGACTGTGACCATTTTATAACCGATTTTTCAAGAATTACAAATGAATCCTTTAAATTATTTAAATTTAAATTGTTTGAAAATTAAGCAAAAGTAAATACTGGAGAACATTAAATTAAAAAAAATTACAAAATTTATACTAAAATACGTTCTTAACGGTTTTATAACAAGTAAAAAGATTATAACTGTCAAATAATCTGGTTATGTTCGGATTTTTATTTTTGCATAAAGTCAATTCAAGTACAGTGTTTTAAAGTTTAAGTTTTAAAGCTGATTCTATTAAATCTGTGTATAAAACAAACACAGCTTCTTTATTAAAAAACACATTAAATTAAATTGCACTGCAAAACTTTCCATGTTATATTTTAAAAATTTCCATGTACACATTTGTTATATAAATTGTGTTATCAAAAGCAAATAAAACCATTTAAGCACATTTCAATAACTTTTAAATTCAAGGAATTTAATATCTACTTTTTTCTTAGTTTCTGGTAAACATGAATAATACATTAATATTATATCATTTCCTGCATAAGTCATAATGTAACAATTTAAAACGCTATAATTAAAATTTAATTTAATTTAAAGGCATACCTATAGTACTACTACTGGGTTTTCCACCCCCCTCAGCCAAATCTTGCTGGTGAAATTCAGTCGATTCTAAACTATCTTCATCTGTAAAATTAAGTGTTCCAACTTCTGATATTCTTACTTGCTCACTAGAACTTTTATTTGATAAAACTTGTAGCTCAATTCCTTCCTCATCCCTAAAAGAACTTTAAATTTAAAAAAAACTATAAAAAAATTGTCTTTTAATAGGTACCGCTTATCACCATTCCAGTCCATTCCATCTCCAATTTCCTCTCGAATACACTCTGTAGTGTCATACATATGGTGTAATCCATAGTTTACAATTTTTATTATGGCCAAAGCAATGGTTACAGAGGCACAATAAAAATACCACATGTATTTTGTGGGTGGAAAATACTAAAATTAATTAAAAAAGGTCATATTGTATTCTAGAAATTTAATAACTATAGTATATAGGAAATACCTAGTTTTATTTGAATTCAGACAGCAATATCAAATGAATAGATTAATATAATTTTGTTGGGTTTGGGAGAATAAAAAAACAAATGCCAGTCTGGGAATCCCAGATGACTATTTCAAAAAATATATAATTAAAGGTTTTCATTTAAAACAATCCTCTCTACCCTGTTCAAAACAAAACTTTGATCATTTATCCGACATTGTTGCTTGGATTTTATTTTCAGTGCCTGGATTGCAATATAATAAAAAAATTTACATGTATCTATAAATTTAAACAAGTCTATTGCTAAAAAATTCCTATAATAATTGTCTCTAAATATTATCTTTAATGTTATTAGTTTAAACAGGTCATAGTATATTGATGAAAAACAACAATCTAGGTCAAAAGTTTTTGAACTAATTAGGCACAATACTCACCACATAAATGGTAAAGGGCAGGCATAACAAAAATAACCATACATAAAGGTGGAATGTATTGCAGAAAACATCTTGATGGGGGTCATAAAACCATCCCCCAGTCAAGGAGGCCCAAACTCCTTGCCTTAAAATTTCTAATATTTGCGAAGCCATTTAATGCTTTTCCTGCAAACTTCCTTTACAACATCCTCGGGCAGATAAGAAAGATTATTTCTGCATTCTTGAAAAGGTAAACATTTTTTCTGAAAACCATTTTGCACAAGTTAACAGTTATAACCACAAAAACCAACTATTTTATATATTTGGAAACGCGCACGATCTTCTAGTTTTGTTTGATTGTATTTGATACGACTTTATAGCAAAATTGTTAATTAGATTTACTTATTTATCTTTTTTTTTACTTTTACTGATTCATAACAAGAAATATCTTAAACTTTTCTGACAAATGTCAAAACTGAGGATTAAAGGTAGCCACCCACATTGAAAACGCACTTGCAGTTTCGTGTCGTTTAAATCGATTTTCTCTTCGATTTTATAATTAAATAATAAAAACAGTATATGTTTTTTTTAATTATCAATTTTTAAAAACCTATTTAATGTTTTTAGTTATAGAAACTACGACAATCTTTACATGACAGTTTATAGATAGTTTCAATGGGGAACAACCTTTAAAATAGTTTAAGGTTATGTTCAACGACAGCTGATTAGAAAAATTATCAGTTAAATAAATAAACAATAAATTTTTATTATATGGGATACCTTAAAAAATTATAAGACTATTTAGTGTGGGACAGCTAAGCAAAGAAAATGGATATTCATAAAATTCTTAAAGAATCATGTATTCAAATTGGATCTGGGGGATCTGCAGGTATTTATAGGAAAAATTCTTTGTGAATATTAATTTTAACTTTTGGTTTGGCTTTGGCTACAATTTTTTACTTTTCTTAGGTTTTGTAGAAGTTTGTATTATGCATCCTTTAGATTTAGTTAAAACTCGACTGCAGCTACAAAATGTTAAAGACAAATACGATTCACAAAAGTATTACAATGGTATAGTTGATTGTTTTAAAAAAATGTACAGGCATGAAGGATTTGGCTCATTTTGGAAAGGTATCACACCACCAATAATGGCTGAAACCCCTAAAAGAGCTGTTAAAGTATTTTATTTTAGATTTTATTTGGTTTATTTTTTCTTAATGCAGTCACTGTTTTAGTTTTTTACCTTTGAACAGTATAAAAAACTTTTAATGTTTGGTTCCCCACATCCCACACCCTTGGTAAGTTTTAGTTTGATTTTTAATTTTGCTAGATTAGATTATGTAACAGTAGGTCTTACTATAGATAGAATAAACTGTTTACTTTTAGTTATTTTATCTTTATTAACAATACTCATTTAGATTAATTTAAACCTTGAAAAGTACATTTTATTAACTACCTACTTTTAGATTTTTTTATATAAGTATATTATTCAACACCCATTTCATTTCTTATCTTTAACCTGAGGTGTAATTCTACTTTGCCCACCAGTGGGAAAAATAGCAAAGAATATATAAATTTACTTAATTTGTTTATAGTTGCAAGAGTTGTATACTTACCTCCATTAAAAAAGAGTATTTATAGTCAACTTTAATTAGTAAAGCAATAAAAGATTTACTTAAATTTAGTGGCAAAAAAAATTTAAAATATAATTTATTATTCACTATAAACCATATATGCTATAAACTATAGTGAATTTAAGAATACAATTTACACCACCATAAAAAATAGCAAACAAATTATGGGATTGCCCCAATTTGATCAATCTTAACCCACTAAAAAATTTAAATAAAAATTAAAACCCCACTGCATGATATGGTTGACCAGAATATCTCTTTATTGCCTGTACTATAAGTAATATTACTATGTATAATAATAATAATATAATTTTGTTTATAAACAAAAAACTGACACAACTTATAATCATAGCTTTTCAAGATGGCGATTTTAAAATTTCTCCACAATGTTAATTTATATTTAATTTTTTATTTTATAAACTATGTCTGATAAAACTAGACGTGTTTTGCAACGTTTCTGCATATTTATCCCAAAAAAATGTTTTTTGTGTCACTTTTCTGGCGTATGAGCGATTTTATGAAACTTTGGTGTGGAGAGAAAATAAAAAAATGAATAATTTTAAATAAATCCAAAAAAAATTTAACAATTTTATTAAAAAATAGGCCATACACCAAACTACAATCATGAAATGTTATTATTCGTTTCCGGGCACAGCTGATTGCTGTTTTTCAACATTATTTCCCAAAGTTACTTTTCTGATATTTTTGTTTGCCTTTTAAAAACGCCTTTAACTTTTTTGTGTTCTTACTTTTTTTCTTTTGGATTTTAAAAACAAGGCCACATACAGAGTGATTCCCTTTTGAGTTAAAAAAAATAAAAATGGTGATTCTCATCAATATTTGGTGACAAAGATGTTAGGGCTAAGTATCTTAAATTTCGAGATACAAAGATATATTTATTACGCTAGCAATTCCATCATCATTTAAAATGATTCATTTTCCATTTTAACGATGTTTTTTTGCCTCCGCTCACGCCACACTTTTTTTCTTGAAATTAACAAAAATACTTTAGGCAGCATAAAAATACTGTTTCTTCTTTATTTTTCTTCAGACATACTCCCTGGCTGGTCTGGGAGCTGGAGTGACAGAAGCAATCCTGGTAAACCCTTTTGAAGTTGTTAAAGTAAAGCTACAAGCAAATAGAGGATCAGGAGTACAACCAAGCACATGGGCTGTCACGAAAGGAATTTTGAAAGCAGAAGGGTTTGCTGGTTTAAATAAAGGTGTAACTGCTACCATTGGCAGGAATGGCGTATTCAATTGTGTTTATTTTGGGTTCTACCATTCTGTGAAGGATGTTATTCCTGCATACAAGGTAATAAAAACATTACTCGATAAATCCGTTTTTTTACATATCTTTATTTATTTCTTTATTAATACATATGTAAACCTTTGAAATTATAATTATAATGTAAAATAAAAAGACAAATAATAAATAACTTAAGTAAATATTAAAAATGGTTTAACTTGTTTTTTTTTTAATTTACTTTATGTTTAAATATTTGTCTTTTTATTTCACATTATACGTTCGAAAATTGCGACATAAATTTATTAAATCTACATATTTTTCGAATAAATTTACATTTAAGTTTACAAAACAATTTCTTTTACACGCAATATTGGAAATCAGTGATATGTATGTTATGAATATTGAGAAGTGACAAGTTTATTAATTACACATATTTTAAGTAAATTATACATTTTGTACTTTTTAGTGTGTTTTTTAGTTTCTTTTATCTATACTGCGCGTCAAAATTAACGCATAATAAGTAAAAAAAATCTAACTCTAAAACGCCTTTACCAATATTTATGAAATTTTGTATAAAAATACTTCAACTTATATCTCAGTTTTCCTGTTCGAGGGTTTTTCAAGAAAATATTTTTAAAGCCCTTTTATTTAATAATAAAAAAACGTTCGAAAAATAACTTTTAGGAAATTTTTTTTAAGCAAATAAAAAATATGCTCTTAAAGACCGTATTTTTGTTACTATACCCTAAAAATTTTGTTCAAATCAAACAAAGATACAGCGCTTCAAAAAATGACTCCTTTTTGATTATTTTGCTGAAAAGTGGTCATTTTTGACGACTTTGAAGCGCTGTATTTTCGTTACTGTTCGTTTGATTTGTACAACATTTTCAGGGTATACTAAAAAAATACGCATATTTTTTATTTACTTAAAAAAAATACGCTATTTGTTGGAAAAATCTATTGTAGAGTATTTTTTTGAATACCTTTCATAACTTACATAATGTTTTTACCCTTGGCAAAACCTTTGACATAAGTTTTGTTAAAAATAATTTTTTTAAATAAAATGTTTTAAATTTTTGTTATTTCATAATATTATATTATTCGTTATTTAACAATAGTACGGAAACGATTTTTTTAATCAAAAGATCTGTTAGTTGGGTTATGCAGACCAACAGTGTAATAATCTTAGAAAAGTTTTATTTTGACAATTTGTAGGATCCATTACCAGAATTTTGTAGAAAAATATGCATAGGATTTGTCTCAGGAACTTTAGCATCTTTAGTAAATATTCCATTCGACGTTGTCAAGTCTCGAATTCAGGGTCCTCAGCCCATTGCTGGCCAAGTTAAATATAGGGGCACTATACAATCCTTAGCTTTGGTATATAAAGAAGAAGGGTAAGTTAATAAATAAAACACCAATTTAACAATATTAATAATAATAATGATGATTAATTTCTGTTACAGTTTTAGGGCGTTATATAAGGGACTTTTGCCGAAAATTCTTCGATTAGGACCAGGTGGAGCCATAATGTTGGTTGTAAATGACTATATGCAACATTTCTTAGCGAAGAAGTTTGAATAAAATTAGTTTTATAAATACGTTCAATGCGAGGGTATGTCAATAAGTCGTCACAAAACTAAAGAGATGGCGCTAAACAAGCCCAGAGCTGGCCAAGTACTTGAGTACTTTTACTTGTATTTCAATTACGAATAAACCCATACAGCACAAAGTGTCCATTGGACGTCAAATGGACTTACATTGGACGTTTGGATGTACAATGGTCGTCCGCTGGACGTCCAATGTATATATGTGCTGTCTGGGAAAAAGTACTTTTTTACTCATAAGTATTTTTCATTTGAAATTCAATGTACTCGTAAAAAATACTCGTGAAATTCACGAGTAAAATTTAAGAGTATTTCCGTTTATGATTTTTGCCAAAATATCGCATCGAAACATTTTTGTTTTTAAGTTTGTTGAAAGTTATATAATACATAGTATAATTAATATATTAAACCCTTTAGGGTTTATAACAAATAAATGGCTAAACTTATAAAATATTTACTTGTTATAACCCTTTAGTGTATATATAGTTTAAAACAGAAATGTTTTCAATTCTCGAAACTTGAGTTATGGTTTTTGCGATATTTTGGCAGGAAGTCAAATTAACAAACTAACAAGTTTGAATTAAAAGTCCAATAAATGTCTTGCTCAATCGAACTTCGAGTGGTATTTGTTGAGAAAAATTCACGAGTAAATAAATTAAGTCATTTTAGTGTTACTTTGGCATTTCTCTATACAATAATACATATTTTACTATGGAGAAAGTAAATAGAAAAATATTTGCAAAATTTTCGTCACTTGCATTTCTGTTCCTTCCTTTTTATCCGTCAGCAAACCGTATTTTTGACAGTTTTTAATAGGTTTAAATTGGCAGGAGTGGAATAGACCTATTCCATAAAACGGACTTTTGGATAGCGCGTGCGTGAAAAGGCACCTTGTCCTTTTTTTAATTATAAAAGAGAAAGAGATACCACTCTTCTTCAGGCACGCGCTATCCAAAAGTCTGTTTTATGGGATAGGTCTATTGTCAATTATATTAACTAACATTTTATTTTCAAAAGTACTCGTACTCTTTACTCGGGTTTTCACAAGTAAAGTAAATGGGCGTTTCTCTGTAAACTGGGCAACTCATTGTCTCAAGCTAATATTGTTTAGAAAAATAACAGGTCATAAATATTTCGTAGATAACTTCAAAAGATAATAACCTAATCTACCTATGCTCGACGTTCAAAACCCAATAAAATAAACTTTAATGTATCAAAATCGTTTTTATAGTCCTTAAAAACCAGTCCCCTGACGTGTCACCAAAGCAAAATGGTCACTTCAGACTAAATTAATTAAAGACAGTAACTATTGGAATCAACCTAATTGTTTAATTATTCAACCAATATTGTTTGCTTGTTACTGTGACTTATTTATTTTTTATAATTATTATTTTGTAATTCTAAAAAAGTCATCTAAACTTTGTCTCCGGATTTTATAAACAGTCCCCTGTATAGATTTTTCAGAAAATGCTCAATGTTTTCCAAAGTAATAGGAATATTTTTGGATCATCTGCCGTATACTAATAAATAGACCGATATTTATTCCTCGAATAACATTTATTAAATATAACAAAAATATAACAAAAAAACTTGCCTAGACAATTTCTTACTTCAAGTTGCCCAGTTTACAGAGAAACGCCCAAATATTTTAAGTATCGTACTTAAAATTTTACGAATACTTTTTTTTAGTACTCGTGACCGGCTATCTAGCAAACATTAAATCGTCGGCCGATGATCGGATAAATGTTGGCAATTGATTTTGCCATTATATCGGCTAGACAACGTCGGTAATTCGTCGAACCAACATTGTTTTTTTATTAGTCGTTTTACGGAATTACACCGATTAAATGTCTGAACATGATCCGAAAGCTTATTTTGGCAAAAGTTGGGACGATATCGTGTTTATTTTCCAGATGTAAAAAGTTTGAAATAATAATCATTTAATTTAATATAAAAAATAAATAAAAAAAACAATTTTATTTTAAACGTTAAAAAATGATTATCGGTAAGCTAACAATAAAATATTTATTAATTAAAATAATATTATTTTTTGTTATGGCCATATTAAAAAAAATTGTTACAAACAATCCTATTTAATTAACAAAGATAAACAAATCAGGGACCCGGACCGAAACCGAAAAAAACCGAAAACCGGAACGGAACCGGTTTTTTTTCCGAACCGAAACCCGAACCGGAACCGTTTTCGCTTTTGATAAAATCTGTTGGACCGGAACCGAAACCTTAATTTGCTTTCATTCTAATAACATTATATAACATATATATATATATATATGTGAGGTTATAGATTAAAATTACGTAAAACAAATATCCTCACTGGAACCGCTTAAAACCGAAAAGAACCAAACCGTTATAACTCCACGAAACCGGAATCGGAACCATTAAAACGAAAATAGGGTGAACCAAAACCGTACCGGAACCGATATTTCATTTCGGTCCGGGTCCCTGAAACAAATATAATAGCGATACATCTCACCGATGCTTACGCTCGCTCGGTATCATCATCATCGAGCCAACGTAAAATATCTGCATGCAAAGTTTGGCCATAAGTCGGCCAACGTACTAATGTTTGCTAGATTTAAGCTAAGCAAAAAAAAGAGTTGTACAATGATTAAACACTTTTTTCTACTCTCACCTTTAAAACGCCCATTATCGTACATATTTCCATGACACTAAGTGATCTTTTAAATACACATTGACAAGTTATGGCGTTTTAGTGACGGGCTGAAGTTAGCAACAGGTTTTTAGTCACGAGCTGAATTTAGTTTTACGTTAGTTGACAGTTCCCAAATGTCATAAAATCGTTAAAATAAAGGGCCCTTCTTGTAAAATAATATTTAATGTAAAAATTATTTTATTATCTCAACACAAAAATTCAAAAGTATTAAATAGTTTCTCGACAATATTTGAAAACAACAAACCTTTTAGTTTTGTCGGCAAACTACAACTTAATTTCGGGTAAAGATTTCACTGTGGAGTGCCAATACAATATTTTCTTTACTTTTACTGTAAAAAACTCTTTCTATATCCGATTAAACGGTCCATTTTCAAGGGATACATTTTGATTTACACATAAAAATTTGATATTTGACATAATACCTACACATTTTCAAGTTGGTAATTCTATTGTTTTATAGATGTCGCTCTATACAAATTCGAATTTAAATCATTTTTAGATAATAATAAGTATTTGTTGTTAAAAAAGTATAGTATGCAACTCGTTTATAAACATTTTTCTACGACCACTATGTAAAAGTCACATTTCATAATGGCATCGTTGCTTAGAAAATGAATCTTTTCAAAGGCAAGGCAAAACACGAATGTAATAGTATATTCTGTAACAAGTTTGGAATACAGCATATTCCGCTCGAGTGAAGAGTTTGTCACACGAGCCGAAGGCGAGTTTGACGGTTTTACGAGAGCGGAATATGCAATTCCAAACGTGTTTCAGACTATACTTTTTCTACGTTTCCAAAAAATAGAAAAATAATTTAATTGGAAGAAAGTGAGGTTGGATCGGTCTAAAATTTGTTAGATATTAAAAACAGAGATGTCGCCACGAGTGTTTATTCTGTCATCAGATGATAGAAGATTTCATTCTGTAACACTTTACGGAATATATGTCATTCCATAGATAAAAGTGATATTAGAAGGGTCAAATTCCGTATTAGGAGTAGAAAAAGACATTTCTGTGTGAAAAGTGATAGGTCTGTGTGAAAAGAAATTGACAGCATCGTTTGACATTCGTTTCAAAATTTGTATTGTAAATGTATATGTATGTCTAAATATCATTTAGAACATAATTAATTGTGTTTGTATTAAATATGTAAATTAAAAGAATAAGTTGAAAGTAATTTTAACAGGTGTCAAACACGGTTTTAGGTTATTTTGTTTTGTATTTGAATATAATTTAAAAAAAGGGTCGTAGAAAAAACATTGTGTTTTACTTGTAAGAAAAGCTTTCTTTAAAATTCGCTTTTCAACACTTGTAAAACAAATAACTATTCTAGGCACTTATTTAATTAAGCACTTAATTAAATTCGTGTCTAAAATGGCGTTTATCAAACTTGATACATAATATACTATTATTTGAACGTTTAACGCCGATAGAACTCAAATTGGGTGAATGAAATAAAGCACTAGGTAGCCAAAAAAAATACGTAGAACGAGGTCATTTCTAAAACAGGGGGCCTTTCCAAAATCTAATTTTTTTGACAAAAAAAGTTAAAAACGCTGGGCTAAGAATACTGTTGATAATTAAAAATGAATCAACTCAAAATAATGCGTTTTTCTATTGTTCCGACTTTTTGACCCACCCTCGTTAGTCTAAAATTCAAGGGGCATTGTTTATAGTTGCCAAATGCTAATTTAAGTACAAACTTTAAATAAAATATCTCAGGTCTAAATAATTAAAATTATGGACGTATTTTATAATTGGTTTGCTATTTAAGTAAGAAGAATGATGTATAAAATAAATTGCGGAATGTTTTAAATTTTGGTGCTTAAAGTGCTTTATTTTAAAAAATGTTGTTTTAAATATAATTTTAAAGTTGAATGCTTTGTTTTTCTATGTGAGTGTGAAGATCCACTAGTTCTGTTTTCAGGCGGTCAAATATATCGGAAAGACTGAAAAATAAGGTAAAAATAATATAAATTAAATTTTATAAAATACTGCCTTACTTTTTTTGGTAGTTCATTTTTTCGGGCAATACTTCAGTGGTGGTTTCAGCGGTCTTTGTTTCAGTATTACATTGAATTCCTATGGATTTTCGTTCCTGAAACAAACATGTACAAATTAATATATTAGTACATTTATTTTACACAACCAATACAAAACACTTTTTATTCTCAAAAATCTGCCATAGTTTTAGGGCAAAGGTATGAAATTATTATAAAATAATTTATTTTTTATTATCATTAACATTTTCATTGTTTAAATTTTGGTATTTTTTTATCACTTTCATGGAAACCTGTTAAAAGGTATAATTTAGAAAATGTTTAGGGGGGGTTTACAGTTCCGGTACCTCTATTTTTAGAAATCTAGAACTGTTGTATATACAGAGTGTTTCACATTCGTGGTCCATTAGAAGCTTAAGCTTAATAATTATGGAGAACGAAAAAAGATTTCAATTTTAAATTTTATAAGCGTTTACAATCCATTTTCCTAAAATATTTTAAACAAAATTCCACTTCCGGTTTAACCGAAAATGACAATAACTTTGTTATTTTAAGTAGAACACCCTATATATATTTTTACATTTTTAAATTTTGTATTAAATTTTTAATTAAATTATTATACCCTGTCCTATACCTAAAGTAAATAGTTTTTGAGTTATTAATTTTTTTTTGTTAAAATTTTACTATTTTATTATAAACACATTAATTAAGTTAACTTAATTTGCACTTGGTTCTCTCATGTAATTTGTTAAAAAATGTTAAAGAATTGAAAAAAAATATTTTAAACGATGTTTTAAGATTCCAAAAATTCCACCTCTATATTCGCAAACCTAATAACAAAAAAGTTATAGGCTATTAATTGACGCACATTTGGTTAATTTTAACCTTAGATTTTAACGTAAACAATTATTAACTTGAACAATATTCACTTTAGGTATAGGACATGGTATAGTAATTTAACTTAAAATTTTGTGTGGAATTTAAAAATGTAAAAATATATGGGGTGTTCTGTTTAAAATAACAGTTAATGTTATAGATAAATAGATTATAAACGATTAAATTTTAAATCGATATCTTTTTCCGTTCCCCAGAAACTTCTAATGAACCACGAATATGAAACACCATGTGTTTGTTTGTTCTACAATCTAGGGACGAAAATGGCCCGACATTTTTTGTACATTTAAGTAAAATGTAGTCTACGATATAAATTATAACAATATAATATATAATATTTTTGAAATCAGTGTACCAATATTACGCTAAAAAAGTTAATGTTTCCTCTGCAGCAAAAATTTAAAGCTGTTGACCAGTTTAATATAGGTATCAAGTTATAAAGTAATTAAATATATTTTCTAATTTTAATACCCTATTTTATGACATCACTTGGTGTAAAAACAATAATTAAATTATAAAGAGTGTATAATAGACTTTCTTTTGTAAACGCAAAATGGAAAAATTCATAACACGTAAAAATAGTTGAGCGTGTAATGTCGGTCATTTTAATATAAGCGGAACCTAATTATCATTAGTATATTAATGTATGCATGAATGCATTTTATACAGGAATATTTAAAGGTCGATTTAATTGATATTTAAATTTAATTAAAATAAATCAATTTTTTTTGTTTAAAACAACTACACATATTAACTGGGCCAATTTATTTTTATACATACAAGTTTGAGAGACAGGTTTTTAAAAGAAATTAAAATAATAGTTCATATAAACTTGTTTTTTAAGTCTTGTTCTCGAAATACTAAGGGATAAAGTTTTTGTCAAATATCTCAAATACTCCATGAACAAATATTATATAATTTTACTGGTTTTTACTATTGGGTAAGGAGTTAATTTTATGTAATTAGACTTAATTTTGATATAACATAGGCGTCGCGGGGACATTCTGTTAAATATAAAATGTAATAGTATTTTATTATACGAGAGATAGGTAATTCACGAGGATAAGGTTTGCATCTAGAGTCGCCAAACGAGAAACTTAAATCAGTGAATAATGCGCATAATCTCGAGTGTAATACTATAGTTTATCTACTGGAATAAGTAGATAATTAAATGATTTTCAAAAGTTTTTTTGTTTTTTATAATGGACAAATAGTTTTTTGAGGTACATTAATGTTTCTTAGTTTACCTTTATTGTCACTTTAACTACCCAGATAACATTATGAGGTTCATAATTGACGCATATTGCAGTCACAACGTGATTGTAATCCCCACGTATGCACGCATATATGCATCATTTGCGTCATCAATTGAGGTTCATATAGCCAGCACATGTGATGGTTGGAGAAACATTGTGAGGTTCATAATTTACGCATATTGCAGTCACAACGTGATTCTTAATAGGCACGTATGTCACATATATGCCTCATTTGCGTTTATCTACTGGAATAAGTAGATAATTAAATGATTTTCAAAAGTTTTTTTGTTTTTTATAATGGACAAATAGTTTTTTGAGGTACATTAATGTTTCTTAGTTTACCTTTATTGTCACTTTAACTACCCAGATAACATTATGAGGTTCATAATTGACGCATATTGCAGTCACAACGTGATTGTAATCCCCACGTATGCACGCATATATGCACCATTTGCGTCATCAATTGAGGTTCATATAGCCAGCACATGTGATGGTTGGAGAAACATTGTGAGGTTCATAATTTACGCATATTGCAGTCACAACGTGATTCTTAATAGGCACGTATGTCACATATATGCCTCATTTGCGTCATTATTAAGTTTCATGTGATGGTTGAAGAAATTTTTCTGGGAATGATTAACAGGTGAATTTTGGACTTGCATTGCCTTAATTTGATTGTTTTTCTTACGTTTCGATTAGTAATTATCTTTAATTGTCTTCAGTTATTACCATTAGAGATAATTACTAATCGAAAAGTTGTAAGAAAAACAATCAAATTAAGACAAGGCAAGTTCAAAATATGTTTTTCTTTAAGTCATTTATTTTAGTTTTTGTGACAATTATCTACATTTATAGAAAAATATCTTATTTTAATTAAAATTAGGTATCTTCTTACAAATTCATAAATAAATTAATAATAAATTAATTTATAAACGTGATCTTAAGATCAACGTGTTAACTCGTTAATCTTAATATCAATTCCAATTTGGAATTCCAAATAAAATTATGTATATTTTTTATACAAATGTAGTCTTTACAAATCCAGTCTTTTCACAAATTAACTATTTGGTATAATGAATATCATATCGCAGCGTTTTTACCGTCATGCATGATTCCGCACGAAGTGAAGGCAATGTGCGTTTTGATGCCCGTGCGTGTATTCCCATTAATCATAAAATGAATATAATATCTGAGTAGAGATTGCAAACTAAACCTCCAAACTTTTGACGTTAAATTCCGAATAAGAAATACGAACTCTAGTAGGTACTCACAATTAATAATTATTTAGTTTTTTAATTGTGGTACTTGCAATTAACAATAAATTAATTGTTAATCTTTAATTGTACTTACGAACACATTAATTTTGCCCCAAGTATTATACAAATCAATTTCTTAAATTATCTATTTCAATTTAAAAAAAAAGTAAATATTTGCGACAATTTCTGTTGCAAAATTAACACGTTTTTTATATGATTAAATCTAGACTAAACTCGCAATATTTTAAAGTAGTTGTCCTATAAATTTTAGTATTGTTACAAATAATTTTTTCGAGTATCTTAAGTAAATTAAATGTGCAACTATTGGGCAACTTAAAATTACACGTTTCAATTCAATTTGATAAGCGGTGTCGAAAACATAATCGTTTCACTTTCTGTAAACGGTCATTATCATTGCTGACAACATTAAACTACATAACTAGAGAGCAATTTCTCTTGTAGAATTTTATAAGTACATTTAGATTCCGATAAAGTACTTAGAAGTAGTTTTAGATTTTAAATTTTATAAGGTTTAATAGTCGCTTAGGAAACTAAAATTTATACCATCAGTAACTAATCAAATTCTACTTTATAAAGGCATTTTTTTTTCTAATGGCTTGTTGCCTAAACCGCAAGTAATAGTATAATAATCAATCAATCAAATCAATTACACACATTTAATATTTCATTTGTCATGCTAGTCAAGCGGTATTCTTACTATTCTTAACAAACAGCTAAAATTACATGCATTAGTGTGTTTTTATCAAATGAAAATGAAACTATAGAAAAAACAATAAGAACCGTTGATGCATTAACAGCCACTGAATCAAATAATAACTTTATGTAATAGTATTGTTCACTTTCGCGAAAAAACGTAATATTATCTCAATCTAGTAAAGTAAGTAAAAAAGTTTCCTTTCGCTAGTTGACAAGTGAAATTATTTATCAGCACAGTTTAGTTCAATTTATGCAGGCGAAGAATAAACACCCTAGCAAAAATAGTTATGGAAACATGTTAATAGGAAGGAGTACTTGTGTCGTTCTACAAGTTATAGTGCTTGTTTATGGGAATGTTAGTGTTAACGATCAGGATAGAGATAAAAGAAACATTGGAACAGTTTTAAGAAATGTCGCAGATATTTTTGGATATGATGTTCAGAAAAGACCAACAGTAATTCCACCCCCTCCACCAACAACTGCTCCTCCACCCCCACCGCCTCCTCCACCTCCAAAACCACCCGCAAGACCTCCTCCTCCTCCTCCATCAAGAAGGCCGCCTCCTCCACCACCAGTTATAACTCCTCCTCCATTACTTACCGATAGTGTAAGAAAAACTTTCAATCTTAATTTTAATTGGAATAGAAGTGTACAGCCTCCTTCACCCCCTGCTCCTCCAGCGCCACCTCAACAACCTCCTTCGCCGCCTCCACCTCCTCAAAACCCACCCCCGCCACCTCCACCCCCTCAAAAACCACGCCCGCCACCTCCACCCCCTCAAAACCCACCCCCGCCACCTCCACCCCCTCAAAAACCACGACCTCCAAAACCAGCACCTCCCCCATCTTCCAAAATACCTCAAAACTACCGAGACTACGAAGAAGAAGAGGAGGAAGATGAAAAAGAAAGGTACCAAAACGAAGAGGAGGAAGAGAATGACAGACCTGAAAGAATCCAGTTAAATTTTCCTGATTTCTCCAACGAGGAAGAAAGTGATAGAAGAAGAGATGTCAACATCCAATTGCTAGATGCAGCCCACAACAAGAAAAAGTTTAAGAAAGAATTTGATAATTTTTGGGAAAACTCGCCCTTTACTGTGAATAATGGTTACAAATTTATTGCACCTCCCGTTGATACGGAAAGAGGTAACTTTGATCCTTTAAGTGACTACTCCGACCCCACGCATAACTCAGTACGAAGTTCCCGGCAATACAACGAAAATCAAAATACTTTTTACTCTGAAGAGCAACCAGAAACTGTAAACGATCATATTCTTGATTATTACGGTACGAAATTCGCAAATGATGCGGAATACAAACAAAAATTGATCCAACCTCAGTATTATGATCCATATTACAATTCCTATGTGCAACCTTCGCATATTAATTTACAAGAGTATACAGAACAATACGAAGAAGTCACCACCATTCAGCCTAGTCAACCCTTGGCGATAAATGTCCCTGATTATTCTTCAAACAGTGAAGAACTAAACCAACCACAAAACGAACCTTATCATCCTTTGGGCAGTGAAGAAACAACCAACGAAGAACAAAGAGCACCGAATCAAAAACCCCTGGAAAATATTTACGTTATTAACGATTATAACGAAGAAGATGACATTGCCACAGTAACCAAAGTACCTAGTGAAAATGATCCAGTTGAAAACCAAAAATCCCCAGAAAGCATACATAAATATTACGACGACGTTAAGCAACATTACAATTACAATAACCCTTACTTAGCCTATCCTAATTACCATGATAACTACGAAAAAAGTCCAGAAAATCCTTATAAACAAGAACAAGCATTGAGAGAAGAAGTAACAAGGAATGAAGACAAAGAAATACAATCAAATCAAGAAAACTATGATGAGGATGAAAAAAGACAAAATTTGAAAAATGAAGATAATAAATTTGAAAAACATGTTGAATTTAATAATCCCGATGAAAATTTTGCTGTAGAAAATGTTGAAAATAAAGAAAATTATCACAAATCCAGCGAGAAACAAATTGAAAATAATGAAGAGGGAGATGAAGTTTATGCTAAAGAAAATATTCAAGACGCGTTGGAAAGAGGACAGTACAAAGATAAAGAACAAGATTTGGAAAATGAAGATTTAAAGGAAAATGAAGATGAGGGTAGTAATGATGAGAAAAAAGAAGATGTAAAGGAATCTAAAGATGACAAAGAAGAAAGTGAAGATTTGGAAAATGAAAATGTAAAAGAAGAAGAAGAAGAAGAATATATGGACGAAAATAAAACACAAGAAGAATATAATAAAAAACAACGTGATGAATTTAAGGAAAATTTAAAAGAATTGGACAAATTTATTGATGATCACTTTCAAAGCAATATAAAAAATAATAAAGATAATCATAAACAAGGCAAGTTTAAAATAACTAATGGCCCTGAAAATCTTAGAGAGGAAAGTAAAAGACAATCAGAATACACTAAAGATTGCAACGAGAAAGTAAGTGAGAAACCTAGGTATAAATCAAGTAAATATGGTGGACATAAAAAGTTGGAGAAAAAACCGTCAGTTTTGCAAGTAATTGAAAAATATCAAAAACCAAGAAAGCCCCATACGACCACACGAAGACCAAAACAAAAATATGAAGCAACTAGAAGCGAAGAGGTGATAGTAGCCCCGTTATTCTCCGGTGTTTTAAATTTTGGGGCTCTTAACGAAATGGCCAAGCCAAGCAAATTTTCCATACCCATTGAAATGGACTACAGTGGTTCCCAGAAGAATTTGGTTAAGTCCAAGTTAAAAAGTAAATTTGTCCCATACACCAAAAGTGGAATTGTCAGGGGAAAACGCAATGTAAGCTGGTATGTTCCAGATAGGTATTCATCAGATGCTGAATATAAATTCCCAGAAGTAAAAGAACCAGATTATGCTAAATTGGAAGCGAAAGACTATGCAGAAGATAAAGATGAAAAATTGTCGCCCAACGCAAGAATCTTTAACAAACATTCCGGATCCAAAAAAACAATAATACGAGTCAATAAACACATTACGCAATCATATTAAAAAATATATATTGAACTTTTTAATTTATTTCCCAATACTTTAATTAATTAGTCATTATTTATATTAACGTGCCTTTTTAAATTAAATAATTGTTTGTTGTACTTCATTTACTGTATTGTTTACAATTTAATGAAATAATTTAAATGTTTTGTTAATTTTACTTGACGTAAGTGTGTCTTATTTTTTTTAAACACAAGGTAAATTATAATTTTTATTATAAAAATTGTAATACAACATAAACATTAAAATTTTGTTAGTTTTTTCGTTGTTATTATTTTTAAAAATAACTATTATTTGAAGAATGTTTTTTTTAACCACACCGTGTACAGTAATTTAGACTCACCCCTAACAAAATATAGGTTATTAGGTGAAAATTAGTATTAAATAATTAATTAATTACAGTGTTACAAAATCTACTGACTGAATTTCAGTCTAGCTAGACTAGAGTTTTTTGTTTAATTAACACATTAAAAATACAATACCTACGTAATTTGCATTCTGTTCGAAAAGTTTTCTCATAAAGGGTTTCTACATTTTTCATGGATAACTTGACAAAATAAATTTTTGTATACAAAAAAGATTTCCTACTTAAATATTTTCAATACAATTTAGTTTAGTGTGGTGGTGAATCCAGTGCCGTGCATATGAATTTTGTATTTTGTAAAAATATGGCGTCTTTTGTTCCAAAAAAACAGTTTATCAAGGCCAACACTTTAAAACAAATCCGGTTAAAATCGCACTGTATATAAGATTATAAGTGTAAAATTGTTATAGAAACGCTTAAAAAATATTTAAAATATGGGTTTTCATCGTGGTAATAATAATAATAATAATATTCCCTAATATTATAAAATAAAGGGAAACCCTGTATAATCGATATGTGTAAGACTTTATATTTAATTTAGTTCTTAAAAATAATTCCTTGAAATCGTAAAATAAATTGAATTGTCGTTGAATAATAAATGAGACAAGGTATAAGAAAAAACATTTTTTATATATTTTTTTTTAATTTCAATAAAAACTACTAGGTACAATTTCAGTAAATGTTGTGAGTAAAATAAAAAATAATTGATAAATTAAATAAAGTATTTACTTTAGTACAAGAACCTTCTTAATTAGGTATAATGTAAACATAGTATTTCTTAATATCGATTTTTATTTTTAAGATAGGTATTCAACATTTAAACTTTTTTCTACTCCCTCCTTTAAAACGCCCTTTATCGTACATGTTTCCAGGACACTAAGTGACCTTTTAAATACACATTGACAAGTTGTGGCTTTATTGCGCTTTAGTCACGGGCTGAAGTTAGCAGCAAGTTTTAAGTTAGTTGACAGTTGTCAAATGTCATACAATCGTTAAAATAAAGTGCCTTTCTTGTAAAATAAAACTAAATATGAAAATTATTTTATTATCTCAATACAAAAATACAAAAGTATTAAATAGTTCTTAACGCCAATATTTGAAAAGTTTATATGAACATTGTACTGACCTTTTAATTTCGCCGGTAGTAAACTATAACTAAAATTCGGGCACGGACTCCCCTGTAAAGTGCTCATAAAACATTTTCTTTACTTTCACTGTGAAAAACTGTCAATTTTCAAGAAATGCATTTCGATTTATAACCTTTATAATCTGTGTTTATAAAATATAAAAATTTGACATTTGACGGTGACACACAGATTCCCCTATTGTTTTATAGATGGCGCTCCATACAAATTTTTTATTTAAATCATTTTAAGATAATAATAAGTATTTGTCGTAGAAAAAGTATAGTATGTACCTCGTTTATAAACTTTTCTATACACTCATTAATTTAAGCACTCGCTCGCAAGCTGGCCTAAATTAAATTCGTGTATAAAATGGCGTTTATCAAACTTGATACATAATATAATATAAAGTTGGTTTTAATTTTAAATGTCTTTAAAACAATCGAAAGATAAAAAATATGTTGATGCTAAAGACTTTTTAAGTAAGGTGTCACTTTTCAATTTTAAACTAACCATAAACTTCACCTTTTGTCTTCGCCTTTAATTACTTTTTAACATAATATGTGTTCCATGTGTTCTTAATACCTATAGGGCACTTATAAGTGCCCACCAATATTTATTGTAATGTATATTACGTCTGTACATGTAATTTAATTATTACATCTTTTCAACTAAAACATAGCGACATTACACATTGTTATAATTATAGATAGGTAAGTAGGTAATTAAATAGCATAATAGCGACAATAGCTTACCAACTAGTTGTAACTGTATTTGGGTATTTAAATGGCAATGAGTCATTAATAATAACTGTTAAAAGAAAGGGAAAATGCCACGTAAAAGTGTCCTAGAAATGAGTGCGAATAAATAGACATTTTTATTGATGTTATTATTTAACCGTAAATTTAAATTTGTTGAATTATAGACTTCCATGTTTTTGTCAGGAAAAATGTTATTAGGAAGTAGTTTTAATAAACATTTCCAAGTATTATAGATTGTAATAGATATAGTTTAAAAAAGAATTAATTTATAGCATTCGTTTTACGAACTGTTACATTTAAAACCATAAGGACTTAAAGGTTTTATATACAAGGTGACCCTTAACTTAGTGCCATAAATTTAGAAGCAGATTAAGAAAGTCAAAATAAGACGAAAATCTAAATAAATATTTTTCCTAATTACGTATGTTTAAAAGATACGGGGTGATAAAGTGTGACATATCAGTTTTTTTAATGTAACTTCTACTATGGTAGACTTGAAAGGTCATATTTTGCGAACAGTCACTTACTACCAAAACACATATTCACACATAATTACAATTGTTCGAGTGAACACAGTATAATAGAAACAACCCCTGTTTAAGCTTATTATACCATTTGATGCAATTTTTCGATTACTTATAGGCGGTTTATTTTATCGAAGTTTGAGAGGTACACCTTTTTAATAGTAGCCGAACTAAGTAATCGAAAAAATGCATCAAATTGTATAAAAACCTAACCTCCAAGTTTGTATAGGACAATAAGCTTAAGCAACCCCCGTTTCTACGACACTGTGTTCACTCAAACAATTATAATTATGTGTGAATATGTGTTTTGGTAGTAACTGACTATTCGCAAAATTTACCTTTCCAAGACTTTCATAGCAGAAGTCTTATTATTGCTCAATATTTTCCTAAATTTATGCCAATAAGTTTAGGGACACCTTGTATATTCCATTTTAAAGATGACTATAAATTTTACAGAATAACTGTCCGTTAGTTCGGGCAAGACTATGTGTAAAAATATAATTTTTTTATTTATATATAATAATTTAATTCGTTTTTTTAAATATACAATATTTATTATTATATTATACACTTACAAAACTAATAAATACGAACGTTTTTTTTAATCGTAATTTTCGCTTGTTTCACTTCAAACGCATAGACAAAAATGGTACTATCGGAAATTATTATATTATACTAGCTGTTAACCTGCGGGCTCCACCCCTGGAAGCCGCCCCCGAGGCCAGCCCCTAGCTACGACTCTGTAGGGGCAGTATACCGCGTCCTTTTTTGCAAAAATGGTGGATGCGCCAGGAATATTTAATTAATAGAGAATGTGTTAATAACTTCACTACAGCGCCACCTATCGGATCCTAGCATAGCTATAAACCATCGTCAAAAAATATTTTAGTTGCACTTCTTTATTGCATTTTTATGCGATTTTTTCCACTCCCTTCAATTTTTAGTCGCCTTTTTCTGTTTGTTTTTTTTGGATTTTACTTGTACTGTGTGGATTACAATGATGTTATAAAAATTTATAAATTCTTTTAAACATTAAATTTTATGAAATATTTATATCCTTAAAAAATACCAACAATGCAAACAATAGTTCAAAGCCCAAAGGACACTTCTTTGCCGAATAGCATAGTAAAAATAAATTATTTACCACTTTGGATTAATAAAAAATTTGACTTCCGTCAGATCTATCTAACTTCACTTTCTATTTTTAATATTACATTTAATGAACATTTCATGTATCGTTTAACAAATAAAATTGTGTCTTCAAGGCGCAATTTTATTTGTTAAACAATACATAAAAATTACCAAGTGCATGTACAACTATTACTGCTGCAAATACTATTTGGATTGTATACAATGTATAGCCTTTGGATACAAGACAACTTTTTTAAATAATACGAAAATCTGGTAAGTGTAGCAATTGCATAAGAAGTCATTTGGAGGAAAAACCAGATACAAAATTTATGGGTTTGTGTATCAGGTCTGAACAACTTTCCCTAAATATAATTATTTGTGTTTTGATATTTGCCAATTTATCATTTGAATTGAGATCAAAATTGCATCACGTGTATGTTTATAGGATGATTTTTATTTTGGTTTTAGTTACCTACCTACCTACCAGTGGCGGACTGTCCGTCTGAGGCCCAGGGCGAAAAAATAAAATGCAGCATTAAGTTTCAGTCGGTTTTTATTTTTGAAAAATAATATTTAATTTGTAGTAGATCCTTTGCAACCCCCCTCCCCAAGACAACAAATATAATCAGGGACATAAACATTGATTACAAACTTGTAAGAAATTTATTTTTCCAAATTATAGGGCTCACTCATAGCAGTTCTAGATTAAAAATGATTTAATGTTATAATGATCTTTTTTCCGGGGCAAACAGCCCCCTTACCCTGCCACTGCTACAAGTTGAAACATTTCTTTGACATTTAAAATATTTTAAATGCTAAATAAATCAACCAACATGAATATCAAATTCAGTTATTACATTAGCAAAATTATACATAACATTGATCCCGTGTCAAATAATTTATTTCATGAATAAATTTGTGCTGCAGCACATGTGAATGAATTGTATTAATGGGCAGTCATTAACGTATGTAATTTAACCGACCAAATGGTATTTTAATAAAAATTAGGTGTAATTAATTAACGTAATCAACAATTAAACACTGGTTTTTGTAATTACAAAATAATTAATAGATAGACAGTATTTCGTTTATAATTTAATTCGATGTATATGTATAGGCGATGTGCGTAAATATAATTACAGCAATTAAATTGCTTTGCGTTTTATACTTTTATCTAATGGGCGCGTGTAAATAATTATATATTCAATTTCAATGCATATTGTAAATTACTCATTTAAGACATTAATTTACATGCATTAGCGGATCCCAGTTAAGTGGGCATCGGTGCAAACTATACTTGTGGCCCCTGTACAGTGTACACTGTACATGTGCCTGCAAAACAAATTTTTAAAAATTCTGCACATAATAGTCCAAATATCTATTTTATTTTATAAGTAGGAAAAATATATTAAAAAAAAATACAAAACCAAAATTTTTAAAGTAAACTTAACACATGGCATTTTTTGGAAAAATTAAATAAAAATTCAAAAATCACACACTTGTCGATAGTGTTTTTTATAGCCTTCTATGATTGTTTGCGTTTAAAATGTATTCCATATAATATATGGAATACATTTTAAACGCAAGGCGGAGATATGACCCGGCAATTCGGACAACCAGGCAACATTGCTTCTACTATACAGGATGTTTTTATTGCGGCATGCTCTATGAATCACCTATGATCTTGTTAATAACCATTTATAATTATGGCCAAATTAACAAAGCTATTTTTTATATATTATATGCATAAATAACATATTATGTTATTTATGCAAGTATGTGTATATAAAAAATAGCTAGTTAATTTGGCCATAATTTTGGCTGGTTATTAACAAGATCATAGGTGATCCATAGAGCATTCCGCAATAAAAACATCCTTTATAGTAGTAGCAATGTTGCCTGGTTGTCCGAACTGCCGGGTCATATCTCCGCCCCTGTTTTAAATGTCATGTCAAAAAAGTAGACCAAAATTATAATAAATAAACAATTAATAAACACTTAAAAAATGTAAGTTATAATTATTCCCAGATATTACTTATTATTGGTTTGAATTATGATTAACAAAGTAATACATTTAAATTTTGACTTTAATCAAATTACACCTAGTCTGCTTTTTTAAATAAAAAATCAAGCATTGTAAAAAATGCATAGGTACCAACTTGCAAAAACAAAATTAACTTTGTTATTTTATTACATTTGATTTAAAAAACAAACAATTTTCCAACTGATTTTATAATTATTTATGTTTTAATACAAAAGGCACTATATGCATATACATTGTAACACAGGACGTGAATTATAAAAAGTAAAAAATAGGATTTAAATGCAACATTGCTTTATACAAATATTTAATTTAAATCATTTTTTAGATAATATGTTATAAGTATTTATCGTAAAAAAAGTATAGTATGCAACTCGTTTATAAAATTTTCTAGGCACTCATTTAATCAATTAAATTCGTGACTAAAATTAAGTTTATGAAACTTAATACATAATATACTATTAAAAATAAAATTATGGTAGTCAGCAAATAAATAAAACCAAATATTCCTAGATAATCACTTATTCTTAATCAAGTGAATCTTCTAGACGAAAATGACAGATTTATAATTTTGGTTACACAGTTAAGCAAAATAAACGATAACATTCCGTGAAGCCTTAGCCACTTAGCCAATGATTTTTATTTATAGAATTATGGTTATGTACACAATCATGACTGATATAAATTTTTCTTTATTTATAATAAATTTTGAAAAATAAATAATGCAGAAAAAGTCATAACTCCAGTTCTTCTAAATTCGGCCCTGCAATCATAATAATTATAAACAACGGCGCTTTCATTATCGATAATTTTTAAGCCATTGTGGTATTACCTCCGAAGATTTTTTATTCCTATAAGCACAAGATTCACCAGCACGAATACAATTTTGTGTGATAAGGAGCTTTCCAGTCATGATAACTTCCAAGAGAAGAACCTTAGGTCCTCAAATGAAATTGTACAGGAGATGCGATTAAAGTTTGCGCAGCATAGGCGTTCGTGTAGTAACGTTTGATTTCAGAAATTCGTAGTATTACAAATTTTTCAGATAAACAAATCATTATTGGACGTTTGAAAGATATTGTAACAAATCTACCATGCAAAAACCATTATAATTGTTTGGACCTAAGGTTCTTTTTACATAATATGTAAATAAGCAACATTTTGATAAAGAGGTTCAGTTCAGCCAACATACAGAATACTAGGTCATTCCAAACTTTGTACATTTCACAAGTAATATTTTTTTTACCTGGGTCGTTTCATCCATATGTTTATAATAACACATTAATGTAGTACATGGCCTGTACTATTTAAAACCTATATACTGTCTGTCCACTCTAAGTTGGCGGAACTAAGGAATTTTGTAGTTTAGATATTAAAGAATTGTCGTACTGTGTGCTTTTAAAACAGATTTTATATTATAAATAATACTAGTACATATTATATATATTTATAATATAAAATCTGTTTTAAAAGCACACAGTACGACAATTCTTTAATATCTAAACAACAAAATTCCTTAGTTCAGCCAACTTAGAGTGGACAGACAGTACCTTCTTACCTGTGATAAATAAAAATATTACCTTTTTTAAATTTAATTTATACAATTTTGATTAATGGCTTATTAAATCGACTTATGGACCAAATCAATGTTGAATATTTGGCCTTCATAAAAGTTGTATACTAAACCATTGTTTTCTTTACATGTACTTCATACCGATAGAAGGCAATAGCCTAAATAAGGCACACATAGTCTCAATAATTTGGCCAATGCATTCCTACAAGTTTTATAGATATAATTTTTACTGATACAAAATAGATAAAGATTGATTACCTATGCAAGTGACATACCAGCACTTTCTTTACAATGTCATATGAATATATTTAATATTAATTAAGTTCAATTTACTAATTTAAAATCAGATCTCGTTTATTAGAACCATCCAGTATAAAAACAAAAAGAAAGTGTTTGATTTGTTTTTTATTACTGGACATCAAAGTGCAATGGTTGCAGCTTAATTTTTATTAGTATTAATTTTTTAAGTGCAAACATGTTAAAAAAATTGGTAAGTAAGATAAAGGTGATGTGCTGTGCTGAAAAAGTGTTTAAAGACAAGTGACGAATTAAGGGATTGTTTCAATTAATAAGGACTATCAGTGTTACTTTATGTAATAGTCTAAAAAATTTTCCAATTTTTACAAAATTCTTTTCTTAAGAATATCCCCCTAGTTACAACTCTTTGACGTATTTTTACTTTCATAAGTTTTTTCCAATACTTTAAAAAACGTTTTATGTATCATAAATTTTTGACATAAAAATACTACTGGATTATTTTTATCTCATTGTTATTTTTTTATTTTTACTAATTCTATACATTTTCGCTATTTTCTTTAATGATATGTTTAATACTTTGTCTTTCTATGGATAACTAGATTAAATATTCCTTAAATATATTCTGGGTTAATTTTAAAATAATATTATGGAAGTACTTTAACATTCTTACTCGAATTTATTTTAGTAGGTAGCAAGTACGTATAATTAAAAAATGAATCTGTTACTTGACCCAAAAAATGTTCAACATTATAAATTAATATGAAATAATGCATTGTGTCACAACTCTTGTTAAAAGTTCCATTAATTAATTACTTACATTTATTTTTTTATATAACATTTTTATTTTATCAAGTATGTTTTTAATTTACAAATTATTTAAAATATTTTTCCTTTTTAAATATATTTTTGGCTATTATTATGAATTTTTAAACAAACAAAAGAATAATTAAATTTTACGCAAGTTTATAGTAGGTACCATTTTTGTGTACATTTTTAATTCGATGTTTATTTTTCAGGTCCTGTTGACTATTGCGTTGTCAATTATACAAACAGCTTTCTCAGAGTCCGATCTCCAAAATAAAAATTCTTATGAAATAAATCCTTTACATGACAATCAAAATGATTTAAGAGAAAAGGATCAAGATAAAAGAACAATATTTTCTCCGAGCTACTCAAACTTTGGATTGGCTAAACACATAGGAGTAAGCTCCGGCGGTAGAAAAGTGGTACTTGGATACAGTCCTGTGGATTTAAAATTCGTTCCTGTAGTGAAACCTCTACGACAAAGTTATCATTATCCACGACCTAAATTCCAATTAAGGCCTTCTTTGTTTCTAAAACCCAATTTGAAGATCCATGGTAGTGGGTGGAAATCTGTTCCAACAATACACAAACCGGTATTACCTGTAAATGTTCCTCCACCACCTGTGCATCATCACCACATTGTCAAACCTGCGTTGCTAAGACCAGAAGAAGTTAGACCTGTTCAAGTACCCGTGCATGTGCACCAACCTTTACCAATTAAACCAGCAGAGCCATTCCATCCTGTAGCTGTATCACCCACACCTATAGTCCCTGTGGTGCCCATACCTCCTGCTTCAGTAGCTCACATCCCTCACGTTGATCACTTCCATAACCACATAGATCACGTGCATTACTCACCAAGTGGTATCGCTACAGCAATTCCACATCCTCCGGTACTACCAGCCTATCCTGCTGTGGCACCTCAGCCATTGTTACCAGCTTTCAGACCATCGCCCTTGTTTGAAGTTGGCAGACCTGATTTAGGAGTACTGCCTCTTGGTGCTACCTTTCAATCAGCGGTTTTACCTGATGTTCCTCACGCACATGTTAAACCTACCTTCATACACCAGCACTTACAACCTTTTGTACATCAACATGTTGCACAAGTAGTACCCCAGCATGTTACACCAATAGTACATCAACAATTAGTACATCAACACGTTACACCAATAGTGCCCCAACAAATAGTACCTCATCCGGTTCAAGTGCACCATCATGGTACTCCAGTAGTGCAACAAGTATTGCCAAGACCAGTAACTCCAGTACCTGTTGGTACCTCCATTGAGTTCCATGGAACATATCACCCTCATGCGATCAATGGACAAGTACCAAGGGATATCCTCCCAACAGTACCAAACCCTGTTCAGCAGTTCTTTGTGCCTCCAGTAAACGCTGCACATCCAGTTTTACCTACAACGTACCACAACTTCCATTCCCATAACATACCGCAACAACCCCAAGATTTATCACAAGTTTTCCATCCGCAGTTGCCAACGCAACCCCAAATGCAAAACTTTTTCCCTCAGTCACAGCAACCTGAAACCCCACAGCCTGTACAACCTCTGGAAAATACCAACAGTCACCAAGGGTACATATATAACCAACCTCAACAGCAATACACCCAACAACAGTACGATCAGGATTATGAAAATCAGAACGTTATTCAGCCTGGACAAACTGATTTGCAATTGCCTTTACATTTACCTCAGCACGATCTTTTTAATAGGCAACAACAAGAATACCTGTTGAATAGGCAGCAGGAACAGTATCAGCAATATCAGGATCAAATCAGCCAGCAGACAGAGAATGTATTTAGGCCTTCGCCATCATTAGAAGCACCGTATATCAATAGAAGAACAGCGGAAGACAGATCCTCTGAGATGGACGAGGATTATAGCGATGAAGAAGTAGATGACAAAGAGGATTCTAAGAAGAAATAAGATTTAAAAAACGTAGTAATTTATAAGTAGTATTTATATTTAAGTTTTTAGGTATAAAAAGATATATACTTTGGAATCCTGCAAGATATTTCTGGAATCTTTTTAAAATAGAAAACAATTTGAGTTTGTAAAGTATACTATTCTAGTCTTTGTACATATTTTATTATTTAAACAATTCTTATTGTGCTTTATAAATATTATTTTTTTATAAAAATTATTAAAATAACATAAAAATAAATATGTGAATATAAATGTATATTTTAATTGAAAACATTAACACAAAAATGAAGGGTGTGACCGCTTTTGAGAGGGTGTCAACAAATAAATCCAGAAAGACCGCGGAATTATTAATAATAATAATAATAATAATAATAATAAAAATCTTTATTTAGCTAAAGTTATTATACAACAAATAATATAAAACATTTAATCAAAATATATTACTATGTATGTAAATTCTTAATAGTGACTTAAATCTATTTAAATTGTTGTTGCATCAACCCCTTCTTCATCTATGGTGGATTTTCTAAATTGGCATAGGGCATACAAATAATGTGTGTAAATGTTATTTTAAAAAGTGGAAAAATTTAAAATAGATTCATGAACTCTCTAAAAATGAATAAGTCACAAATGACTAATTCCTACAGTTATTCGAGGCTGCTTTTTCACTTATACCATGGCACACCATGTGATACCATGGTATCCCCAACATTTTATGTTGATTCTTATGTAAAATTGTCTCCTAAATCCGAAAATACCGTCAAAAATTATAAAAGTAGAGCAGTTTTTGAGATATAGTCAATTCCATATTATATGAAAATTTGACTATATCTCAAAAACTTTTATACTTTTCTAACTTTTCAGGGGGCAATTTTACATGGAATTTGACTAAATGTTTGAGATGCAAATTGCTATTAACGAGAATTATTAGTGTTTCAGACTATACTTTTTCTACGTTTCCAAAAAATACCATAGACAACTAATTTTATTGGGGGAAGTGAGGTTGGATTGGTATATAATTTGTTACATATTAAAAACAGAGATGACACCACCAGTGTTTATTCTGTCATCAGATGATAGAATATTTCATTCTGTAACACTTTACGGAATATATGTCATTCCATACATAAAAGTGATATTAGAACGGTCATATTCCGTAATAGGAGTAGAAAAAGTACCATATAGTACATATCGTCATATTCCTGGCAAAAGTCACAAAGTGAAATTTTGTAAAAATGTACCTAACTATAGAATATTAGAAATGGTAGTTTTTGCATGGTATATATAGTTTATAAACTAATGTAATAGATATATATTCATTTACTAATTTACTTATTTACATATTTTATCTTTAAGCTTAATAATAAAATGTTAGTGACTTCTGGCATGGATATGACGTTTTATTTATTTATTAATATTATGTTCTATTAACAATTGTAATCCTATTTTAAATTTTTAATATCTTTTCTACTCCCACCTAGTACATGTTTCCATGGCAATCTTTTAAATACATCTTGACAAGCTAAGACTAATAGCATTTTAGACACGGGCTGAAGTTAGATTTCGTGCTTTTTAGTCACAGCTAGTTGATAAATGTTAATCGTCAAAATAAAACAATATAAAGTTAGGTTAGAAAAGTCTGACAGATGTCAGATCTTATTTATTTTCAAAATTATTTCATTTTTGTGTTAATCGTAGAAAAAGTAAAACGTTAACTGAAAAACTTTGGTTTAGTACTTGATTTCGATTTAATATTCCTTATATTATTGATTAAGAAACTCAACACTTATATGCTTATATAAGTATAGTTACGTTAGTGTGTGTATTTTATTTAAGTGATCATAGCAAGTTATTGTGTTTTTAATTGTAAAAATGATTCAAGAACTAAATTGTTGCAATATCATGTTTTGCCAAAGGATCCAATTTGGTAAGTTCATTTTTTGGTGCTGAATTAATGAATGATAACTTTATTATATTTAAATTTGGACATTTTTAAGAAGTCTAACAAAAAATAATTGTTGTGCAAACATAACCTTAAAATCAACACATTTGTATAGCCTCAAAAATATATCTACGAATTCATGGCAACATAATATTATATATAATATATATAATACCTGTTTTTGGTATTTTACCTTTGAGTGGAGACTTTCAAAATTAACGCTTTTAATAATGCATAATGCTGTTATGATTTTAACTGAATTAAATTGTTTACAATTTTCACGTAAATTACTAAATTGTGTATTTATTGTATGCATTAGGTAGGTACAATTTTTATTTACAGGAACTTTATGCAAGTTATTTCTTCATTCGGATTTGCACAATTGCAAAACCGGTAAAAACTCAACCCAGGATTTTTTCTCAAAAAACACCCAACTACACAACAAATCGTTTTTTTAATTTAATATTAACACTCGTTTGTGACATATATAGGTACATTTTATCTAGGGTAACCTACTCCAAATATTTATTATTATTATTTTTTATTTGCAAACATTAATATTTAACATCTTTTTAACATTAAATTTACATAACATCAGATAACACAGGTCAGCAAAGGTTATTGCTTCGATTAAGTTTTATTTTGTTATTAATTAATTCCCTGAATTCCTATTATATGGTTTCTTTATGACCTATTATAACATAGAAAATATGTATATGTATTATTATAATAATAAACTTACAAGCATACAATTCATTACTTAGATATATTTGTCAATTATGACACTTAAATGTCTTTCTAAATTATCGTTTGGAGAATAAAATTTGTCTAATGGATAATTAAAATTCTTCGTATAACAAAGTTTATTGGAAGTATCAAAATTTATTGAAAAATGGAGGGCTCAATATCATGGGACAATTTTTACAAAAAGTGAGACCAAATTATACGAAATTTAAAAAATTATATTTGCATATATTTTTAGTTTAGTCCTATACAAATCCACGATGGAGTATGACAGCGAGTACAGGGATAAAACTAAAGATCCGCTACGTTTAACTGGAGGAAAAGAAGATGATGATATTCCGGTATCCCCTTACTTGTCTTGCAAGGGTATTATGGACCAATTCGATTCCATTATAAACGAGTATAAAAAAGCTGTGGGTCCTTGCGGACAAGGTGCTTGCAAATATTCGCAAAATTTGGCCGAAAGGGCTTGCAGAAAGGAACAAGTTAACGTGAAAAGTCCTGATATTGAAATCGATTCCTGTATGGATGTCAAGTGCCCTTTTTCTTTACCAAAGTATAAAGGTATCAAAATTAAAATAAAATTCAAATTTCTAGCATTGGATGCAAATTTACTTAAAATTATATAATATAGGTAATTTATTGACGACATTATCATTAAATATGTCGGTTGGTTTGTTAAAAATTCGTTATAACACTAAATTTTTCTTAATTATCAAAGTTTTTAATGTATTAGGCATTAATTTGCATTTTGTTGAATGTAAATTAATGTGTGTGACATCAAAGTTATATAAAGGGATTTAAGTTTAAATCATTAAAAATTATTGTTTTAATTAAAAATACCATACTTTTAGTAATGTTTTGAACAAAATAACTCACATTCTTCAACCCTTACAAAACCATAGAAAATAGAAGAGAATTGATCTTAAAAATAATAATGCTGTTAAATGTGATGCACAAATGTGTTTCTCTACTTTGAACAATATTTTAGGTTATATAACAAAATTTTATTAAAATATGTTGATAATATTAAAGCTACCTGCAAGAAAATTGCAATGATCTTATGAAAGACTAAATTAAACGGAAAAATTTTTAATATACATGGTGATTCATTATTATAATAAAAAAATAAATTTTTCATAAGAATAAGAAAATAAATCGTTTTCTGGATATACCCACAATCAACACAAAAAGTTCTTGTAAGGCACTTGTAAGTTTTAAATGAGGCCTTAAAGTGCTAAGGACAACCATTTTACTCCTCTTTTTTTAAAATAAACATTTTTCTATCAGGGCTGTCATAAAACTGTTAAATTTTAATTTTAAGGTTAATTTATAGTATGCTTGAAACGAAATAAAAAGTTATGTCCTAAGTTAGGTCCTATATACGATAGCGAAATAAATATAACTAACTTTATTTAATATTTTTATCTATAGATACTCCTATTGCATAATATTGTTTTTTTGTGTGAATAATGATAAACATTATAAATTTCCTGTCCATCAACTGGAATCATGAACTCATTATTTAAGCTGTTAGGCATCAGTAATTGGTAGATTTCAATATTCACTGTGACTTGAACCAATCGGGTTTTAAATTAAAAGAAGGCGACTGAAATAACATTTAAAATTGGTACAAAGCAGTGGCGGCTGGTGGATTTTAAGCACACCCATATCTCACTTATTAGACATGGGACCCACATCAAATTTATATGAGTTTACAATGATATTATTAGGTATTGCAAATTTACCGAATTTTAATTTACCGGTAATTCGGTAAATTATTAAAAAAATTACCGGTTTACCAGAAATAAGCAACAAAATAAATAACCAAACTTTAATTCTTATTAAATAATAACAACAGAAAAGTAAAATTCTAGGTAAAAAAAACTAATACGTGTATACCTAACTTAAAGACTAGTAACAGGCCCTAAAACATTCGAAATAGTAACTTAAATAAAAAAATACCTATCGTTTCTTACTTTTCCAACGACTCTTTTGATTTCTTTTGTAATAAAAAGGGCCCTGAAAAAACACAGCTTATCAATACTATTATCACTTAGCTGCGACCTAATCTTAGTACAAATTGTTTCACAAAAACAACGGATCCGCGCTGTTGTCAGCTTGGCATTTTTTACCGAAATTACCGGTAAAAGATGTCGATTTCTCTGTCGGTAATTTAAAGAACTTTTAAGGCGGTAAATCGGTAAACCGGTAAATCGGTAACCGGTAATGCAATCCCTAGATATTATATAGACAAGTACTGCGCAAGCAGAATTCAAATTGAAGTTTGCCAAAAAAAGTTAGTTTTTAAGTGTGCCCCCCAGCCTCCTGCCCCTTCAAATTAAGATAATTCAAATTAAAGTGGTACAATATTTTATTCACTGAAGTTTATCGACAAATTTTAAATTTTATTAAAAAAATTCAAGGATTACAGATTTTATATCATTTCTATTTTTTTTAATTTGGTAAAAGAAATAATAAAAATTTAAAATGGTATAAAACCAGTAATTCTTGAAATTTTTTAATAAAATTTGAAATTTTTCGATAAACTTCAGTGAATTAAATATTGTACAACTTTAATTTGAATTATCTTAATTTGGGGGGCAGGTGGCTGGGCACACTTAAAAACTAACTTTTTTTTCGCAAACTTCAATTTAAATTCTGCTTGCGCAGAACTTGTCTAATAACTGAGATATGGGTGCGCCCAAAATCCACCAGTACCAAAAAGTAAGGTTACATATTTGACAGATGTCCTTTTATTTAATTATTTTTGTAATAAATTAATTATCGACTTATTGGATGTATATTATTACACTCGAGATTATGCGCATTATGTCTCATATAATAATATACTATTATCTTTTGTAGTTTTGACAAATATAAGGTCCTAAAAAAATATAACGAATATTAATTTAAAAAAACGAGTTAAATTGTAGTAAATTGTAAATTGTAGTTTTGACAAATACAAGGTCCTAAAAAAAAATATAACGAATATTAATTTAAAAAAACGAGTTAAATTGTAAAAAAAACTAGGAAACGTGGTTTAGATCACATACTAAGTATGTGGTTTAGATGTTTACCACTGCCATCTAACGGAGATTCATATTATCATCTAAATACTGGATAAGCCCTGCTTTGACTTCTTAGATTGCATTAGAGTCAATTTTCTTTTAATGCTTTGATTATTTTCTTATTAGATTCTTATTTATACATACACCACACACCGAAATTAGGCGACTTTTATTTACATAAATAATCCCCTTATCTTTTTTTAGGCCTTATGACCCCAGAAAAAGAAGAAAAAGTTCCCTTAAACTACTGCGGGGTAGTTGACTGTCCCTTTGCCACTAGAAACACTATCCGCAAAGACGGCCAAATCCAAGCCGCATGCGGAAAACCTTCTTGCGCCTTCACTAAATTCCAACTTGGCCTAGTAGACGACGATGCCGTTGACGAAGTCGGCCAAGTGCCGGACCGCAAGACGGGGTATTGCGGGAAACCCAAATGTAAATATCCAGTCACCGGTCCCAGTTTGCCGCCAATACATTGGGACTGTCCCGAACCGCTTCCCAAAGGAGCTTGCACGAATCCCAATTGTCCGTATCTGCCCGCTGATTTAAAAGCTTTGCAGGTTTTGGTGCTAAAAGGACCTTGTGGGAGTCCTTCTTGTACTCACATATTTCCCAAACCAAAGGTATAATAATATATGTTATAATAATTACACAAAACAAACTTAAATTGACTAACCAACATGAAATATTTTGGATGTATTAGGTAATTATTTCTTGCCAGTTGATATTATATATACCCACTCTATAAAAGTTTGGTTTCGGTAAATTTCCAGTGGTTTCATTGTTTCCTTAGAAAATGTTTTGAAAAGTTTTGTTTAAGAAAATGTCAAAATTGCGTTACTTATAATAATATATACCGGGTGTATCTGAGAGACGTTTCGTCATCAGAAAATGCATCATCATAAAGATCAATCTAGAGTGCTTTGAACTAAGGTAAGTATTTGAAAAAAACGAATTTTGACAAGTTTAGATTGCTGAGAATAACTGAATAACAACTTTCTAAGGCAAGTTCCATTTTTTAGGCATTGTGTGAATCCATTAGAAGAAAATAAGATAGTTCAAAGCACTCTAGATTGATCTTTATGATGACATTTTCTGGTGACGAAACGTCAAAAGGTCAACTTGAGAATGCTGTTTGACTCAGAATTTCCTCAGGATTCCAAATATGTAAAAATATATAGGGCATTCTATTTAAAAATCGAAAGTTGGTATCATTTCCGGCGAAACCGGAAGTTCAAAAAATTAATTTTGTACTCTTAAAAGTGGCATTTTATATCCTAATTAACCATGCAAAATTTCATGTGTCTATCTTTATAAATAAAAAAGTTACAGGGGTGCGCCTATTCTCAGATACACCCGGTATATTAATAAATACAATTTGTTGGACGTTGACAATATTGTATACTTAATATATTAATAAAGTTTTACTATTTTAAATTGTTTTTTTTAAATTAAAATTAAATTTACTGCACAGTAGCTTCTTTAGAATGGACTAATATGACATGTTTCTAATTTCTTTTGGATTTAAAACTAACAACAACCTTAGTAAGTTTATCAAAAACAAAAAATTAAATAACGCAAGAAATCCTTTTAGTCGAGCCTTTAGAATCTTACATGTAGCCAATAAAGGCACCATACTAAATCTTTTGAAGTCTGGAGATTAATAAACTATAGAAAAAATCGGACATTCTTCCTAATGACCAAATTGAAACCAATAATTCTCCTTTGCTAAATTTATTTTAGAATGTATACTTCTAGTACTAAAAATAATATTTATTAATATTGTAAAACTATATTAGATAGGACTTTTCAAATCAATAGTTTTTCCAAAATTGTGTAAGTTTAATTAATGCCCTCAGGTATAATGTTTATACAAAACGTATTTTTTGAAATACCTGCATTAGCTAATATAAATACCGCCACTTAATATTAAAAAAATATTCTGAAGAGGCTAGCGTGTATAAAAACAATTGTTAATTTTTTAAAAAACAAATAAAATAGTAAAAATTTAAAACGGTGTTGTTTTTATTCATATATTAATAATATGGAGTTTCATCAAGTAAAGGTCTTAACAATCAACAACCTTGTATACCAATTGCTACTAGTTTATAATAAAGAATATAATGTATCTTTTTAACTATTTATATTTTACTTTTAAATTAAAGACTTCTTCCCCTCGCCCCCCTCAACCTCGCTTTTCATACTGCCCCCCTGAAGAGGAAGACGATTGCGAACCAAAATGCGTAGGTCAGAAAACTAAAAATGACGTGTGCGAAAATCCCGAATGCCCATTTCAAAACAGCCAATCTTGCGACAGCAGCAACGATTCTTTAAAAGGTTTGTCCGTAAATGCACATTTTATTTTTTAGAATTAATACAAGTCTGCATAAGACTATAGTCTAAATCGACCTGTTTTTACCCAAGATCATATAAACTATAACTTAAAAGTTATTTAGGGTGGCTAATTTTTAATTGAAAGCCCTTTATAATAAAATTACAAGCTTACCTTTACCCTTGCTAATGCGTTAGCAATAAAAAAAAATCTAACTCGATCAGTAACATAAATTATCACTTTAGGTACATTTGCGATTTGCAATAATAAAAACTGCCCCTATGCAAAGGCTAAAAGACAACAAACTCCATTAGATAGTGAATTTTGCGGCAAACCAGGTTGCCCCTATGGACAAAATCAAAAATCAAAAAAACCTAGAACCACTTGCGACGGAGACTTTCCTGAAAAGTGTAGTATACCGGATTGTCCATACAACAAGAACAACATAGTAAGCACTGTGTAATTTTTATACTTCATTCTTAAATATTATTGTTTTTAGAATAAAAAAAAAGTTTGCAGTCCAAGTAATATTTGCGAAGATCCTGATTGTCCTTTCAACGTGGACAGTGATGATGAATACTATTGCACAGAAACATGCGATGAAAAACAATCCTGCAATAATCCCAAATGCCCCTTTGCCTCCTGCAAAAACGTTAAAACCAGATGCAAAAACCCTGACTGCCCTTTCAAAAGTGAAGGTTTTAATAAGGAATGTGGAGATTCTTCAAGTGATGAAGACAATAAGAAAAACGAATGCCAGGAGAATTCTAGTGAGAGTGTTTGTAGCAATCCCAACTGCCCCTTTGCCAAAAAAAATGAAAATACGTGCCAGGATTATAAACGTAAGCCGGAAAAAACTGTAAGGATATGTGATCCAGATAATCTTTGCGCCAATCCGGACTGTCCGTTCGCAAAAAAGATCCAAAAAAATAATAAATGTGATGATGATGTTACCATTGCATGTGAAGACCCTTGCTCCGAAACACGACATTGCGAGAATCCCAGTTGTCCTTTCGCTTTAAAAACAGCCTGTCTGGATCCCTGCAACGAAACAAAGTCCTGCGATAATCCCGATTGTCCTTTCGCCTTTAAAATAGCCTGCACAGATCCATGCAATGAGACACAATCCTGCGATAATCCTGATTGTCCTTTCAAACAACGGAAACCCTTGCCAGGTTTTGGCGTGTGCGGGAATCCCGAATGCCCTTCAGCCTATGAAACGGTTTGCGAAGTGCCATGCAGTCCGTTCGAGTATTGCGACAACCCCGACTGCCCTTATCAATTGGATGCTCTTGCAGCCCTTGAAGAGGAAGGGGAAGGAGAGGAAGGCGCGGAGGACAATGAGGTCAACTCTGGAAGAAAATCAAGTCAAAAATCGGTCGAAGGAAGAAGGGGGAGTAAAGATACGAAAAAATCGCAAAGTAAAAGCACGATGGAATTGAAAACCGCCGCGGAAGTGAAGCCTGAGTCTAGAGCCAAAAGATTTATCAAAAAAAACCCTGCGGTTTACAGGAATAACATGATTGGACACAGGGATTGTTTGACGCCATATTTTCATGTTCCCAGGAATATGGGCTGGCTATGGAATTTATATGATCCAATGGCGGTAAGGGTTTTATAATTTTCGTAGAATTTTAAAAAGATAATTTATTAAATCCGTAATAATTTTTATTAATTAATTGCTAGGTCGACAGCCATTTTGCTGCAGGGTAGATAATAATTTGGGCACGCTGAATCAAATTTATTTAGAAAAATACATCTTAATGTGCCCTAATAGACCACTACAGATAAATAATATAAATGAGTACATTAGATGAACAACTCTGTATTTGCAAGATAATTTTAATAAAAACATGAAAAACCGCTCATAAGATCATTTTTGAAAAAAAATGCAAAAATTGTATAGACGTGCTTTTGCATCATTTTTATTCAAAAAAGTAAAAAAAATCCTTTAAAATTAGGCAGTTTAGTAAATAATTAAAATCAAAAGATTTAAAACATAGTTTTGCATCTTCCTCGTTCAAAAACCAAATTTTGCAAGTGAAAAGCGAAAATACCAAAAAAATAACAATTAACCAGGTAATTGTTATATCGTCACGTAATGCGTATACTAGCGACGTGATTGGTCAACAGCAAATACCGAGTTTTGCATCCGACAGGAAGAAACAAATACCTACCCAGTTTTGCATCTGCGTAAAGTTTTTAAATGTATTTTATTCTACAAATATTAACTTATGCATCTGGTTTACTTAAGTATGCTATAGGCAGTGCAGTAATGTACATAAATAGGATAAAAATATATATTTTTAAAAAATTTGGAAAAACCGAGTTTTGCATCTAATGTACAAATGTACTCAAATACTGGGTTTATGCATATTTACATTTTTTTAACAAATGAAAATATAATTTAATATTTCAGTCTCTTAAATTAATTTGATAGGTATTCTTCCACCACTTAGTTTGTTCCTTTATTTTTGCTAGTAACTCGTTATATTTCCTTATTTCCTCATGCATCAGCTGTTTTTGACTAGTTCTTGTTTTTGCTTTGTTAGGTTGATGTCGTCTATAATTTCTCCCTTGTTTAATTTACGTAATATTTTTCGTGTTTTAAATTAAAATATTTAGTTTTATTCTCCTTTAGGTGTGTCTTTGTAAGTTTTAGTATATTTGGCTCTTTTTCTGTTAACATAATTTTTATTTCGTTTGTTTTGTTTTTATTGATCTATTTATTAGATAGGATAGGATTTTTTAATTGTTGTTAGTAGTTTTTTTCTTTTATTTTTTCTTTATTATTAATTTTTTAATTTTACTTGTCTAGTCTTTTCTCATGAGTATTTTGCCTTTATTAAACGACACAAACTTAAATTTTATTTAATTTTTTAGTTCTCTTGCCTTTTTAAAATGCATTTGATTTTTAAAAGTCATGATTTAAGAAAATGTCTTTAATTCCATCCTGTCCAATGTTACTTTTTTATTTCTTATTTTATTTTATAATTTTTCCTTAGTTTTCATTGAGGATTACCTTTATTAATGATTTATTATTATCTTTTCCTATTCTTTGTACTTGTTCTATGTCTTTATCTTCTATTTATTTCTATTTCTATATCTATTGTATTGCTTTCCAATATGTATAAGTATTTGGTTGTATATATCATCATCTTATTTTGCCAGTCCCATTATTATTATGTTTTTGGATAATTTTTCTTGCTTAAATTTATTAATTTATATGTTGCAGCTTTTGTTCTCCTTTCTTAATTTTTCTTTATCTTTTTTTAGTATTTATATTTCATTTCGTAATTGTTGGTTTTTTTTTATTCGTTTATTTTAACGCTGTGTCTAGTCTCACGCTAGCGTGAACGCAATTTTATTCTTATTCTCACGCGGTGACGTCACTAATTATAATCCGTTTTTGTTCCCAGAGCGTTTAATATTTGACAACAAGCTAGATGGCTCCGATAGTAGGGCGGGCGCTTGGCATGCGAGAGGTCCCGGGTTCGATTCTAAGAACTTTTTTTATTTTTTTATTTCATAAATTTGTTGTTTCTTTGTTAAACAGTGTTCGGTTGGGTTGGTTAATTTGTTTTAGTTTTATCGTAACATAAAATCTACCAGAAGTTGTCGAACTTTTTTTATTTCATAAATTTGTTGTTCCTTTGTTAAAGTGTTTTATTTTTATCGTAACATAAATTTGCCCATTTTAGTTCGGTTTTTTGCTCAATGGGGCGGGGGGGGGGCCCAATGGGGCGGGGTCGGTTGGGTTATGTTGTTGAGTTTGGGTTGGTTTGGCTGCAGTAAAAGAGTCTCAATTTTATTATTAGTAAATTTTATTACATTTGCATAATCAAATCAAATGACATAATCAAATAATAATCAAATCAAATGACACGACACCTAAAAAGTAAAATTAAATAAAATAATGCGTGAGAATAAAATTAAAATTATTTTCACTTTAGCGTGAGAATAAAAATTAAATTGCGTTCACGCTAGCGTAAGACTAGACACAGCGTTATTTTAAACGCTTTAACATTTTTTCGTACTTTTCTTCCATCTTTAGAAGTTTATTTATTAAATCATTTATAGTAAAGTTTTTTCTTGTTTTAACGCAACTCAACTGTTTGATAGGTGACTAAAAGACACGGCTTTATATTTTTTAATTCTGTATTTCAGTTTTTTGTAAAGATTTTTTGAAATTTTTTTAAAGCCACCCTACTAACAATACCAAAAATTTGTGTACTTTTGGGCATTTTATATGTTCACAATAAACTTTATAGAATAAAGTTCATTTTTTTTTATCTGGACTGCGGCAACGTTGTAAATTTAGGGTTTTGGTTGGTAAATACAGTTTTCAAGTTGGTCGCATTGATTAAAACAAACTAAGCTAGTTATAAATCTAATTGTGGTTATGTATAAATTATTGTAGGTTACATTGTGCAGTTGTCAAGTTGAGTTGTCGAAATTCGTAGTTAAAAATGCAATTAATTTGGCTTTGGTGGTGCTTGGATGAGTAAAATCATATAAAAATTAGTTAAATATATGTTGCTTTACTGCCCAGAAGATAACGTATTCCTAGCGGATAATAATCTTCGCTTTGAAAAGAAAAATTTTTTCTGAACGTAAATGTTGTCCAATGGTGAATAATGTGAAAATAATATTTATAAAACCACATTCGTTACTTGGCGATGTCGTTCCATTGTGGTATTTGGCATAATTTCATCAAAATGAAGTTTTGCCCTCAAAAGGACTCGTACATTTGAATTCGTTGCTATTATTTTTGGCATAATTATCTTTTTATTTATAATTGACAAGTAAATTATCAATAATAAATATTATTGTCAATTTGACAGTGTCAAAGTATTTAATTAAATTCTTTAGCAGAAGTACCATTTTTAAATACTAAAAATACTAAGTCAAACTGGCATAAGCCACCAACCTAACAAAAAAACACGAGTCCAGATAAAAAAAATTAACTGTACTATGCTCCACACTTCAAAGTCCCACCACGTGACCACGTACGGAACGCAGTCTTTTGAAAATTTGTCATTTAAGGCTTTTTAGGTTATGTATCTGTCAAAGTATAGTCAATGAAAGAAATAATATTTATACTTTTACCGTTTATGTTTAAGCGTTAAAAGTTTATAAATCTTTATAGTATCACAGTAACAATGGTTGGTTTAAGAGTTTAGGAGTATAAATACTGCATTTAATGAAATTCCAAAGTATATAGTGCCAAATAAGTAAAATTTTTGTGCATTTGGTCTACATAATATGTTAATATATTATATCTGGTTTTGTCCATAAAATAGTTTTAACTAAACGGCATTTATTAAAAATATCTAGCTTCTCTATTATGGAATAAGAATATCTGTATCAAAGGTAGGTTAATATATTATAACAAAAAATATCATCTAATTTTAAAATTTTAAGGTTAGAAAAATCTATTTTGATCAAAATAAATAAGTATTTTGGATTATTTGGAAGATTGTGTTAATATGGTCATATAAATATAGATATACTAAATAATTGTTGAATATGGTTCAAATTAAATTAAAGCTTTTATACTCCTAACGACAAAACTTGTGCATACCTCTCGGGATCCCTATTTTAAGTTAGATTATAAGGAAACAAACAATTTTTAGAGATACATGCAATGTAAAAACATTTAATACTCCCATAACATGTGATTTTTGAAATTTTTAAAAGTTATAATGATTTTTCGATGAAGATAAAATTCAGTTGAAGCTATACGTAATTGTATTGACAAAACTTTATGTAGGTATACTTTAAGCTGGATAAGAAAGACTACTACAAGTAAAAATATTAGATAGAGTATACTGTGGTTTTATTTAAATTTTAGAATTTATAAGGTTATTTATACCTAATGATTGTTCGATGTAGATAAAATTTTGTCGAAGCTTTTATAGGTACTTGTATTGACACTATGGGTATATTAGCTGACAGTGTAAGGAACTTTAAAAAGGTTAGCTATTGAATTTTTAAAAAGAATTTACAGTTTTTTAAAATTAAGTATCATATTATAGTATTATATTTTAATTATTTATTGCTAAATGTTAATTTTAAATCTATTTGTAAATTACATATCTGTCAAAGCCCATTTCGGCTATTTGGATATTACTTTTCAATAAAAAAAAAAAAAAATCTAATGGTTTTATATTTGAAATGTTTAATATTGCTTATTTCCAAGAGCCAGTTGTTCAATTATGATGTCTATTTTGTTTTACTCCGGCATAAATATTTTCAACTGTAAAACTTAACTATTTTAAGATTTTTAAAATTAATTAAATATTAAAAGGGGTTAATTTAAAAGAAGGAATCTAAAAACAACACCTTAAAATTATTAAAATTTTCAAATTATTAAATAATTTTAAATAATGTTTTTTATTATTTTACAAATTTCCAAACTTATTTTTTTTCTATATGTGAGTTTTTGAACTTTTATCGATTTTAGATTCTTTAAATTTTTATTTAAAATATATTATTTTTTGTTTATTTAATTAATCAAAGATGTTTATATGTAGGTACTTTAAATAAATAAATATTTATGCCCAAGTAAAACAAATTAGTCATCCACTACCTAAATGTAAGCTGTAATTAAATAACTTGCTCTTGGAAATAAGCACCATGAGAGATCTCAAATATAAAACCATTAGGTAGGTACTGTAACTGTAAATTGTTTTTACAAGTGTTTTTGGAAATTCAATAGCTAACCTTCTTAAAGTTCTTAAAGTTCCTTACTGTCAGCTAATATACCCATAGTGTCAATACAAGTACCTATAAAAGCTTCGACAAAATTTTATCTACATCGAACAATCATTAGGTATAAATACCCTTATAAATTCTAAAATTTAAATAAAACCACAGTATACTCTATATAATATTTTTACTTGTAGTAGGTAGTCTTTCTTATCCAGCTTAAAGTATACCTACATAAAGTTTTGTCAATACAATTACATATAGCTTCAAATGAATTTTATCTTCATCGAAAAATCATTATAACTTTTAAAAATTTCAAAAATCACATGTTATGGGAGTATTAAATGTTTTTACATTGCATGTATCTCTAAAAATTGTTTGTTTCCTTATAATCTAACTTAAAATAGGGATCCCGAGAGGTATGCACAAGTTTTGTTGTTAGGAGTATAAAAGCTTTAATTTAATTTGAACCATATTCAACAATTATTTAGTATATCTATATTTATATGACCATATTAACACACTCTTCCAAATAATCCAAAATACTTATTTATTTTGATCAAAATAGATTTTTCTAACCTTAAAATTTCAAAATTAGATGATATTTTTTGTTATAATATATTAACCTACCTTTGATACAGATATTCTTATTCCATAATAGACAAGCTAAATTTTTTTAATAAATGCCGTTTAGTTAAAACTATTTAATGGATAAAACCAGATATATGTAGACCAAATGCACAAAAATTTTACTTATTTGGCACTATACACTTTAGAATTTCATTAAACCAACCATTGTTACTGTGATACTATAAAGATTTATAAACTTTTAAGTTAAAATTTAACGCTTAAACATAAATGGTAACAGTATAAATATTATTTCTTGCATTGACTATACTTTGACAGATACATAACCTGAAAAGCCTTAAATGACAAATTATCAAAAGACTGCGTTCCGTACGTGGTCACGTGGTGGGACTTTGAAGTGTGGAGCATAGTACATTATTATCTGTCATTCATCATCCAAAATGTCATAAATCATTAACATTTACATGAATATTTTTCAGTGTGGAGATCGTAGAGGGTTCAAACCAGGAGCGGTACTTCGCAGCGTGGCTAAAATAATCCAAAAACACAAGAGAATGAAAGCCATGGAAAAAGTGTCAGAAACCTTTGTGGCAGAGAAAAAACGAACCCTAACAGTTTCGAAAGATAAGGGAGAATATACCGTTACTGTAAACCCGCTCAAAGAACCTTTCTCTTTGGCCTCGAGGGCCGAAAGCGTATACATGGACTGCTCCCCCATGCAGTTCAAAATCAAAACGAACAAAAAGCACAGAGATTATACAACATGTATTTGTGATGAAGAGGAAACGTCGTCCACTTCTTCGGATGGTTTGAAGATCGAGTTCTCACCCCCAGCCGCGAAGAAGAATCCAGCTTTCTTCCCAACGAAGAAAGTAATTAAGTGTATGGAGACGCAGTATGATAAAAAAGATCTTGCTAAGAAAAAGGATAAAAAAGGCGGCAAGGGTGGAAAGGGCGGCAAAAAAGGCAAAGGCGGAAAAAAGGGCAAAGGCAAAAAGAAGTAGCCACATTTTAAGCGAATAATTTTACATAACTTATGTGCTTGTTATTATAAATTAAATTCATTTATATTTATCGAATCAAACCTTTTGATCATCCTTCGGTTTACATTTAATGTATTTAACATATGAGTATCAAATATTAATAAAAACGTTATTGTCAACTTTAAATATTATATAGACCATACAATCATACACGAAGAAAACTGTTTTTTTGTAGAGTTATAATTTCCAAACTCTTCTGTTTATTACAGATATACTGTTAGGCAACTATTCCTTGACTTTTAAATTAGTAATAAAAAAATGTTTAGGAACGAAAAGTGACGTTTTAGCAGTAATTATTAAATTAATTGGTGCTATATTTTTTGGTTATCATTCCCAAACTATTCTAAGGTAGGTACTTGTAAACAGTTTTATTGTAAATTTTAGGAGCTTACAAAAAGCAATGAATTATTAACTTAAATATGACACTTGACTTTAAAATAAAATATCTGTCCTTTAATTTTGCCCTACAAAATTTAATTTTTATTGTTGAGTAGACATTTCCCCAATGAGCACCATTTTTGACGCTGAAAGAAAAATTAGAACTAAGTATTGGAAAATAATCTACTTATTAGTATCATGCCTCGTTATTTACATTGAGATAATAAAATTATTTTCACATTTAGTATTACTTTACAAGAAAGGCACTTTATTTTAACGATTGTATTACATTTGACAACTTTCAACTAACTTAAAACTAACTTCAGCCCGTGAGTAAAAACCTGTTGCTAACTTCATCCCGTGACTAAAGCGCCATAAAGCCACAACTTGTCAATGTGTATTTAAAAGGTCACTTAGTGTCATGTAAACATGTACGATAAAGGGCGTTTTAAAGGTGGGAGTAGAAAAACATATTTACACCATTTTATTAAAAAATTGTATTTAGGTATACAGAATTAAATATTTTAAAGGATGTTAAGAATTGAATGCAATAAGCAATAACCTTTTTATTCGTCATTGTTGTTAGTTTATATCAATCAATATATATTATATCAAATGCAGATTTGCACTTTTCTACACACGGAATCTGAATGAAAAAGTCAAACAAGCTTAAGCTTATAAATTTAATAAATTTAATTTATATACGTTCCCCAAGCTGAAATTTTAATTAATTATCGCTTCGCCTATAAAAAGGTTTTTGAATTGACTTTTAATGGAGATTAATTTAAGGGTGACAAAATATAATGATAAATAAACCAATAATTGCATTTTTTTGTAATTTTCTGTTTTTTTGGAACAAAAGGTTTTTTGAACTATTTTTTGAGTAAAAAAAAATATCAATAAAACATTAAACAATTAACAAGAGCGTGCCTGTTATAGTTATGATTACAATTTTTCAAAAATAATTTTTGTTTAATTTCTTACAAAAACAAAATTTTATTTGGTAAAGGGAATACATTTTTGACGTATGTTACTTACAATCAGTGGCGTACATGCGGATATTGCCGGGTTGTTTTTTAATGAAAAATATGGTGCCACTGGAAAAAAATATTGTGGTTCATTTAAATTTTTTGCAATTTTTAAGAATGAAATGGAATGTAAAGTCCAGTTTTGACAACATTCATCATTGCCAATGACTCATTGGACATCTTTTAGAATATGCATGTATACTAAAAACTGAAATATTTTTAAACTTGAACTGAATCAAGAACATTAAATTTCACTTAGGCCTAATTATAAATAATTAAGAAACTTTACGCAATAATTTATGAAAACACAAAACAATAAATTGTTATCCAAAAAGGTCATCTGCTTTAATTAATAATTTTAGGGAATTATATTTCCTTTAGACTTCTCGTTCGCATTGTTTAATAAACATAAATACGGGTGACTTTGCACCCCGCGGGTGACTTTAACCCATTTATGAAAAATCTTTTCGCGCTCGATAAAATTAACATTTATAATTTGTTGGTCTAAACCTGTCAATTGAGCGATTCTATTGAGTTTATATTACAGGAAAATCAGTGTTTTAAAGAAAGAAATTGGATTTATTACACTTTAAAATTGTATATATCGTATCAGTGCAAAACTCTTAGAAATACACGCGTTACAATTTCTATATTATGCGCAATCCATTGGAATGATGATCCTTGGTTAACTACAGGTCGATTTTTTATTTTTTTTATTGGTAATCCCTTGCAATAGATATATGTCGCTGCTAACACGTGTCTAATAAAAATAAGATATAATATTACATTCATTTTATACTGAAAAAACACTGCAGTGCACTGTGAGACAAACCCGCAACCAGGGGGTAACTTTGCACACCCAGTTTTTAATGTTTATTTTTGAAACTCAGCCCTATGTAATATTATAACTTAGTTATTATGAAAGAGGAACTCAAGACTCAAATTTAGGTATACAAAATTTAATGTTTATGATTGTTAAAACCACAAAAATTTTAAGCTGAAGTTTGAAAGTGAGCCAAAGCCACCCGTGTTTACGATACTTAATAAAAAAGTTATTATTAGATATAAAGCCATAAACAGCAACCTTGCACTACATAACGTAATTAAAGAATAATTAGATAGGCGAAGTTCATAAAACCAGTAGACTGTAAAGTACACTTGGCATTTTTTAAATTCTTATTTTACACTTGAAAGTAAATTACATCCGTAAATTATGGTTATTTTATTAAGGTTAAGCTGCAATTGTATGTTTACAAATGCAATTAAAATTTGGTAAATAAAACACGATTTGTAAGACTAAATACCTACAATTTATTATTATAATGCGTCAATATAGTTCTAAATCGTGTCTTAAAAATAGTGGAACTGCATATAATGGACTGAATATGTAGGTAGGTAGTGGCAAAAATGAAGTTAAAAATGAATATGTGGCAAAATAAAACAAGATTTAAAAAAAATTCCATTTATTAAAAAAATATACATAAAATACAGTACTTATCCCACATTATATTGGTATTGGTTGTATCTACCACTTTCCTAAAGAAATGGAGCTATATGGACTTATAAGTCCATGGGATAAGCCGATACCATGTCCTAAACTAAGTCCAGATAAGCCCAAACCATGTCCCAAAGATATTGGAGCTGCATACGATGGAGCAATGGCTTTAGAGGTTATTATGGGAGCTGGATACGGAGCTATAGCCTTCGTCAAAATAGGAGCCGGCACATAGGACTTACTTAATAAGGGGGCTGATAAGTAAGACTTCGATATTAATGGAGCTGAAATCGGCAAAGATTTTGATAGAAGTGGTGCTCCGTAGGATCCATAGGAAAGACCATGGCCCAGTGAGAGTCCATGACCCAAAGATATGTCTGAAATCCCGTGTCCATAGGAAAGGTCCAAGGGTAGCGAATGGCCAAGGCTTATTGGTGCAGACAGTACAGGTCCGTGGTCTAGGCCGCCTAAGCCTACTATTCCACGCTTTTCTTTGTCTGCTGACGTCAGAGCCAGAAGGGCGACAACTAGAATCTGTAATTGTAAGATTATTGAATAGTGATGGACTTTATTCAAGAAAAAAATATTTTAACGAAAAAAAATATTAAAATGGGCATTTGTTACTTAAAAATGTATTATTACGTTCAATATTTTTAAAACAAGGTAAAAACAAGTTTACGATAACTTTTTTGTGTATTGATTTTTTGCAATTTTGAACCAATATTTTTAAATAATATCTGATGTGTCATCCACTCGAATAACGGTCTTATATAACCTAATTTTATATTATATACTCTTAATATTTATTACTAAATCTCGTATTCTAAATTTACCCTTGTAAAAGGTAATTTAATGAATTATCTAACCCACCTTACCCCTAAAATATTTTTTATGCTTGATGTAATAATCTTACTATAAATGGAACTAATTTAATTGGATGGACTTGAAAGTTACCCCTCGGGCGTGATAAATAGTCGCACACAATATTTTATTTAAGTACCTACCTACCGCAAGGAATTTAAAGCCATTTCATTTGATATTTTATCTGACATTTGACAACTGTCAAGAATTTTTAACCTTACTTTTTTTCAATTTTAACTAAAAGCTAACTTCTGCCCGTGGGCGAAGTAAAATTTCGTCCTCCAATTAAACTTAAGAAATTAAATGGTGTTAAATAGAAAACATTTTATATATGGTTTATTCTGTTATAATCCTAACCTACAAAAATCCCATATTTTACATACCCACACCATTAATGCAAAAATGAACGTACTTTTTAATTAATTTATTTTATATTCATAACATAATATAAGTATGTGAAAAGAAAAGTAATTGAATGCTTGTGTAAATATAGATCTATTAAGTTTGTTATTGTTGGGTAAAAGTCTAAAAATAAACAATAGTAAATTGACCTTGGTCATTCAAAGAAAAAAGTGAACATTAATATTTGCATATTAGTAAATTTTTGTTTCATTAAATTTTTTCCCAGTTTTAATTATTATTATAATGTTTATAAATAGGTATTTAATAAAATGATGGTAGCAGAAGCATTTATTTTATAAATGCATAAAAGTGTAAATTTACGTTAGGGTTCGTTGTCTTATTGCTTGTTGGGGTTTCCAAATATATAAATATATATTTCACGTTCCTACCTTATTAATAGGTACATTTTTTATTTAACACCCACTTCATTATTTACCTTTAAAGGGGGAAGTAAAATTTTGCCAAATTTCTTTCATTAATCATAAGAGCCATGGTAATAATGACATTTTTTTAAACAGAGCTTTTCAAGTACTACAAACTAAAAACAAATAATAAATACATTAAATACCCAATTGTTGCCAATCGAAATGAAACACACTGTATAAATACCAATTTATTATGTACTCATAGTTAGTCTATTGTATTATTTATTTTTAACCTGTACTTTGACGTGTTAATTTTATTATAAATATTATATATTTATTATATGACGTACCTATGTAAACTTTAAAGGGTATCTATTTTAAAATACCATAACAAAACAAAACAAAACAAAAGTTTTTTGTTTAAAGCTTAATTTTCATGTATCCGTTTGTCCGTCATCCGTATGTCAGTTTTTCAATAAAATCGTCCGATAAGAAATGTTCTAATTTTCATGCATACGTTTTTTAATGACGTTTAACGGATTGATTTTGCGACAAATAGAAATTAAGTGTCAGTATATTTACTTACTAAATTTACCTAATGCTTAATTGTCATAGTTACAATTATGTCAACAATTGCAACTTTAACAGTTATTAGCTGTCTAATAATTTTAAAGGTAGGTAAATATACCTTATAAAAAGAATATACTAGCCCTAATATACATTAAAATGTATAGTTTTAAAAAAGCAGGTCCTTTTAGTTCTAGTTTTCATTTTTTTTGTTCTTTCTTTTTTTTCGTTATTCTTATTAAATAAAAACTTAACAGTAAAACATTATTAACATAACGAACTTAATATTTTCGTTTTACAATCTTATTGAAAAAATATAAAAATATTTGAATATAAATTATCTTAAAATAACGTTGGACGTCAAAAACAGATGTTTAGTGACGGATGAGTTAAAATTATTTAACCTTTCTCTATCCGACGTACGAAGTTGAAACTTGACGGACCGATAAAATGTAATAATTTTCGAATTATAATTGGACCAATAAGAGCGCTCCCGGATGAACGGACTGACGGACAAACGGATACATGAAAATTAAGCTTAACTCGTTGCATCGATCTTTTATTTCTTTTTACTTTTTTGTAGAAAATTCATGTTTTGTTGAGAAAAAATGGCAATTAAAAGAAATTACAATTAAAAAATAACATTTGTCAAAAATGACGGATGTATGAAATAACAGTTGTCAAAAATAGTTATATAATTTTTTTTCGAAAATGTTTGTAATATTTTAAAGTACCTATGCAAAAGTTATTTATTAAACAGTACGACAAAATTTCATTTTTTCCCTCTCATGAAAAATACCCGTGTCTCGGCGTTTTTTCAGATCACGTCATTTATTTTTTTTAAGTGCAATTCAATAAAATGTTATCCACGGTATTCGGCACATACTATAACAGCTTCGATAACAGTTAGACTATATTTTTAAGAATAATTTAAATACTGAATAAACGGACAACCATTAAAATTATTTATTTATTTTAAAATTATTTTAATTATATACAGGGTGTTGCACATTTACGATTACGGGTGTTTTACGTTCCTTGGTATATTAAAAGTTTCTGGGGAACGGCAAAAGATATCGATTTGAAATTTTTAAAGCGTTTATTATTTAATTAAGCCTATTTTTTTTAAATATTTTAAAAAATGCAACTTCCGGTTTTACCGGAAATGGTATAGTAATTTTACTCAGAATTTTATGTAGAATTTAAAAATATAAAAATATATAGGGTGTTCTATTTAAAATAACAAAGTTCCGGTCAAACCGGAAGTGGAATTTTGTTCAAAATATATATATTTTAATTTCAAATCGATATTTTTTTCGTCCCAAGAAACTTACAATGGACCACGAATGTGAAACACCCTGTATATCAAGTGGTGTTTTTAGGTTATAATACCACTGTAGATTCGAAAGCAATATATAATCATCAAACTAAAAGATCAAGATTTGTTTCCAAAATATATTTAATATAAGATAAATACAAATCTGTTGTTTTGTTAAAAAAAATCAAAAATTAAAACCAGAAACATTTTTTTTACTTTTACTTTACTTAAAAAAAATTAGAATTGGTATTTTAATGTTTGTATTATGTAAAAACATAAAATATTTCAAAAAAAAATTATTTATAACAAAATAGAGAATTAAAAATCTGTTTAGGTTAAAATAAGAAGAATGGCTGTGTAAAAAATTTAAATGACGTGATTTCGTGAAACGGTGAGACACAGGTACGTTTTTTTAATATTTATTTTTAAAATCTGTTGAGGAAAATCGTGTTGAACTGTGTTATTAAAGGTTCGTGGTTTTATTGCCTGTTGGTGTCTCCAAAAATAAAGACAATAAAAGGGCACATTTTATAAAAAAAATACAAAAATGATAACTTACGTAAAGTTTTTCGTTTATGTAATTGTACTATACATAAATTATATAAATTATAAATATGCTACCAACATAAAAAATATATAAAGGATTTTAACAATTGTGATTTAGTCTTGTAATTAAAAATTTAAACATGTTTAACAATTTTCTTTTATATGAAAAAATCTTGCTTAAGAAATATGCACTTCTTGTTTTACACTAAATATATTTAGTTAGTCTGTTTCCGTAATCTGCACGTGCTAAATAATTTAGTCTAAATATATCTACTTCCATAACGGGTAAACATAATTTATAATATTCAATAATTAGATTATTTAAATCTAATAGATATGGGTTTATTTATATTAACGTCTAATCATAAATGTATTAATCTTGAAACATGTATAATTTTTTTTTAATATGGGTTTATATTTAAGGTTTTAAAATTATTTCCTATTATGATTAGGTATAAAGCAACGATTTTAAATTATAACAAATACAAAAATAATTGACTAAATTAATAATTTATTGTTAAATTAATTATTAGTGAAGAAAATGTAAAAAGCTAATAGTTAAATTATAACTAACTAATTGTCGAGTCAATAAATGATATATCAAACTTAAATATCGTTCCATTTTTTGATAACTATGGAGCAAACATGCAAAAGCGGATAAATCCATTTTAACATCTGAGATATTGGCCAAAATATGTACAGCCGAGACCCCAAATATTTAAAAACTATTAAAAGGGTTTGCTGGGTTGTAACTCTTTGGGGTTTTCCTTAAAATGCTGTGCTAAGTCAAAATAAATTACCAAAATTAGTAGGATTTGGTACTACACTCTTAAAATGTAAAAATGGATTTATCGGTTTTTGCATGTTTGCTCCACAACTATAAATTTGTTTCCTATAATAAAACTAATTCTTTAAAGTAAACTTATGTTAAATATAAATTTAGAACATTGTTACTTACCAAGATTTTCATTATAAAAACGATCTATTTCAGTCACTAAAAGTTACAAAACCAAATGTGCACACTGAAACCGGCAATTTACTTTATATAGAAACCAGTGGTAGGATTACGGCTGAAATTTTTTCATTTAAGTCTGGGTTAATGGATCAAGAAGAAACGTATATTACTCGATTTGCTGAAATAAAGTGGTGGACATAAAATACATTTTACATTGTTTATCAATTTTGATTTTTATGACAAATGCTCCTTATAACATATTACCCACTTTTACTTTCTAATTTTTATTATTATGATTTAATTGTGGACACACGACACAATAATTTAAAATGTAGGTACTTATTAACCATTTAGATAAAACAGTATTATTTATAGTATTTATATACATGGCTTCATTTACAGATATAAAGAAGTAACTAATTTACTTTTCTCGAAAATAATTTATATTAATATTAATCAAGTTTAATCAGGTACGAGCAGGCTTGCGAGCTAATGTTTAATTAAATGAGGGTATAGGGAAGTTTATAAACGAGTTAAATACAATACTTTTTGTAGGACTAATACCTATTATTATCTTAAAATGGTTTAAATTAAATATTTTTATAGAGCGACATCTATAAAAAAATAAAATAAAATGCGTAACATTTTCTAACTTGGAAATCTGTTTATTACCGGCGCGTCAGTCAAAATGTCAAATTTGTATCTGTTAATCGAAATTTATCCCTTGAAAATGGACTAACAGGCGTTTAAATGATAATATAGAAGCAGTTTTTAACAGTAAAAGTTAAGAGAATGTTTTATGGGCACTTTACGGTGGAGTCACGGCAAAATCAAAAGGTTAGTACAAACTTGCATATAAACTTTTTAAATAGGTATTAGCGTTGAGAAACTATTTATTAATTTTAATTTTGTATTAGGATAATAAAATAATTTTCAGAATAATATTTCACAAGGATACTTTATTTTAACGTGTGTATAACATTTGGCAACTGTTAGTTAACTAACTTAAAACTATCTTCAGCCTGTGACTAAAAACCTGTTGCTAACTTAAGCCCGTGACTAAAACACTTTAAAGCCTCAACTTGTCAATGTGTATTTAAAGGATCATTTTTTTGGAATCTAAAAAGCTAGTTACATTATTTTATTTTAATGCTACAAGTTTAATACTTGTAAAAAGAGGAAATAATTTGATTAATTTGAGCCCTTAATATTAATATTTAGTGGTTTCTATGTTTTTTTATAATTAAGTCCTTTCAAAAGTAATTTATGGTTAAACTTTAACTTAATTTAATTAAGACTTAAGACTTACTTTTTTCGAGAACTGTAAAGACTCATTTTAAAAGGACGCTAGTAACATTTGGGTTAACAAAAAATAATATTGTTATAATTGTTTTTAAATTCTTATAATTAATGAGCGAGCAAAATTGTGCTTAAGTCGAAAAAAGGCAAAAATGATGTTGGATTGAATTGCATTAAAAATATCCAAAACACATTTTGCAATAAGAATTTTTTAAATAAACACACGTTAAATAAAATATTTTAAAAATTCACAGTGATATGTTACTTTTAAATATAGAAATTTCATAACATTTTGCGATATAATTCTTTAATCTATACATAAGATTAACGAGGTAATTTAATAGACGCAAATAACCTTTAGTTAGTACAATTCTCACATGTGTATACATACAAAATGAAATTGTTAAATTGTAATAGACTTATAATAAATTATAAGATTAAGACATTTTGTGCTACATGCTTTATAATTTATTATATTTTAAATGTCTACTATTATAACATCAATGACTGAAAAAAATAAATTAAAATTCAATAAGATAAATTACAGTAGTAAACGAATATTGGTAAATGGAATTATCTGATTTAAAGACAGCCTTTTAAAATTTATTATTCTAGTTGCGTTTAATTCTTTAAACGTTTCACTACGCTATTGTTCTTTAAAAACATAACTTTGTGTCACAAAATACTTGCATTGATTTATATTATTGCAATACCTATAAATGCACGAAAACTATGTACCTAAGAATATTTTGTAATGAAATTTTAATACCTCCCACGCAATATAGGTGAGTATAAATATCATGATTTTTTTAAAACAATCATCAAAATCGAAACAAAAATGAAGTTCTTGGTAAGTTATTAAGCCATCAAGTAAAACATTTCTTTAACATTATTTTTAAAATTTAAGGTAATTTTTTGTGTTGTTTGTGTTCTTGGAGAGGCAAAGAAAGAAAAAAGGGGAATTTTCGGAGAACAATTTTTACCCAATATTGTTGATGATGGAATTGTAGTGGAGGCAGCCGATATAAATTTTCCAAGACATGGATTTACTACTCCTATTTTGCCAATACCACTTACTCCAAAATCGTATCCAGTTTTAACTACAAAAACTCATCCAATTAATTATTTTCCAAACTTCTATTACGCGGCCAGAAACTTGGCTTATTTTGAAGCAAATCAATTTTCTATACCAAGATATAATATTCCAGTATTTTATCCCAGTGGCAGACGACAAGTGCCACTGGTATATAATTTTAGAAGATGGTAAATAATTTTAAATTGTACGAAAAATGTTAAAATATAAATAAAGTTATTTTCGAATTATTTATTAGTTTTTGAATAAAAAACAATAATTTGTTTTGCATGCTATCCAGAGTGCTATTATATGCTATTAGGTATATAATATATACATATATGTATATAATATTATAATAATTATTGTTAATAAATTAAAATTAAAAAATTTCATTATACGAGAGATAATGCACATTATCTTGTTATACTATGCTTTTATACACAAATTAAGTTATTTTCAGTAATAACAAAATTTATTACAATTTCACTTTCCAAAGTTAAGGTTTTTGGGGTCGCTGATTACAAATTTGATAATTCAAAATGGCGGACCAAAAATGAGGGACCTTTTTTTTAAAAAATAGTTTATTGCCCAAAAAATGTTTATTATTGGGTTTTTGGGGTCGCTAATCACGAATTTATTATCAAGATTATTAAATTTAAAATGGCGGACCGTGTTCCTTTTAAATTAATGGTTGCTATTTTAATTTAACATTTTTAAATTTTTAAAAGAAGTAAATTGTTTTTATATTTAAAAAAAATCAACTTTTAGTTAAGCAGTACCTACCTAAATGCAATTTAAAAATAAAAGTCAAGTTTTTGGTTTTAATATATATTGTAATAAATTTGCTTTTTCCTTTTAAATAAAGTCAATTATTTTTTTAAAACATGTTATTTTTAAATGTAATAAAAAAATCAAACAATAATTATTTCTTGAATTAAAACATCTTTTTTCTATTTTTATTTATTTTTTTAAATTTTATATGGAGTAAAAAGATTTTTATATGTAGTGCAAAGATTATTACATCATTTGCAAAAAGAATTCTTTTTGGGCAAGTTTGTGCAGTCGATTTTTTAAGACCTATTAATAGACAGTTCAATAAACCTTTTCCCTAAAAAACCATCTTTTGCAAAGGACCACAACTATTTATCGTGAAATAATTGAAATAATAGAAATTTTTTTAAAATCAAGTTAAATCAAAGAAAAATATAATTTTTTCGAAAATGTGATTTTTTTTCAAATTATTCTAGATACCTTCATAAACATTTTTCATTGGCAAATCACTGATGCCTAGCAACGTGAATAATGAGTTCATTATTTCCGTTGCTAGGCGGGGTCTCTGGCTTGTTAGTATCTGCCTATTTTTACTTTTTGTGATAATTTTAAGTGACCTTTTCACAGCTTCTCTAAAGTATTAAGTGTACTTAACTCCAATGCTTTATTATAAATATATACATACCTAATTACTATACCTACGGTACCATACAAAAAAATATTTTAAAGATATTAGCGTAAGTATAGAAATGCCACGCGTCAATTTAATTAATCGATATATTATTCCAATCCAAAAAAATAAAAAATGGATAGGTATTAATATATTTAAATTTATTTTAAATTAACATTTAAGTAGCAGATTTTTTTGAAATAAAAAAGTAATAACAATAAATTAACCTTTAATTTATTAATTCTTTTAAGTAATGTAATTTAATTTTTTTTTATATTTTTACCAAGATTTGTTAATTTGTAAATTTATGTGGTATAGCGACAAACTTTTTATTTATTTTTTTAAAGTTTAAATTCCATAATATTTTTTTTAGTATTTTAGTTTCTTAGTTGATTTTACAAATTTACACTAATAACATTTTAAAATAAACTTTAAACTTGGACATAATATTATAAACATATTGCATATTTTGCGACTTGTGGGAAAATGGGAGATTCTTCAAGCGTGGAGTTTGGTAACAAGCGAATGGAATATATTTTGACCAATAATCGCACACATATTTTATTCAACTACCGCAAGAAATTTAAAGTAAATTTTATTTGATATTTTATCTTACATGTGAAAACTGCCAAGCAATTTTAACCTCACTTTTTTTAACTTAAAGCTAACTTCAGACCGTGGGTTATATAGCATTTCGCCCAGGGGTTTAAGTTAAGGAACAAAACCATTAGGGAATTCATTATTTCCCCCACAAAATAACATATTCCTTGCGGGTGTGGAACAAAAAACTATAATAGGTAACTTAGATATGTTAAAAAAACAAAAATATGCAGTTTGATTAGCCCTTTATTTTAAAAATTGACATTGTGATGATCAAAGCATTATTTACCAACCGGCGTTGTAAGATCCAAAAGATCCCAAGTTGTGTCCAGAGTATCCGTATCCGTAGGAAGCAATTGGAGCAGCGTATGAAGATACAAGGGGAGCAGAGTAGGTCTTGGCTACAATTGGTGCAGAGTAGGAAGATACAATTGGGGCAGAATAGGTGGAAATGGCTGGAGCAGCGGCTACCAATGGAGCAGAGTGATGATAGGTGGAGATGGCTGGAGCAGCAGCTATTAAAGGAGCAGAGTGATGGTAGGTGGAGATAGCTGGAGCAGCAGAGACAATTGGAGCAGAGTAAGAGCTGATTCCGTGCCCGTAGGAAAAGGCATCATGACCGTAGCCGAAACTTCCATATCCAAGACCCAAAAGGCCACGCTTTTCTTTCTTTTCACCAGCAGAGGCGATGGCTACAAGAGCTACAAGAACTACCTATAAGGCACAAAGAAAAATGTTTTAATATATTTGTTAAGTGATAGGGTATAATGTTTTTTACTAGATAATTGTACTTACGAAAAATTTCATGATTATTGATTTCTTTTGCTGTACAAGACAAGAAGTGAAGATTCAGGATAATGTTTCGTATTTATACCCAAATATAACAGGACTCCAGTTTAACAAAAATTTAAATTAATCTAGATCAAAATGTCAAATTTTAGGTCCCAAGGTTAAAATCCCGTCGATTTTTAAGCAAAATCTATATTTTTATGTAAAAGAATATTCACATTTTAATTAATTAATATCCTGGACAAATGTGAATGTTATAAACACTATATAGTCAACATTTAATTTAAATTATTAAAGTAATAATTAAAAATTAAATTAAAAGTAATAAATATCGTAGATATAATTTACAAGGCATAATTAAAACTAAATATTACACACAAAAAAATCTAATCTCGAGTTGAAACTATTAGCATCATTATGAAACTATCATAGTCATGAATAGGAGCAAGATTAGTGTATGCTTAAGTTAAAATTACCTTTTCTTTAACTTTTATACCAAATGTATACCTACTTTGTATTTAACTTGAGAGTACTTATGTTATAGGTGTAAATTTAAATTTAAACTCGATTTAATATTAGCCTTAACTTCAATTTAAAACTATCTTATGGGTCTATTTAGAATTGGTTTTATTTAGATTAAATATAGTTTAAGTTCAAATTGAAAATAATTATTATATATGTTAATATAGCTTGTCTTTTATCGGAGTAAAACTATTTTTGAATTGAGACATATGTAGTTTAAGGTTTAAATAAATATGCTGGGCAGCCCAATTTCAATATTAACATATAAGAATACAAGCCCAGCCTTGGCTTGTATTCTTATACAGTGCTTGCAAATCCAAGTCCGACCGCGTTGGGAAGGATGGTTGTTCAATACCCGCGTGAAAAGAATAAGGATAGAATGCCAAACAGAATGTCTTTGGTCAGAGCGTCAGGCGTGCGTATTGTAAGCGCCTTCTGTTTGGCGTTCTATCCTTGTTATTTTCACGCGTCCTTCCCAAACCGGTCGGACTTGGATTTGCAAGCACTGTATGTTAATATTGAAATTAGGTCTTGCTTTAGGTTAAATTGAATTATACTTACTGTAAGTGTAACACTTATCATACTTATCTTTTTTTAAAACTTCTATTTTTAGATTACTATATTTATTTTTAAATGAAAACTAACAAAAATACTATGGAACGATTTATTTTCTAAATAAAAATACAATATTTTCTAAATAAAAACACAAATTCTTAATACATACAGGGTGGCCGATTTATCTGAAGACATTGAAATATTTCGAAAACTATGCATCGGATCAAAAAAAGTTTTGAATAAAATTTGTTCGCCTGGAAGGGGGACATCCAATGATACCAAAGTCGACCCCTCACCACCACCCCATGGGGTGGGGGTGGGGGCAACTTTAATATTCTAAATAGGAACCCCCATTTTTTATTGCAGATTCGGATTTACTATTAAAAAATAAGTAACTTTTATGGAAAAACTTTTTTTAAATTCCTGATAGATGGCGCTGTAATCGCGATTTTTGGGAATATCTTGAAAAATTGCAGATTCGGATTTCCCATTAAAAAATATAATTAGTGTATACGAGAATTGTAAGGGAATTCAAAATAAATTAAATTAATTAATTCCTTTTGATGTTCCCATGTTCCCATGGCCATGGGGTGGGGGTGGGGGCAACTTTAATATTCTAAATAGGAACCCCCATTTTTTATTGCAGATTCGGATTTACTATTAAAAAATAAGTAACTTTTATGGAAAAACTTTTTTTAAATTCCTGATAGATGGCGCTGTAATCGCGATTTTTGGGAATATCTTGAAAAATTGCAGATTCGGATTTCCCATTCTTGGGTAATTTTAAAAATAGATGTTAACTTATTGATATACGAATAAAATCCAAAAATTAAACAAGTTTTTCTTTTTTTCGATCCGATGTGTAATTTTTTAAGATATTCCCAAAAATCGGGTTTCTTGCGATTACAGCGCCATCTATCAGGAATTTAAAAAAAGTTTTTCCATAAAAGTTACTTATTTTTTAATAGTAAATCCGAATCTGCAATAAAAAATGGGGGTTCCTATTTAGAATATTAAAGTTGCCCCCACCCCCACCCCATGGGGTGGTGGTGAGGGGTCGACTTTGGTATCATTGGATGTCCCCCTTCCAGGCGAACAAATTTTATTCAAAACTTTTTTTGATCCGATGCGTAGTTTTCGAAATATTTCAATGTCTTCAGATAAATCGGCCACCCTGTATATATAGGGTCTCTGATAATAAGTAAAATTTTATACACTCTAAACTACCTACTGCAATATACATCAAAATAAGACTATACATGTTTAGTACACAATGATAATTATCATTAGTATTATAATACCTAATAGGTAAACAAAATATTTGTACAAGTATACTATAGCCACCAAATGTCATTTATGCTTTGTTGTAAAGGGTTAAGCAATACAAATGACTTTATGATGTGAAAAAATATCAAATATTTTTTGTACTATGGTACTTACATAGAAATGAATGTATTACTTCGTCAGGATACCCCCATGTTCTAAGCGGTTCCTCCATAATAGGGATCTCAAAAATACTATTTCTTTAAAAAATAACACAATCACCACCACAGAACAAACCACAGGCACAATAATTACACAAAACAGGTCCTCGCGCATCGGAAGTTTACTTAATTATGCCAAAGAAGATTGATGCCGCCCTCTTTGTAGAACGTATTTTTGCGCGGTTCTTTTATTATGCTCAATTTGAAGATAGAGTACCTTTTTATTATTAAAATAATGATAGTGTCACTTTGTATTATTGGAATGATTACATGTAAGGATGTTTTAAGTATAAAGCAAGTGTTCACAGGGATGTTTTGTTATTATTATAGCTAAATTTAGTTATCTTTGATATAGATAAAAATATATATTTTTATAATCAATTTAATGATTATATTTAACAATACATTATACTTGCTATGAATTAATTTTGGTATCAGAATAAACCTTATTTGTATTAACCTAAACCTAATTATTTGAAAATATGTTATTTGTTCAAATTGATATTATCCTCAAAATCTTGACTTTTGTACATGAGTCATTTTCAAGAAACACCCGCTTTCAGGATAATGAAGATCAATTTTTTTTTGCTTAAATTGACTTTTGGTTGGATTTTTATAAATGTTTAGATTTTGTTTACTTACAATTAAGACAGGCAGTGCACTTTTTATTTTTTTACGGTTTTTTCAGATAAATGTGTTAAGCTAGCTTTAAATATCTCCACTGTGTTACCAATTTGAAATCCAAAATTTAATTCAATAAAAAAGTTGTCATAAAAATAATTTGAAATAAAATGTACTTAGTTCACAAACTTTTGACTCCAATTTTTTATTAAAAATTGTATGTTTTTTTTAAATATGTATGTTCGTTAAGTTACTTTTTAAAAGAACAATACCATTAATGTTTTCTTTTAGTTACTGAATTAGTGAGTTAAACTCTAATTTATAAACACGTATTACCAAGTGATAGTGTATAAAAATCATTTTAAGTATTTTTCTAACAAAAACTAAAAAAAGCAACAAAATAGACATTGCTATCACAACGGACTGGGGTACACAAAGGACTTAATCAGATAACGTAAAAAAGAAACTATATAGGGTGGTACGATTTTAGAGTAATGCATAAACAAAATCCCTTGTAGTGGTGCTCACTTGCAGAATAACAACTTAGATTTCTAAATTGTAGAAACCCTTTTTCTTTTACTATAAGCTGGTGAAGGTCCCTTTTAGTACTTGTATATTGCGTGGAATTTTCCCTTGGATGTAATTTATATCATGAGTTGTAATCACGAATAATTATAAATTGGTTTATCATAACCTACTTTAAAAAAAGGGACAGTAAATATCAACTTTGTTGTCGAAAAATTCTATTGCGTTACCCAAAATTCCATTGCGTTACCATAAGGAAACATAATGGACTCGGTAACGCAGTGGAAAAAGTTTTGTGAAACCATATTTTAAAAATATAAAATAAGACATTACAGTCATTAATTACTCTCAATGAGCTTTAGTGCCCTAAAATAAACATAAACATGAAAAATAGTATTTTTTCTTACCTTATTTTTATTATTTTTTTTAATAACTTAGCGGACAAACAATTATTACATTCGCGTTACCCGCACCTGTTTCAACCGATATCTTCTTCCTGATTGAATAAATAAATTCAGCTGGGTAATGTGTTTGTCCGAACATCATTTGTTGATCACGTGCCAAAAAAGTTGCTATATATATGTTTTTTTTAATATTCTATCGGTAACACAAAGTTCTGGTTATTCAATATTAAAAAAAAACATGTAAGTTTTATAAAATGCTAATGGGACATGCGAAAATGTGTGTTTCACAAGTTTCAAAATTAAAAAAAAATTATTCTGAAATAACTAAACAAACATTTTCTGAAAGAGTTTACTAAGGGCTTGTTAGGCTTTCACTTGGTTTTTAAATCAATAAGATCCGATAATTTTTAACAAAGTTATTGGAATTTAAACTTACGGACAGCGGAAGGCGGGTGTTTTTTGAAAACGACCCACATATGGAGGTCAGTGGAACTCAAACAGCTTATATATTATCTACAGCGACCAACAATGCAGCTTCTGACAGGAGAAAACACTCCTCCAACATGAACAGAGCCTCATGTTACTCGAGATCTCTAGACACGGACTTAACCTCAAAATTGCTTATATGCTTCAACGCAAAATGAGTCCCAACGTAAAACTGTTTCTAACAAAGCAAAATTAGTTTATTTTAGAGTACGTATAAAGTGCCTGTAGATCCTACAGAAGATTTAAAATGGTTTAAAAATTGGCAATAAGATATTAAATCCATGTTGTGCCTGTAGGACCTAAATACAACAAGGATTTAAATTCCGCGGATTTTTGACAAATTATGGCCAATTTTTAAACCATTTTAAATCTTCTGATTTAAAAACAACTTTGAAGTGCTTAAGGTAGGGAAATAATTTGCCCAAATAGGTATGTGTGTATATTGTAGGTTGTCTCTTCACTGCAAGTAGTAAATTAAAATAATTATACACGTTTTTTTATGAATCAAGAAATTTTTTTGGACTTGCAATTTGATCAATTGAGAACACTTTTGCACAAGTAATGGATTTTGAGGATGGAGTCGATATTTTTGCTAAGGTTGCATTCTGGTGAGGCATACTACATACCTACTAATACTAATTTCCTAAACAGAGTAAAAAATTGTTTTATTCCAATTTTTCATTTCCCTCTCAATTTACACTGAAAAAATAGGGGCGGCAACTTGCACCTTTGAAATTTTATAGATATGTAAAACATCTTTCTTTTTTACATAATTTGTATTAATTACCTTATTTCTATAAAAATTTGCAAAATATTAGCCTTGAAATAATTAATTTATTTTAATTTATACAACTATGTAGTCTACACGCCATTATATTTTAGGAATATACCAAACAACTATTCTTAATCTTCAATTTTTGTTTCTGCAGAAAAAGGCATAACAAAGGAAATACTTGGTAAGAATCTAAAAATAAGCTGTAGGTTTAAACAAAAGTTATAATTTGTTCTTTTTTTCTTTCTATAGGTAGTTCTTGTAGCTTTCGTCTTTGCCTGTGAAAATAAAGAAAAGCGTGGTGTTTTTGGTCTTGGATATGGATGTTTCGGTTACGGTCATGATGCCCTTTCCTAAGGACATGAATTCAGCTCTTACTCTGCTTCAATCATCTCACTGCTCCAGCAATCTAATTAAGTAATAAGCTAACTAGCTCTATTGCAATATTAACATCTTGTTTTTAGTTTTACTAACTCTCCAATGACATGAACGAAGGACTTGATTTGGACGTAAATTGGTCTTTCTGTATTAGACTCACTCTCTCTAAAGAAGATGATAAAATATATATATCAAATGCATTTTTTGAGAAAAATAAGGCCTGCTAAAGTAATATAACTAACTAAAAAAATCGCGTCCAAAATAATCAAAAATTGTGAGTAAAAACTACCGTACCTAATTATGCTTATAAGCTTAAGCTTAATTATCACAAGCATAATAAACACGTTTGCAATAGTAACTATTGCAATAGTATTTAATTTAATTACAGTGGCTTTTACTCACAATTTTTTATTATTGCTGTGTAACGTGGAATTGCTGAGTAGTAGTTTCAAATCTCAATGACAAGTTGCTTATATTCAGTAGCTACCGAAGCTTCGACAGTGGCCAGAACGTATTCTATACAGAGCCTCGCAATGACATACAAATCTTTAGAAACTTTGAGGTATATTTTTATAAAAACATGGGTTCTTAGTTCATTTTTTTATTTATTATAATCGATATTTTATTGTTTACCAACCGGCGTTGTAAGATCCGAAAGATCCCAAGTTAAGACCGGAGTATCCGTATCCGTGAAGGCCGGAGTATCCGTATCCGTGGTGAGCAATCGGGGCAGCGTAGGAAGATACGATTGGAGCGTGAGAGTAGGTAGAGATTGCTGGAGCAGCGTGAGAGTAGGTCGAGATGGCTGGAACAGCAGCTACCAAAGGAGCAGAGTGGTGGTAGGTGGAGATGGCTGGAGCAGCGGATACAATTGGAGCGTGGGAGTAGGTAGAGATGGCTGGAGCAGCAGAGACAATTGGAGCAGAGTAAGAGCTGATATCGTGTCCGTAGGAAAAGGCATCATGACTGTATCCGTAACCAAGACCCAAAATACCACGCTTTTCTTTCTTTTCACCAGCAGAGGCAATGGCTACAAGAGCAACAAGAACTACCTGCAAGTAAAAAATATATTCCAATTTGTTTTTAAACTAAATGCCTAATTATTGTGAGTATTTAATTACTGTATAATTGAACTTGCCAAGAATTTCATGATTGTTGATTTCTTTTGCTGCAGAAACAAGAAGTGAAGATTGAGAAAAGATTATTAATACCAATTGGTATATATATCAAAAAATAGTGGCATGCAGACTAAAACTTTAAATTAATACAGATTAAAATGCAAACTCATAGGTAAACCAGGCTATTATCTTGCAGATTTATGTAAAAAAATTTAATCAGTAGCTTATTATATAAGAATAAATGACATTTTACATATCTTGTATTTTGTTGGACGCTATGTTAAATTTATGGTTACCAATTTCTTTTATAATATTTTTTTTATATATTATAAATTATTAGGATGTCAACAATGCTATAAAAGTTAAATTTTATAGGTTTTATTAACATAATGCAATAAAATTCCAGGTGTTAACTTTATTATTAAAATATGAATAAATAAATTTAAATAAAAAGTTATATTTAATACATATTTTTTTCTACTCCCACCTTTAAAACTCCCATTATCGTACATGTTAACATGACACTAAGTGACCTAAGTGTATTACACAAAAATTTTATTCATGGGATGAAGTTAGTTTTAAGTTAGTTGACAGTTGTAAATGTCATACAATCGTTAAAATCAAGTGCCCTTCTTGTAAAATAATACTAAATGTAAAAGTTATTTTACTACCTTAATACAAAAATACAAAAGTATTAAATAATTTGAAAAGTTTATATACATAAGTAGATCATCTCTCCATAATAGTGGACTCTTCTAGCGTAAATATGATGGGCTATACTAGCCTTGGCCATTGGCATAGTACAGTCGAGTGCAATAAGGCAATTCAAAAATCGCTTGCGATGCTCAGTCATAGCTCCGCCTACTCTAGTATCTTCACCACTTAATTTATTCTGTCTTAACCAAGGTCACACGTTTTTGCATGAGGAAGGGCAAAATATATCGCAAATATCAAGAGAATTGAATATTTCGGTAAGAAAGATAAATTAAAAGGAAATACCGTAAAACGGGGCGACTTGAAACTCTTTGCAGCGCTTGACCATCTAGGGGTTAAAAATTGAATATCAAAATATAGCTATAAAATATAACACCAAGCATGCTAGTTAGATTAATTTATATCTGTTGATTTTATTGTGCACCTACATAAAAAAAAAATTTCTTTCTTTTATACAGAGATTCCTAAAAAGGCTTTAATAATGACATATTTTTTCCTGGACAGTAATTTAGTAGGCATTCATATTCTAACGGTTAGAATCCAATCCCAAAATTTTATATTCATGTCAAATTTATTAGTGGGGTATTATTTTATTTTTTTTTATTTCAGGGGCGACTTAACATATAAAAGAAAGCCAGGGTCGAAACTTAAGAGACTCAAGTGAAGAATATAAAATTGCGTTTAAACTTTATATAGAAAAAATAAAGGGAAGAACACAAAATTATTTGTTGGTCAAACCGAACAGTAAACTGTTTTTCCTAAAAAAAAACTATTTTTCTTAAAAAAAAACGATTTTCGTAGCAGGATATATAAAATATGATATTCTATCTTTCAAGTCGCCCCAATATTTTTCTACAAATACAATGTAAATGCGCCCCAGCCTGGGACGACTTAAAGAAACACCCGTTATATATTTTTTCTTGAGAGTAGAGGGGGGTATAATTTTTTAGGTATTTCACCCGGTAGCCACTACCCCAAAGTAATCTAAAATATTATTTTATTTCAATCAAATCGTCATAGTGATGGCGGCGTGTGCTCAAATATTCCAAAAAGTGTAGCAAGTTTTATGGTACTAAATTAATTATTCCATTATTTTTTAATTTTTTAATTATAAATATTTTATTCAATTTTTTTATATTTTTTAACGCTTATATTTTTTAATTTTTTAGAGGGTGTGCGTGCGTAGGTGGGTAACAAATTTTAGATAATATCTATATTATTATATTGCGAATAAGTTTATTGACACTTGTTTAATAAAAATTAGTAGTATTTTATGCCAAAAAGCCTATGTTTAACTTTAAAAAAGTCTAAATTATGTATTATATCCATTGGTATTGATAAAATTTAAAAAAATATTATTACAAAAATAACGTCAAAACTCATCAAAATAAATATGAAACAATAAATCTTATACGGGTTCAGGTAAGAAATACCCAAATAAGTTTGTTTACGTTAAGGCAATAATTTTCACCCCACCGCCTCGCAATGGCTGCAAGCGAATATAAGTGTTAGGGTGGTACTGAATCAATGCACTTGACTGTACCTGTAAAAATTTCTTACCTGCTGGGGAGTATACTCAATTGTGGCGTGGCCGAATGTGACTATTCCCCTATCATTCTGGGATTTGGAAATAAGCACTTTTAGGTCATCTAGGGCTAGGTCTGTAGACTTTCCTGGTTGGTACACGTATTGTCGTTGGTTTAGAGGGTTGTCCTTTAATGTCGTACCTCCAATGTGTATCGATTAGCCGTTCTAGTGTCTTCACTAGGAAGCTCGTTAGACTGATATATTATCAACATATATGATCTATAGACCATACGATTTGGGTTTTGCTCAATAAACTTTCCTGCCTTTGGCAGATAGATAATTCTCTGCCGGGTCTGTATGAGTATAAGTTTTATCGTTTCTCTTGAGGAAACTTATCTGCCTTTAGGTGACATCCTTCACCAGAACCTTATAGATTCTGGAGCAGGCCAGAGTCTTATTGATATCCATACAAAACCTTCTCCAAGAATCCCTCTTGGCTTTTTGAATTGCTTTGTTGTATTGGGTCAGTTTTTCTTTGTAACCAGCTCAATCTTGGTTTGTTTTTGCTTTATTGAAAAATTTTCTGTTTTTTTTAGTGAGTCTCCCCAAAAGCTTATTCCACCAAACTGTTCCGCCCTTTTTTTAGATTTCTGGGCAGTTATCATGAAAACTGTCCTAATTGCCTGGCTTACCTGGTCCACTCTCTATCGTTTTAACTGTAGTTATTAAAATTTTAGTATTTTATTATATACCCACATATAATATATAAATATTAAAAAAAAGTCCAACCCGACAGAAAACGTAACATAGCATGCTATGTTACGTTTTCTGTCGGGTTAGACTTTTTTTTAATAGCAGTCTAACATCTGGAATGCATTAACCTTCGATTTTTAAATTATTCAAAAAATGTTGTTCTGGATTAAATTCATTTTGATTAGATGCAACTTTTTACTATATAAACCAACAATTTTGGCACAATCTTCACATTTGTTTCCAATAGCAAAGCAGATCAACAATCATCACCATGAAATTCTTAGTAAGTAGAAAGCTTCAGTTATCAGTGCAAAATAATACTTTGCATGCAATAAGAAAATAAAATGTTTTTCTATTTGTAGGTACTTCTTGTAGCTGTAGTGGCTATCGCTTCCGCTAGTGAAAAGAAGGAAAAACGTGGAATTTTGGGTCTTGGTTACGGATACGGTCATAATGCTCTTTCCTATGGACACGGAATTAGCTCTTACTCTGCTCCAATTGTGTCTGCTGCTCCAGCTATCTCCACCTACCACCACTCTGCTGAATTGATAGCTGCTGCTCCAGCCATCTCCACCTATCATCACTCTGCTGAATTGGTAGCTGCTGTTCCAGCCATATCGACCTACTCTCACGCTGCTCCAGCAATCTCTACCTACTCTCACGCTCCAATCGTATCTTCCTACGCTGCCCCGATTGCTCACCACGGATACGGATACTCCGGTCAACACGGATACGGATACTCCGGTCATCACGGATACGGATACTCCGGTCTTAACTTGGGATCTTTTGGATCTTACAACGCCGGATGGTAAACATTGCTGCTATTACATTTGTTTATAATAAATGACTTAAATTAAATCATTGTGCCTTTATTAGAATTTTAACCTCCATTTAGGCTTAATTTTGTTTAATAAATTGACATATTTAGATTCAATTAAAGTTTACATGTAAAAGTAATTTACTCTTATCACTGGTTCGAAAATAGAAAAAATTCTGCATGAGATATGTTTTATACTGCGCTTCTACGAATAATTATTAAAAAATCAAGCAAATATTACGATCGAAAAAGTCGTTTTATTAAAAAAATAAATCGACAAATTATAATTTGTCGATTTATTTTTTTAATAAAACGACTTTTTCGATCGTAATATTTGCTTGATTTTTTATTTTAATCGTCGAATTTAACATTAAATAATTTAAGCAAAGTGTTTAGGATTTTCATATTTTGGAGTTTTCTTCAAAGTCTTTTCCTAAAAACACTTTTTTACTGAACATTTATCAGATCACACCATCTTAGAAAAAACTTGCATTGGTGCTTTGACTTACTTTGATTTCTGCCGGGAGAAATTCATTTTCTTGATCACTTCCCATGTCACGAGATTTTAAGTTACTTGTCAAAAAACCTTAGCAACAATAAACTTTACAAACAATTGGATTTAAAAATTATATTTTATGAATTTAATAACGTAAGAAATGCGTTGATCAATATTATTAGATAAAATGACACAGAACACTAAAAATCATATATCGTATAAATGTTCATAAAAAGAATTAGTTTTCAACTTTCTTAGGATAGCAAAATAAATATTAAACCTGGGTGCAAAATGATACTTCTCCTAAGTTTCCTTAATTTTGAAGAAAAGTATGATTATCTCCCCAAATTTAAAAATAATTATAATATCATATAAAACTTAAGCCATAAAGTAAACTAAGTAGGCAAATACTTAGTTTTTTACTTTAAATTTAAAACGGGTTTTGCGATTTTGTTAAAATGGTATATTATATGGGACAAAAAGTTCAATTTATATGCGTACAACTTAGGGGTTTTATTAAATGCACCATTTTTTTTTAAGTTGGACACCCAACTCATTTACTGCAATTTATTTGTAATTTACGATTGCTTTAATTTTTTGAGTTTTTTCCGTTTAATTTCGTCAATTTACCGAAAAAAAAAATGCTTCGAGACGATAGTTTGACCCTTAACCCTTAACCCCGCCAAAAACATATCGATATACGATTATATTTCGATTTTTTTCCCATGCTAAAATTCAAGGAGTTTCTAATAAGTAATATAGCAATGGGTGCACCCACTGGAATACGATTTGATAACTTAATTACATTAAATTTAAAAAGCTAAGATAAAGTACATTGCTTTACTTATGTTATTAGTTTCCTTAATTACAAAACATGATGTATTAGTAAAAAATTAGGTAAATGTAAAGAAAACCAAGAAATAAAATTTAGTCATATATTATTAACAAAAAAAAACGTCGTCGTATCCCAAAGATCCCAAGTTAAGTCTGGAGTATCCGTATCCCTGAGATACCACTGGAGCGGCAGTACAGGAAGATACAAGAGGGGCGAGTAGATGTCGTCGAGGGATTTGTAAATAAGCCCTTTTAGGTCATCTAGGGCTAGTTCTGCAGACTTTTCTGGTTTGTACGAGTATTGTTGTTGGTTTAGATTTTTTTCCTTTAATTTCGTATCTCTAATGCGTCTATCGATTAGCCGTTCTACTGTCTTTACTAGGAAGCACGTTAGGCTGATAGGCCATACGATTTGGGTGTTTGATCATTAAACTTTCCTGCCTTTGGCAGATAGATAACCCTTGCCTTTCGTCGGAGTTTGGGTATGTATCGTCGGGCTAAACTTGCTATAAAGATTTTACATAGATGCGGAATGAAGTTGTCCCCGCCTTTTACTAAGAATTACTAAGTAAATTCTGTCAACCCTTGGTGACCTTCATGGTTGGAATATTAATATTGCTCATCTAATTTTTGAAGGGCTGGTTATTTTAGAGGCTGCCTTCCTGTCAACCGGGTTAGGCCTCCTAGGCCTTGTTTCCCCAGAGTACTTTTGCAAGCAGTTTCAAGCTTTCCTCTGGCGTGTCTGTATAAGTTATATTGTTTCTCTTAAGGAAACTTATCGGCCTTGCGGTGCCATCCTTCGCCAGGACATTATAGATTCTGTGGTAGGCCGGATTTTCATTAATATCTTCTCAAAACCTTTTCCAAGAATTCCTCTTGGCTTTTCGAATTGCTTTGTTGTATTGGGTCAGTTTTTCTTTGTAACCAGCTCAATCTTAGTTTGTTTTTTCTGTGTTGAAAAAATTTCTGGTTTCTTTACTGAGTCTCCCCAGGAGCTTATTCCACTAAACTGTTCCGCCTTTTTTTAGATTTCTGGGCAGTTATCATGGTAAACTGTTCTAATGGCCTCGCTAACCTGGTCCACTCTTTATCGTTTTAACTGTAGTTATATTAAAATTTTAGTTTAAATTTAAAAAATAATAGCAATTGCAATATTTAACTCAAAAATTACTTATGTTAGAAGAATTTATTTTCATAAAATTAACAAAAAACTAACAAACTTGAATATTTTATTCAGAAACAATTTAATGTTATATTTTAGCACTAGTTACAAAATAAACAATTTTAAACAATATTGTCATATAGCTCAATAACATACAATCTTGTAGCATTATTCATAAACCTTTTTATTATCTCTTTTTAGATCCTTTACTTTTCATTTACTTTTTGCCCAATTAATATCTGAATTATTATTTATAGTGACTGAGATAATTATTTTTAAAACAACAACAAACATTTGTTCATTTTTATAATATACCTACATATAATATATAAATATTAAAAAAAAATTCTAACCCGACAGAAAACGTAACATAGCAGTCTAACATCTGTAATGCAGTAACCTTCGATTTTTAAATTATTCAAAAAATGTTGTTCTGGATTAAATTCATTTTGATTAGATGCAACTTTTTACTATATAAACCAACAATTTTGGCACAATCTTCACATTTGTTTCCAATAGCAGATCAACAATCATCACCATGAAATTTTTAGTAAGTAGAAAGCTTCAGTTTTCAGTGCAAAATAATACTTTGCATGCAATAAAAAAATAAAATGTTTTTCTATTTGTAGGTACTTCTTGTAGCTGTAGTGGCTATCGCTTCCGCTAGTGAAAAGAAGGAAAAACGTGGAATTTTGGGTCTTGGTTACGGATACGGTCATAATGCTCTTTCCTATGGACACGGAATTAGCTCTTACTCTGCTCCAATTGTGTCTGCTGCTCCAGCTATCTCCACCTACCACCACTCTGCTTCATTGGTAGCTGCTGTTCCAGCCATCTCGACCTACTCTCACGCTGCTCCAGCCATCTCTACCTACTCTCACGCTCCAATCGTATCTTCCTACGCTGCCCCGATTGCTCACCACGGATACGGATACTCCGGCCTTCACGGATACGGATACTCCGGTCTTAACTTGGGATCTTTTGGATCTTACAACGCCGGATGGTAAACATTGATGTTATTACCTTTTTTTTATAATAAATGACTTAAATTAAATCCTTGTTGTGCCTTAATTAGAATTTTAATCTTTACTTAAACTTAAATTAACATATTTAGATTCATTTCAAGTTTTTACAAGTAAATAAACATTTTATCGATTTATTTTATGGGTAAAACTTTCGAGTTTTTCAGTCGTAATTTTTGCTTATATCCTGATTCTTTATTTTGATCGTCGCATTAAACATGAAATAATTTGAGCAAAGTGTTTAAGATTTCCATATTTTGGACTTTTCTTCAAAGTCTTTTGCTTTTCACTGAACATTTATCGGATCAGAAGTGTGATCTGATGGTATCATCTTAAACTTAAATTGATGCTTTGACTTACTTTGATTTCTGCGGGAAGAAATTCATTTTCTTGATAACTTTCCATGTGACAAGATTTTAAGTTAATTGTCAAGAATTTCGAAATTCAAAATTGTATTTCATAAATGCGTTGATAAATAAAAGTGTATAATATATGTGCTTCAAGTGATTTTATTTTATTGATACAAATAAACACTCACATGCACTAAATATTAGATAAAATGACACACCAAACACCAAAAGTCATATATCGTAAAAGAAAAAATACATCAGAACATGGGTTTATCAAAAATCGAGCATTCCTTAATTTCCGACCAATCAGAGCAATGGGACGAGAGACTCTAATCGGTTCATCAAATGTGTTTTCAAATCTAAGTTAAGTTAATATCTAGCTATTATTTTTATAATTAATTTAATCCTAATTGAGGTATAAAAAATGTTTTTTTTACCTTAAATGAGGTATTTTTATTAAAAATAATCCTTTAAATTATATGCTGGCAGTTAAAAAGTGACCATGGTGCGATATTGATAATTATCAACGAAATAAATAATGTATAAAACCAAGGGAAACTTAAATATTAGTTAAAAAATCGTGGGTAAAAAACAGATTAATTTTAATAAGATAATTATTACCAAAAAAGTGATATTTTTATAGAAAAATTATTGCAGAATCATATAAAAAGAAAAATTGAACAAAATTATTTTTTTTTCATTACAGCGCCATCTATTACAAATATGAAAAAATGTTTTAGACAAAATCTACCTATTTTTAGTCGAATTTATTTTAAAGTTGCCCCCTGTTCCCCCTATAAGGAGGACCAATTTTAGTCCTGATTGATTTCGCCCCTCGAATAATTTAATTTTTATTTAAACATTTTTTCGTAAAATTCATACTAACTGAGATATTTCAAAGTTTCAAGTTAAATGATTCACCCTGTATATATAGAATGCAGGAAGAAAAAGTGAAAACATTTTCCTATTTTATTTCAATGGAAAATTTTAAAACTCAATGATAGACATCTTAAAATTGAAATTAAGAGTTGGGACCATCCAAGAAATATTCATGTAGTATAAAAAAACGATGTAGTCTTTTTTGAAACATCCTAATTTATATCTACAAATGTATATATAAATTATGGTGTTCCAAAAAAGATGATATCGTTTTTTTAGGGCCAATCATTGTCAACTGGCTAACAACTGTACTATTTACCCATATTGCTAATTAATATATTTTAGTGCCCCGTTACAAAATCGGCTGAATTCATAAAAATAAGTGAAGGTAATAAAAACTAAGGTAATAGGTATGTAATCAGTCATTTATTATTAAGAAAATTAACAATTCACAGCTTCATTTACCATCCGGCGTTGTAAGATCCGAAAGATCCCAAGTTAAGTCCAGAGTATCCGTATCCATGAGATACTACTGGAGCGGCAGCGTAGGAAGATACAAGAGGAGCAGAGTAGGTGTTGGCTACTACTGGAGCGGCATAGGAGGATACCAATGGAGCGGAGTAGGTCTTGGCTACTACTGGAGCGGCGGCTACCAATGGAGCGTGGGAGTAGGTGGAGATGGCTGGGGCAGCAGCTACTAATGGAGCGGCGGCATAGGTCTTGGCTACCACTGGGGCGGCAAAGGAAGATACCAATGGAGCGTGCGAGTAGGTAGAGATGGCTGGAGCAGCGTGAGAGTAGGTGGAGAAAGCTGGAGCAGCAGCTACCAATGGAGCAGCGTGAGAGTAGGTGGAGATAGCTGGAGCTGAGTAAGAGCTGATTCCGTGTCCGTAGGAAAGAGCATCACCGTAGCCGTAGCCAAGACCCAAAACTCCACGCTTTTGCTTCTTTTCACCAGCAGAGGCGAGGGCTACGAGAGCTACAAAGACTACCTATCAAAAACAATAAGGTTATTAATTATATATAATTAATAATAATATTATCCATTTAAATTAAAACTTTTCAGTAGTACTTACCAAGAATTTCATGATGATTGCTGATGTGTAATACAGTAGAGCACAAGACACTATGTAAAAATTTAGTTTAAAAATCTGGTATATATACAAAAAATGACCACATGTGTTCGATCAAAGAATACAATTTTTTGAATAAATTAAATGGCGAAACCAAGGCTAAAATCGTTGAAAATTATAAACTTAAGACTTAAAAGTTCAAAATCGATTTTTTTAGTTAACTTTTTAGTAAGGTATATTGTTATGGCTAGGGCTTGGATTTTTATGTAACTGGGTAAATATTTACAAATATAAAAACATATTGTACATCATATATTATACAGGGTGGAACAAAAGTATCAAATAATGGCTTTAACTTTGTTATTTGCAAAGTTAAAAAAAAGTTTAATATAAAAGTTATTTGGTTCATTACCAAGCATGTTTTAAGTTTTTTAGTTTGTTGATATCTTTTTTTATTTTGTTTCTATGGCAATCAATTTCTTTTAAATGGCACAATTTTTTGTGTTTATTATGTAAAAGCACATTTCTCTATATTCAATCAAACAATTTTAAATCTTTAAAATTTTTGAAAAAAAAATAAGCGAGAAAAAATATTTATTACGACCCACTCGTCATCTCTAATAAGGGAAGCTATGGAAAAATTCATGAAGTTATAAAATTAAAACATTACTTTTCGTAAATAATGCTATGCAAATTTGACAATTGTTTCTCTATTGTTTTCTTTTTATTGTTTTTCTTTAAAAAATAAATAATCATTGTTGGTTTAAAGCAAAGTTTTGTTCAACATTCTTGCAAATTATTAATTTTAAAGATTAATGATTTAGGGACACGGAGATAGAAAGAGGACTCAAAGCGAAATTTGTATTGTATTCAAGGAACAATCTGTTAAATAATACAAAAAAATTTAAAAACTGATAGACGTGAAAAGAAGTGGTAGACCAAAATCGGCAACAAGTGAGAAAAAAGCTTTAAGTGTTCTATTGACAATTGAAGAAACGCCACAAGTCTCAATGAAGAGTAGCAAGCAATTTAGAAATTACTAATTTCAAATTAGCCATACTTCTATACTTAGAATTTAAAAATAGAAAAATTCACCCTTATAAGCTTCATTTAATACATGAATTGAATAAAGATGAAAAATTATAAACGTCTTTATTGAAATAAGGAAATACACTATTTCAAATGGCGGAATTTGAATTTTAACATTAAAAATGGGTAATTCATTCTAACATTCAACCAAAATCGTTGAAAAGCGACTTTTTCATACGAGTTTTTAAGTTGCCCACGAGGCCGTTAGGCCAAGTGTGCATTAACACGAGCTTGAAGAAAGCTTTTCTTACAAGTATCACAATGTTTTTTCTGCGACCCTTTTATTTTTTATTATTTTTAAATACCAAACAAAATAACCTAAAAACTTTTTTGACAGCTGAATGTCAAACGATGCTTTCCGGTCCTTTTCACACAGACCTGTCACTTTTCACACAGAAATGTCACTTTACATTTGTGTTTTGCCTTGCCAATGAAAATATTAATTTTCTAAGCAACGATGCCATCATGAAAAGTGACTTTTACATAGTGGTCGTAGAAAAAAGTATATTCAAAGTATACGCAAAAGTGCTCTTTTAGTTTCACCCTTACTTCCTAAGAAGTCCCAGAAGCCAACTGAATGGCTTGTGCGGGTTAGGGGTAGGAACGGACCGCTGGCTTAAAGTCCCCTTCAAAGGACTAATATACAATAGGACAAACACAAATAAACAACCATACCAATGAGGGACTCGAACCCACGATCTCTCGGTTTGTCAGCAGCACTGATCACTAGTCCACCGTCGGCGGCTACTTCAAACTCATCTCAGAATACCTGCAGAGGTGTTACCCAGAGCTACTACAGTAGAATTAAAATACCGTTTAGGTCATTGCTTGGTAGTCAACGGAGCTCAGTTTGAACATTTGATTTAGTTTTGCTGTTTTTTTGTATTTTTATCTAAATTTTATTGTTGTGAAATTAATTAAATAATTATTTGCGATTGAGTCGTAATAAATAAATATTTTTTTTTTAATTGCCTAATTTTATGACCGAATAGAGAAAAATATGCTTTTTATAATGAAAAAAAAAGTATATGTGTCATTTAAAAAAATGGTTGCCATAGAAACAAAATAAAAAAAGGTATCAACAATTTAAAAAAACTCAAAACATGCTTGGTAATGAACCAAATAAATTTTATATTGAACTTTTTTTTATTTTCATACCTATTTCATTGTATAAATCGTTTATGTGTGTGCTTCCATCTCCATTTAATTCAAGTAAAGTCAACTATTACCATGAGTAAAAATCTACAAGAAATAAAGACAAAAAACAGGTTGATTTTGTTGTATTTGGTACTCCTCAAGAATTCCAAGAAATATGCTAAAATCTTTAAAAGGTTAAGGCAGTCGTGAGAAGTCAAAACGAAAAATCGTTGGATATAAAAGCTGACTGAAAAAAAATAGAGAAAAATGTATCAGAAGCAAGAGCATTAAAAGAAAAAAATACATCCTTTAACTTCTAAGTTATCAGAATCAGAATCAGATATTGGAGAAGAAGCTTACAAGGGCCCAGATTTGATTTTACCAGTAACTAAATTCGCGCTAGACTTGAATCACCACAACTGAAAACTGAGTTAACTAAAATTTAAAATAAAAATAATAAAATTTTAAAATTCTTTTTTTAACACTGTGGCGGCCGAGGGGTCAACCACCCAAAGGGAAAACGTCCAGGGATTCCCATCTATTCCCATTATATTTTATTGTATTCCTATGGTATTCCCCCTCTAAAATGTCTATAGGGATTCCCAGGTGTGGGTGAGCCCTCGGTGGCGGCAACTTAAATTAAAGTTTTGCATGTGATATAATGTAGACAATCCTCAAGTATTTCACACTATTACTGATTCAATACCATACAAAAAATGTTTTTCCTCTTTTCAATCTACCCTAATATGGGGTTAAAGTTTAAAAATCTGGTTTGTAAACAATAAGTGACGGTAATTAAAACTAAGGTAATAAGTGCGTAATCAGTCATTTATTATTAAAAAAATTAACAATTCACAGCTTCATTTACCATCCGGCGTTGTAAGATCCGAAAGATCCCAAGTTAAGTCCAGAGTATCCGTATCCATGAGATACTACTGGAGCGGCAGCGTAGGAAGATACAAGAGGAGCAGAGTAGGTGTTGGCTACTACTGGAGCGGCATAGGAGGATACCAATGGAGCGGAGTAGGTCTTGGCTACTACTGGAGCGGCGGCTACCAATGGAGCGTGGGAGTAGGTGGAGATGGCTGGGGCAGCAGCTACTAATGGAGCGGCGGCATAGGTCTTGGCTACCACTGGGGCGGCAAAGGAAGATACCAATGGAGCGTGCGAGTAGGTAGAGATGGCTGGAGCAGCGTGAGAGTAGGTGGAGAAAGCTGGAGCAGCAGCTACCAATGGAGCAGCGTGAGAGTAGGTGGAGATAGCTGGAGCAGAGTAAGAGCTGATTCCGTGTCCATAGGAAAGAGCATCACCGTAGCCATAGCCAAGACCCAAAACTCCACGCTTTTGCTTCTTTTCACCAGCAGAAGCGAGGGCTACGAGAGCTACAAAGACTACCTGTCAAAAAACAATAAGGTAAAATTAATATTATATGATTAATGGTATAATATAAGGATAAAAATAAAAATAATATCCATTTAAATTAAAACTTTTCAGTAGTACTTACCAAGAATTTCATAATGATTGCTGATGTGTAATACAGTAGAGCACAAGACACTATGTAAAGATTAAAATTTAAAATCTGGTATATATACAAAAAATTACCACATGACATATTGTGTTCGATCAAAGAATGATAAATTTAGAATAAATTAAAAGGCGAAACCAAGGCTAATAATCTTTGAAAAATTTTGCGATATAATTTTAATTTAAAAAAGACAAGTTTTTTTTTGAATTTATAATTAATTTTATTCATTGCCCACTCATATAATTATGTATTTATCTGTTTTTTATTATTCTTTTTTTTTGCAGTTTGAACCATCCGGTAAAGATTCAAAGAAATCGAAACATTGTGTTCCCAAAGGTCTTCTGGAATGCTTGGAATGGCGACACCTTTTAAAATGAAAATGTTTGCTATTAATTTGAGCATTTATTTGAAAAAACTTAAAAAAAATCAAATGTATGTTCTTTTTGAGATTCCTTTATAAAATTATGTAAAATTAAACACTAGGTTCATCAAAAATAACCAGGACGCTGTCTGGATTGGTTGATAGTACTAGTATTGAAAACCAAAACCCTCAATGGATTTTGAAAATTTAGCTCTACTTAAAAGTTATAGTTATTCGATTTTGAGTAGTCTGTATTAATCCACTTTACAATTTATTTTTTTAATGTGGAAGAATTTTACTGAGTGCCTAGACGTTGTTTTCAATATTACATTGCTAAAAGTTTTGAGAGTTGATAAATGGATAATCATTATCTAAAAGGAACCAAGCGCCAAAAACTTTAAGCCTAACAAACTTATTTGTAAAATAACTCATTTTTAATACTTTAGAAAGAATATTGTTGTGCCCTGAAATAGTTTTAGACGCTTGGTTCTTTTTAGATAGGCATTATCCAAATACAAAACCTCCCTAAAAATTCTTAAGACATTTAAGGTACTTCAGGATTTGTTTTATATATACTTTTATTTATTTATACATACATAAAAAAAAACATGCAAGATTTTTTAGAAAATAGTGTCTGCAGATAGTCATTTTTTTTTTTAAATTTTGTCATAGACTTAAAGTAGAGAAAAAAGCAAGGTACATTAGTACCAATCATTTATTTTTGATTTAAAATAATCTAGTTTAAATGTCCATAAATTATTAAACCGGTGAAACCAAGGTTAACATTCATTGCGAATTTTTGTGATACAATTTAAATTATAATAAGGAAAAGTTTATTTAATCGCTGTTAAAATTATAATAAAATTTACATTTAAAAATACTCACATGATGTACCTATAAATATATGACTTAAATTAAATTTATTAATCGGTAAATCAATATTGAAATTTATTATGTAAAATTAAAATTATTTTTTTTTTGTTGCTAAAAATTTTAGGATATTTTTGTATTGTTTTCGAACTATTTATTTATATAAAATCATTTTCAATTTTGAATTTTCTAAAACCGTTTCTAAAATAAAATTGTTTTATATGTTTATATAATTACTAAAAGTGATTTTTTTGACAAATTTTAGAAAAACATATAAAATATTTAATTTTAGAAAAACATATAAAATATGTTAATTTTAGGTATCTGTAAATGCTTTATTTATTTTGGTTCCCTAGCTTTAAGCTACCTATAGTCCTATACCGATGGTTACACTTTAAGCAATATTTAGTCTAGACATCGCTCTATAGAGTGAGTGTCTGTGTCACAAGCTCTTGCAACACCGGATTTGATTTAGTTTGGTACAATCCTTTTTGATCTGTGGTTCAATCAGTCGCTAAAATATATTCACATATTCCATATATAAGTATTTTACATTAAATTATATATCGCAATAAATTATAGAATATTTACCAGTTTTTGTATAAAAAACAAAACCCAGATACATAGATATACGGGAGTCAATATTTTACTTAAACTGCACTTTCAACTTTCACATTTATTAACTTATTTAAATTCACAATATTTAAAAGTAATTATTTTTTTGTCACTAAACAAAAAAAATTCCTATTGGCAATCCGATCCGGAGACACACTGTATACAGGTATATTATAATTTGTAAAATAATATATTTCACCTCTTGTGCTAAAATTCCTATGCTTTTTATTTCGTTGAATATCCTCATGTTGCCAACTTCAGCCCGTGACTAAAGGGCCAAGCCATAACTTGTCAATGTGTATTTAAAAGATCACTTAGTGTCATGGAAACATGTACGATAATGGGCGTTTTAAAGGTGGTAGTAGAAAAAATAATAAAGTACGATAATATACGATAACTTAACATGGCAATATAATAAATAATATTTAATAAATATGTTTAGCATAATACGCAGCAAAATACATAATTTTTCACTAGCTTATGGAAACCAAAAAAACATTCACTGAAATAAAAACCAGTAGTATAATACTATTTTTGGTCATTGGTTAATTTAAATGTTTAAGAGTTCTATAAAAATATAAACGTGTCTATAAAATATTTAGCATAAACCACTTCTAAAATGCATAACATTGATAATTATAATAGATACATTAATTATTAATTAATTATTTTTAATACTAGTTTTAGGTAATTTATGCACATGGTATTTTAGGTGAATGTCCGAATCTGGGAAAGTTCAAAATACCCAGTTGGAACCTTATATGATATATCGAAAGTTGTCCAGAATATTTCATGTTTCTTATAAAACTGTAAGAAGGCTATTGCAGAAAAAAGGCTTGAAGTAAAAGACGTAAGTGACGTAGATCGAAATCATTTTGCAAACAAGAAAGTGATCGAAATGGATACTGACAAATTCTCACACTCTGAAATGAATAAGGCTTTTATTGCATAAAAGTTAAGTACATACAAAAGTACAAAAATTCTAGTTTGGTGTCTTGTATCCGAGAGCAAGGTTTCAAGACCTTGTATTGGTAAAGCAGTTAACGCTAACGTTTATACGAAAAGATGGTCACCAAAGTTGATCCAATTTATTTATACGACTCATCCATGTGATGACATAATGTTTTAGTGAGACACCTGTTCGATTTTAAATTAATTTAGTTTAAATGTCTATAAATTATTAAACTTGTGAAACCAAGGTTAACTATTCTGTGAGTTTTTGTGAGATAATTCAAATTATATTAAGAAAAACTGTATTATCGTTAAAATTATAATAAAGTAGGTATAAATTTAATACTGGTTTAAAAGATTACTTACCATATAGTTTACCTATATTGGAAGTAGAAAAAACTACTTACCTAGGTAGGGCCGGTTTATCAATCTCTAGTTAAGTTCCAGTTAGCCTATCTGACAGTTAAATTTCATATCGATGGAAATTATCTAACAGATAACTAACTGCAACTTTAACTGGACCTCTTAAAATGAATTAGGGCCGGTTTATCAATATCTGGTTTAGTTCCAGTTAGTCTATCTGACAGTTAAATTCCATATCGATCGTTGTTAAAACAATGGTATCCATGGAGATTATCTGCCAGATAACTAACTGCAACTTTAACTGGACATTGATAAACCGACCCTTAGTCTAATTGCTGGGTCACTGCTTCTTTTATAAAAATTACTTATATTTTTCTATAAATATTGTTAAAAATAATATTAAGTTATTTGGTTTTATGGACCATTTAGCCATTTATAAAAATCAGATTTATTAACATGAGTTTGTAGTTTTTTCATTTTATTTTGTAAAATTTTAACATAATTGTTTGTAGAAAACCAGGGTTTGTATTTATTTTAACAAAGAAAAATATTTTACCGAAAATTTTGTATGCATTTTGTTAATTTCAAAGGTTATAGATTATTTTGTTAATGTTTAACAAAATATTTCAGAGTAGGTGTTGGATATTAGTTGAGCAGAATAGAAAGATTTCAATGGAGGAGCATAGAATTTAGATGGAGTATCCGTATCCGTGAGACAATACTGGGGCGGAATATAAGGATACCAAAGGAGCGTAACAGTAAGGGGAGATGGCTGGAGCAGCGTGGACTACTGGAGCAGAAACAACTGGTGCAGAGTAGGAGCTAATTTTATGTCCGAAGGAAAAGGCATCATGACCGTAGCTCAAATCTCAGTATCCGTAACCAAGCCCAAAAATCCTTAACTTTAATTTGTTTTATTAATTTTAGACTAACGAATAGATATGAACTAAATCTGTAATTATAGTATGGGGATTTGTAAAGAAGTTTAGTATATATAGAAAAAACAACACAGACACCTATATTTTTAATTTATCTAGATTAAATATTTGTTTTTTATTACTAAGGTTAATATTACATAACGAATTTTTGTATAGGTAACAATTATTAATTGCATAAATATAGACATTCTATAAATAAAATACTTTTTTTATGCATAAAAAGCTGTTTGGCTTTTTACGATGTTCAAATATTTGTATGAGTGATGTGCAAATATTTTTAGATTTTATATTGATATTCTTAAGTTTTCTAAATTATTATTTAAACCATATAAATATTAATAATTATACTAATAACTGTCTGTTTAGTTTCGATAAAATGTTATTAAAAATATATTTTGGGTGGTACCCTAATTAGGATAATGCGCAGATTTTTTTTTAGAGTGGTGTAAAAATATATAAATTTGTTTAGTTGAATAATACAATATTCTGTATTTTAACACTCATCAATCATTTAAATGACACACGGAAATTTTTAAACGAATCACAAGCCTAATCAAAATATAAATATTTCTAATATTATTTAATATTATATAAGTTTTTAACCTCGTAGTAGACATAATACCTAATTAATTATAACATAATTATTAACGATATAATTTCGTAATTGAGTTAAGTATATGTAGTTACAAATCTGTTTAAAAAAAGTAATGTGATTCGGATTAATAAAATATTATGTTAATAAAAACCACTTAGTATAGCTTCTATAAATTTTAATAATTATAATAATATTTATATATATAAACAAAAATGCCAGCATCTTTGTGGGTAAAATGGTAAAACTTGCTGCCCTTTCTTTCACTTTGTCCAATACGAACACTTTATAAACTTTCCTCCTCCTCGTGCCGTCAAAAATAAATATTTTTATGTCTAACGTGACGTCACGACTCTTCCGACTTCGCCAAAAAATGTTTAACCACCTGGAGCTTGACATAATAAGATGTGTTGTAAAAATACACAGAGGTATTTCGGGACCAGGGCAAAAAACTCAGAGCCCTCTTTTCCAAAACTTCTTTAATGCTGTTTAATGGAGGTAAAAATTTTGTTTATTTAAATAAGAGCGCAGTGGTTCTGCTCTATTGGCTTTTTGACACAAAATGATAGAATGTGTTTTGAAAACAAACAAAAAATGTAACAAAAACTCGTTTAATACAGCAAAATATTTATTTACAAACAGGTTACAAAAATCACAGTATCATTTACCATCCGTGTCCGTAAGAAGAAACACCGGAGTATCCGTATCCGGATCCCAAAGAGAGTCCATGTCCATGACCGTATCCGTGGGATACAACTGGGGCAGCGGCGTAGGAAGATACAAGAGGAGCAGAGTAGGTCTTAGCTACGATTGGAGCAGAGTAGGAAGATACCAAAGGAGCGGAGTAAGATTTGGAGTATCCGTATCCGGATCCCAAAGAGAGTCCCTGTCCGTGTCCGTATCCGTGGTATACAACTGGGGCAGCGGCGTAGGAAGATACAAGAGGAGCAGAGTAGGTCTTAGCTACGATTGGAGCAGAGTAGGAAGATACCAAAGGAGCTGAGTAAGATTTGGAGTATCCGTATCCAGATCCCAAAGAGAGTCCATGTCCATGACCGTATCCGTGGGATACAACTGGGGCAGCGGCGTAGGAAGATACCAAAGGAGCGGAGTAGGTCTTAGCTACGATTGGAGCAGAGTAAGTGGATACCAAAGGAGCGTGAGAATAAGTGGAGATGGCTGGAGCAGCGTGTACTACTGGAGCAGCGTGTACTACTGGAGCAGCGTGTACTAAAGAAGCAGAGCTGATTCCATGTCCATGTCCGTAGGAAAGGGCATCATGACCGTAGCTCAAGTCTCCGTATCCGTAACCAAGACCCAAAAGTCCACGTTTTTCTTTTTTGTCTCCAGCAGAGGCGATAGCTACGAGAGCTACAAGAACCACCTATAATAACCATTTAGTTAGTTACAAATAATAAATATATTATATTATATTATGTATTTATTTTACTTACTAAGAATTTCATGATGTGTTAGAGTAGAGCACAAGAAGCAGAGTAAAGATTTCCTCAAGAAGTTTGGTATATATAGAAAAAATGATGCTTCAGACACCTGTTAGATTTTAAATTAATCTAAACCAAATTTTTAATAAAGTGGGGGTTACAAGGTTAATATTACCTAACCAATTTTTGTAAGGAACCTTTATAGAAATTAATATAGTATTGTGTAAATATATGTATTTCCGGCAAATAATTAAATAATTTTAATGCCTATTAAGAAGTGTCGCGAAAAAATATTGCATTTTATAAAAACGCGTAGGTTGACTCAAGAAGTGCGATGTGCAATTATTTTTATAAATGTCAAGTTGACCATTAAAATTAATAAACTATTTAATTAAAATGTGCGAATACCAATAAATATTTGAAATTAAAAAAAAAACTATTATTTTTTATTAAGGAATTTATTTTTTAATTTTTTTCCAACCTTTCTGATAGGTACAGGGTGATCCCCTATAATGTCGCCCCCCTTTAACTTTTTTATTTTAAGTGTCCCAAAAAAATTAAAAGTGTGGTTATGTAGGAACTAAAAATACTTTTTTTCTACGTATAAAGAAAATTGGAAAATTGATCAGTATACAGGGAAAAACAAAAAGTTAATTTTTTTTCAATGGATCACCCTATATATGAATTTATTTTTCGATTCCTTGTAAAATTCTAAGCATATTTCATATAACATACCATATACCTAAATTCAACCGTTTCTGAAATATTTAAATTATTTTTAAGATAATAAGTTGAAATAGTTTGTCTTTCTCTGTCTGAGTACGCCATTTTTACTTATTTAACAACACTTATTGACATAATGTCACTATAGTAATTTATTTTTAATAAAAATTTTGGTATACTGAGGCTTCTTGATTTTTAACAGTTTAAAAAAACATTTAATGATGACATTTCGAATGCGAATATTTCAAAAACGGTTGAATTTAGGTATATGGTTTGTATATAAATTATGCTAAGAATTTTACAAGGAATCTAAAAATAAATTCAAATATAGGGTGATCCTTTGAAAAAAAATAAACCTTTTGTTTTTCCCTGTATACTGATCAATTTTCCAATTTTCTTTATAAGTAGAAAAAAAGTATTTTTTAGTTCCTACATAAACACAATTTTAAATTTTTTGGGACACTTAAAATAAAAAAGTTAAAGGGGGGCGACATTATAGGGGATCACCCTGTACACCCTCTAAAAGCAAACTTTTTAAAAACACCACAATTAAGGACCACCCCAATCAATACAATATTTATTATAACCTCACTTTTTTCCTTTCTTAAAAATCATTTGTTAGAGAAGTTCCAACTTCACTTTTTTCCAATTTAAAACCGATGCCTAACAACGTAAATAATGGGTTAATTATTCCCATTATAAAAAACAAACCAAGAATGTCAATAATCTACAATAGTCGAAAAAGTAATATAGTACTCTACTTTTTTTGAAAAATGAAGCAATATAATAAAAATGCTAAAGTAATATTGGTAATTTTATTGTATTTGGAGCGCTTCTTAATACTGTTGAAATATTTTTTTTAATAACAAACATTGAATATTTATTAATGGAAATGAAAATTATGCAAACAAAAATTATAATATTTAAATATTATTTTTGTTTTTTAAAATATAGTTTAAAGTTTAAACTTTAAACATCGATTTCCTTCCCATGACCGAATAATAATAAAAAGGTCATTATCTAATGTATTTTAGTTTAGTTAATTTTAATCAAAAATTTTAGGCAGGTCTATAGTTAGGTCTATAGATATTAGGGTGGTCGTTAAAAATTAAATTTTTTGCGACGCCCCCTAAAAAGCTTAATTTTGATGAAAAAACACTTGAATTTTTTTTTATTTAATTAAAAACAACACGTGCCTCAAGACGATCTAAGTTAATTTTTTGGTGTAATCATGGTTTTTTGGGATTTTTTTTATGAAAAATAAAATTTTATTCGAAATATAAACAATTATAGAACCTAAATGAATAAAAAACAATATTTAATTGAAATAACAATAGACAAAAATTTAAATTTAAAATTTTTCCCAGTTAATTTGGTCTATTAAATAAAAAAATTAAAGATATTCAAATTGATATTTATATTTTAAAACTAAATTAGTACAAACATAATTTTAATATCTATATTTCTTCACTCCAAGGTGAAGTTATTTCATTGTTAATAATTTTTAAATCTCAAAAAAATTATTATTCCATATTTTCGGAAAAGACATGATTATTTCAAAAAATTAACTTAGATCGTCTTGAGGCACGTGTTGTTTTTATTTAAAAAAAAATAAAAAAAAATTACCAGTGTTTTTTCATCAAAACGAAGCTTTTTAGGGGGACCACCCTAATAGATATTCTACTTTACAGTTACACAATGTGTATACTGTATTGTTTGGTATATAAATTGAATTTTAATACCTAGTAACAAAATGATAATTATTAGAATTGGCTTAACTAAAAACTTGAAGTTACTTAGAGTAAAGGAGACTTAATTTATTTTATTTAGCTTTCATGTTGCCTGACAATCGAATCTTGTAGGTAATCGAGTTTTAAATCACTTCTGATTATCAAGCTGAAATTTGGTACACAAGTTTATAACTCGATGATAATTTAATACTATGTTACCAAGTCAAAGTTTATAATGCGCATAGGACTGAATGGTGGCTAAATATAATGTGTCTCATTGTATGACTCACATTGCTGACATAATGAAAGTATAAGTTATGTATTCAAGAATTGCTTTAATGCACTTTGATCAAAAAAGAAATTGTACGTATTTAAATCCTAAAGAAAAATTATGTATATATTATATATAATAATAATAATAATATAACTTTATTGCAGTAACATTTACATACAAGCACTAAATGGTATAAAAAAGTGTTAAGAAAAGTAGCCTTAATCCAATTTATGTAAAATTATTTACTAAATAAAGGCTTTTTATTATTTTTATTATGATTAAAATTAAGTTTGATTATTTATTTCAGTTATAAGTTAAAATTGTATTTTTCTCCTCCTATTGCATATTATTGACATTATTTTTTCTTCATATATAATGTCAACCAATATAACCGCCTTACCTAACAACGGGAATAATGAACTCATTATTCATGGTGTTAGGTATATGTGATTGGCTGATTTAAATATTCACTCTAATTTGTACCAATCCGGTTTTAAATTGGAAAAAAGTAAGGTTAATTGGGTTAATTATCTTCAAAATCGTTTTTTTTTAATTTTAAATATGTTAAGGATTAAGGAAGTTGAAAAAAGTAAAAATATGTGTGTTAAATAAACAACATTTATTTATAAATAAGGCACAATATAGAATTAATCACAGTATAATTTACCATCCGTGTCCGTAAGAAGAAAGACCGGAGTATCCGTATCCGGATCCCAAAGAGAGTCCCTGTCCGTGTCCGTATCCATGGGATACAACTGGGGCAGCGGCGTAGGAAGATACAAGAGGAGCAGAGTAGGTCTTGGCAACAATTGGGGCGGAGTAGGAAGATACCAATGGAGCAGAGTAGGTCTTGGCTACTACTGGAGCGGCGTAGGAAGATACCAATGGAGCAGAGTAGGTCTTGGCTACTACTGGGGCGGCGTAGGAAGATACCAATGGAGCAGAGTAGGTCTTAGCTACGATTGGAGCAGAGTACGAAGATACCAAAGGAGCGGAGTAAGATTTGGCGATTCCGTATCCGTGGGACAAAGCTGGAGCGGCGTATCCGTATCCGTGGGACAAAGCTGGAGCGGCGTATCCGTATCCGTGGGATAAAGCTGGAGCGGCGTAGGAGGATACCAATGGAGCATGGGAGTACGTGGAGATGGCTGGAGCAGCAATGGTCTTGACTACTGGAGCGTGTACAACTGGGGCAGATACGAGAGGGGAAGAGTATGAGCTGTATCCATGACCAAGGGAAAGGTCTCCGTGAGAGTAGCTAAGGTCGGAGATTCCATGGGATTCATATCCCAAACCAAGACCCAAAAGACCGCGTTTTTCTTTTTTGTCCCCAGCAGAGGCGATGGCTACAATAGCTACAAGGACTACCTACAAAAATAAATTACAAGAATTATTAACACCATTTTAATTTTTTTTAAGTGTACTTACCAAGAATTTCATATTGTTGTTTATTTGTTTCAGTAGAGCACAAGATGCTGTCTGAATAATGAGCAGTGATTCAAAGTATATATACTTAAAAAAAGAGGAGGGTGGTCACTTAGATGAATGAAAATTAATCTAGATTAAAGTGTTGATTTTTCGGTGGCGTGCTGGTACCAAGGTTAGAATTACTCAACATTTTTTGTGAATGTGGTAAGAACAGACTGAATGTCTAGTGCTGTGGCCTGTTCAAATATTACACATCTTAAGCGTTACAAAAATGGGATGGGCACTAAAATGATTTATTCTTATTATTATTATTTTAAAACACATATAGTTAATAATTAGTAATTTAGTGGTCATTTTAAGAGATTTATAATCTCTAATTAAAGTTAAACTTTGGTAGAGATTAAACATGTTTTAATTAACAAGGTTTTTATTATTGTGTATCCGTTAAAAAGCATTAAATTTAAAGGTCAATATATAATTCAAAACCGTGTAAGCTTAAAAAATTTAATTGGGGCTATAGTTGACATTTAATTTTGATTTAAAATGATTCTGTTTTATTAACATAAATGGATAATAATAAATTTATTTACAAAAAGGTTTTAGTAGTATAGGCAGTGGCGTAACTAAGCAAGGGTGCACCAAGTATCCTCCTATGAGTATAAGTACTTAGAATAAATTGGAAAAGAAAGCGATTCTCAAAATATTTAAAAAAAACTAAAAATCGTTATAACTTTAAGTTTTACATGAAAACATCATCCAATTTCTTTGCTACTGAATTTTGAGTTAGGTACCATTACTATCTTTTGTCTTTATAATGGCCGCCATAACTTTTGTTGTTTGACACACCGTTGGATTCCTTGATTTAACTAATCATGTAAAATTTCAATATGGCGGCCATAGGAAAATCAACAGATGGTTTGGTTTTGACAGGCTTACAGTTTGTTTTTTTAATTATTTAAGAACCGCAGATTTTTTCCAATTTATAAATGCCATTTCAATAGACTTATAATTATGCAACTATTCTCAAATTTAAGCGATTTAAATAAAAAAGATATTCATACAAACTTGATACTTGATGCACCCTGTATAAGAAGAGACGATTTATAAAATGAGATTTGAGGACGACCTTTTTCCAAATACGTTAGGAATCAAAAGCATGTGTGAAAAAAATTATCTCCAGGTCAACCTTTAGGCGCCCCTGTATCTTCGGCGCCCCTGGCAATGTGGGGCCTGCGGGAGCGTTATTTACGCCACTATGTATGGAAAATGGATTTGTTAACTAAGGTTGATTATTATAATTTAATAAGCATATTTTTTTAAACAGAAAATTAGAGAATAATACTTTTAATAAAATATTTTACTTACAGCACACAACGTTGTTACCTATTTTTAAATTAAAATTGTGTGTTATAATGATATCCATTTTAACCGCCAATATTCACTGTGATTTGAACGGAATCGGGTTTTAATTTGGCAGGAGGCGACTTCAATAATGTTTAAAATTGGCAGAAAGATGTCATAATTTATTTTATCTACGCCAGTGAGATAAGAAGTTCTTATCCCACTCATTTTGAGTGAGATAAGAAGTTCATTAACGCACGCGTTTTTCTCTGCTTTTAACCAATCAAATAAAAAAGTCAAAATGTCAAAATAACCCTAAATTAAGTCTTAGACAAAAATAATTACCGTTTATTTTTTCATTTAGAGGCGTAGATAAAAATTTGTACAATATACGTGCAGTAGCGTGCCGTGGGTCTAAGGGCGGGAGGGGCGAGCTATCTTAAGGGCGGCAATTTTTTTATTTAATAAAAAATAGGGACTTAAAATCAGGTATAATAGTAAACGAACTGACAATAATTATTATTAGTGACGTGTTTAATAAAATACATATTAGTTTATATTAACAATATTTATTAAAATTAAATTTTAACAACAACCTTCGTGTTTTTACACCTTTAATAGAATCTAAAACCTTATCGTAATCTATCATTTGTGCTTTTTCAGATTCAATACATAGTAAGGCCAAGTTGTTTGTCCTTTCCTGTGTCATGGTGCATCTTTGATAGTTAATAATTTTGTTTAGTCTGCTAAAAGTTCTTTCCGCTCCTGCGCTATTATTTGGTATGGTGTGAAAAATTTTTAATAGATTGCATAGAGCTGAGTATGACGAAACTAAATTATTTGAAATTAAAAAAGTCAGCAGTATTGCCATCTATTAGATACATCTGCTATCTATTAATGTCTGATTTTTTACAACAGGGTAGCACTGATTTTTAATAACAGACGGCAGGTGGACCAGCGACAGTGGTGCTACTGATGGAAGAAAAAAATAAATAGCCTGCCTATAATTTGTATAGTAAATAATTACTTGGAAAGATCGTTGGAAAGGGCGCTCTGGGCAGAGGGGCGGGGGGGCGATCGCCCCCCCTGGCCCCCTATACGGCACGCTACTGTATACGTGTGATAACGCTTTATTAACGTACTTTTGCGATTGCCCAACTCGTGCTACGCACTCGTTGGGCAAATTTCGCATGCGTATGTTAATAAAGCTCTTATCCCACTTATATCGTAAATAACTATTATCTACTCCTACATTGACGAGCTGTAACTTTATGACATTTTATTGACGGGCTGAAGTTAACAACAGTGGCTTTTCGACATTTTACGTCACGGGCTGAAGTTAGCTTTATTATAAATTGGGAAAAAGTGAGGTTAAATTCGGGTGACAGTTGACAGATGTCAAAATTTTAACAAATAAAATTGGCTTTAAATTCTGTTTTGTGTTCGTCGTAGATAAAGTATAGTATGCAACTCGTTTATAAACTTCTCTAGGCACTCGTTTTTATTAAACACTCGCTCGCAAGCTTCGCTTGTGCTTAATTAAACTCGTAACTAAAATGGCATTTATAAAACTTGATACATAATATACTATTTTCTACTCCCACCTTTAAAACGCCCTTTATCGTACATGTTTCCATGACACTAAGTGACCTTTTAAATACACATTGACAAGTTGTGGCTTTATGACGCTTTAGTCACGGGCTGAAGTTAGCAACAGGTTTTTAGTCACGGGCTGAAGTTAGTTTTAAGTTAGTTGACAGTTGTCAAATGTCATACAATCGTTAAAATTAATTGCCGTTCTTGTAAAATAATACTAAATGTGAAAATTATTTTATTATCTCAATACAAAAATAAAAAAGTATTAAATAGTTTCTCAACGCCAATATTTGAAAAGTTTACATGAACATTATACTGACCTTTTAATTTCGCCGGCAGTAAACTATAACTTAAATTCGGACACGGACTCCACTGTAAAGTGCTCATAAAACATTTTCTTTACTTTCAATGTGAAAAACTGTCAATTTTCAAGAAATACATTTCGATTTATAACCTTTATAATCTGTGTTTATAAAATAAAAAAAATTGACATTTGACCGTTACACACAGATTCCCCTATTGTTTCTTGATTTTTTGATTTAAATCATTTTAAGGTAATAAAGTATTTGTCCTAGAAAAAGTATAGTATGCACCTCGTTTATAAACTTTTCTATACACTCATTAATTTAAGAACTCGCTCGCAAGCTCGCTCGTGCCTAAATTAAATTCGTGTATAAAATGGCGTTTATCAAACTTGATACATAATACACTATATATATTTTTAATAGTGTATTATGTATCAAGTTTGATAAACGCCATTTTAGTCACGAATTTAATTTAGGCACGAGAGAGCTTGCGAGAGAGTGCTTAAATATTTGTAAAAAGCGACATCTATACGAAAATAAAGTAAACATCCCAATAAACATTTTTACGTAATTTTCATAAGTAATATCATAAGGGCATTTAATTTTTCCGAAAAGAATCGAAAAAACACGTTGCTAAGTAATATTTTAACAAAAAGCATGAGTGCTGGTGGCAACAAAAATCCGAGTCGAAGAGGAGGATTTTTGCACCTGCACGAATGCATTTTGTTAAAAAATATTACTTAGCATTGTGTTTTTTCGATTTTTTTCACAGGAAAAATTAGATGCCCGAATGGTATTTGACAAGACTATTTCATGAGTAACAGTTAACAATTAAAATATAAATTGCAATTTTTGGTGACAACAGCTGTCAAGTTTTGCCGCGGGTAAACTCGAATAAACTGCTGACAGGTTCTGTCACACAGTTTTTTCACCTAGAAACCATTTGTAATTCAAAATTGCGCGTTTGTGATTGGTGGAAATTAAGACGAGGGAAATAGTCACCATTAACATTGCCCGTTATTATTTTAATTAAACGTACCAATTATTAATAGTTAATTTATTAAAATAACTTCAATATATGATTATGTTAAAAAAATCTGTTATCCTTTGATTTTTTTTATTACTATAATTGCAAAATAGTATCACAAAGTATTAAACATTCTTACAGGGGAAATGTTAGTAAAAAAATCATTTAAATATCTATTAATTAAAGTAGATACCTAATGTACCAAATGGCAAACAGTATACTGTTGTTTTTTAGGTTATTAACCTGAAAGAAAACACACCTTTGTTGATGACCAATACGAAAATCTTAATATTTTGCTTCAGGGGTAAATCATGAATATGAAACACCATCGAATAAACAGGAAGCCTTGAAATATTATCGACACAAACACATTTCATAACAACGATTCCGATTTATATAAAATTATTGAAATGTCAATTCAGTACTAATTGTGTAACTGAAGATACATTTCATTCTTATGTTATATTTTAGATTAATTAATTAAAAAATATGTAATTCAAGTTAAAGGTAAAATTTTGAAGGTAAGGTTGATACCTATATACATATACATGTATATTATCCAAATGCAAGTTTTGAAAGTAACTTTTTGGTTTTAACATTTGTCATTTAAAATTTAAATAGTTTTTTAACCTTAGATAGTTATTTTTTATGCTAGATTGCGAAATGCCAATTTTGTATTCGAGAATGCAAAAGAATTTCGCAATAAACTAGAAAACCACATTTTTCCAAAACTGTATCCCACAATTCTTAATTACAAAAATGTGAATAAACACTGATGATATTTAAAATTATTTTATTTGCTAGGAATTTAAAGCCAATTTTATTTGATGTTTTATCTGAAATATGACATCTGTCACGGTTTCAACAATTTTAATTCAAAGCTAACCTCAGCATGTGTGATGCCTCACAAAATAATAAACTGATCGAAAAAAGTTAAGCATTTTTTGAACAAAGTTGAAATCAAACTGGATACCGACTGATATCTATAATGCGTTTTTTCGACTTCGTTCTTTA